CACGTGGTGGGCATGTCGTGAGCGGAGCCGGCTGGAGCCTGGGGTCAGACTAGATGGCCTGGGAGATCCCTTTTGACTTGCTTTTTTTCTGTTTCTAATCGGGTTTAAAATTTTCCTTCTCTTACGTGAGCGTGCATAGAGGGCCCTAGTTTTGGCTGCTTTAACACCCTCAATTCAACAAAACCACACCATTTTACTTTGTTCCCGATTGGTGCCAATCCCTGATGCAGCTCAGTCCAATATTTGTGCCTTCTAGGAATTCATGCTATTGGCATTAGTGAGACTTCCTTTCGTGTAAGTGTGTATAGGATTGTAGTGGTATGTGGCACTGATTTTAAGCCCACACCCCTAATTCTACTCTAAGACTACATATAGTATCCGACCCTTTAATTTCAGTCAGACTACTTTTCTTTGATTTATGGGAGATAGAGTGGATTCTTCTCTTCAGCTCATATGTATAACCATGCCCCTGTGTTCTGTGTTAATCTGGCTTAGTGTACATCTTTCATATCCTTCTAGAATCGATCCCTAAATAAACATTGAGCTAGTGAAGCGGGTGGAATTTACTTTAGAGAATGGTTTTTAAATTGGATTATGCTACATACAAGCATTCTCTTTCGTTCTGATCTAGTGATTTAAGAATAGCTACTGTTTGTATCCCTGGCTGCAAAGTCTGCATATTCAAGATCAGCTCACCCTGGTCTCAACTACACTGCTAATACCCAAGGAAATATTAGATTGAGATCAAAGTTTATTGTATCTAGGTGTTTAGGATCAGGAAAGTAACATGATATAAGGATTAATAATCTGACAGGTTGTTGGTGTTTCCTATCCTGGTGCCCTCCAGATATTTTGGACTTCAACTGCAGTCAGCTCCAGAATGCTGGGAGGTGTAATCCAAAATAACGGAGGGTACCAGGTTGAGGAAGACTGGTTCAAGGCTACAAAAGGTTGCTGGAACTTGGTGTAGCTAGATCACATTCACAATTATGAGCTTTTGTATGTGGAGGTGGGGTTCATATGTGAGACAACTTGGATTTTTATAAATTATTAAAATTATTCAAAACCATGTAATATCTTTGTAATAAATTATTTACTCTAAACAACTGCCTGACCCAGACAGTCACAGCTGATCTGGGATGTTAACTTGGCCCTGTTGTTTCTGGCCCACAGCAGCAATTCTCAAAATGCCTGCCTATTAAAGGTGCTGTCAGGTAGATTGGGCTGTGATGAATTCTCCTTTTGAAGTAATACTTCTGTGGGAAAGGGCTGTTTAAAGGCATGCACTAGATTGTGAAGTCAGTATAGTCTTCAGAGAGATTTGGTTTTAGGTGGGGCAGGGTAACCACCTGCTAACTACCACTATAAGACCCTTTTAAAATACAACTTAAAATGCTGTGCAAAATCAGTTTTATATATAGATGATGATAAATATCTAAGGGTCTGGCTAGGTGCCAGGCTACAGTGAAGGGTTACCATACACCATGGGCCTGCCATAACTTAATGCTATTTATACCACTTGGGTACGCTGACTTAAAAAAAAAATATCTAAAGCAATTCACATCTAGTTATGGTCATGGAGGAGGTTAATGGCAGTTTTGGGATTGGAGAAAGGGTGGAAGTACAAGTCCCCTTTAGGCTGGGCAATGAGACCAGCCACTTATGGAGAGAACAGGACTGAACAGATACCTTACGAGGACAGTAGCAAGTGCATTGCCCAAAGTGAGAGGAAGTAACAGCTACATCTGCAGCGATTTTAGTGGATGCCAAGTATTTTTCATAGGCAGGGCGAAGAAAAAGGATCTGATAACTTGTGTAAATCATGCAGGTATGTAGACATAATTTATTCAGTCTGTGCTAACCATGGAAATGGGCAAAAAGAGGGATATGGAAGCTCCAGTTCCATTTTGGTCTGAACGGCTCACTCCTCCTACAGCCCATCATTTTGAGATGTTGGCAGCTCTTGCCCACACATTGTTTTGTTTCACATGCATTGATTAGAAAATTGATGAAAATGTGCCACTGCACCATCAAAACAGGGAAGTCATCCTACAGCTAGCGCTCAAGTTCATCCTTAAGCAGTATCATCAGAGAAACTTGCCCCAGTCTAGCGGGGGGATGCTGGGAGCTGGTGTCCTCCTGATGTGATAGGCTGCAGGTTGGGAAATGCTGGATTAGAAAATGCACATGATCCTTTCCCACCAAGCTTGGTTTCATTACGGGTAGAACTACAGGTACTAGCAGTAGCAATGGTAAGATGCTACATCACTTATAGTTCTGTATGATATGACTAGCTTATACATTTGAATACCTGCATACATTCACCCAGACTTATTTGATGCTGAAGTTATGTCAGTTGTCTAATCTGATGTGTATGTATTCACATATATATTACCTATTCAGTTTTGTTAGCTTTAGACAAAAAATCAGAATTGTCCATGGGCTATGTTTAGAATGGAGACACACACAGAAAAATGTAGTATTTAACCAAAATGCAAGCCTTTTATCAAGAATGACTATAGTTTTCATGCTTTTGGATTCAAATAAATGAAAAAACAAGTCCATGCTCCTTCCTATTTGAAGACATTGGATAGAGGAGACCAAGCACTTTTAGTATATGGAGTTGTTATAATTTAATAAGGTTGACTTGATGTAGATACGCATAGGATTACCCTGCAAAATCAAACAATTTGCACTCAAGTTAGTGATACACTAATAAAACAACCTACATAAAAATAACAGCAAATTTTGGGCTCGAAACGATTCCAGGAAGCCACATGTGTACACAAATACTCTGCTTAAAATGCATATCGTCCTTTGATAAATATCTAAGCCAATGTTCATATACCCTACATTTTAAAAATGATGATATATTCTCTGAATACTCCAAGCTAATAGTCATTTCCATGGTAAACATTCTCAGACTGATAGTATTTGTTAGTGCTTACCTACAACAGAGACAAGTCAAATTACAAGGAGAGGTGGGTAAGTATAAACCTGATCTCCATAAAAATTGCTCTACTTGCTGCAACATTTTCTTGCCTATTTAAATCATATTACGGTTTCAGAAGGGTCAGTTTCAAGCTGCAATATGTATTTAAAAACAAAAATATGGTCATTATATTTAACTATTTCCACTGCTACAGGATTTTAGGTGATTGTAGAAATCTTTTCCCTAATTCAACAGAAGTGATCAGAATATTATTCACTGCATGTTTTCCCTTTTGTAAATTTGCTGGATTGACACTGAGGATATTTATATAGCTTAATTTTCAGTGGGATGGATTCATATTAATGCCATAATGGCAAACTATCCTTTGGGTGCATTCAGAGGACCTGTTTTCTCATTATACAGTACTTCCATGTTGCATTCATATGGGAGGATCCAACTTATAATCAACCTGTTTGATTAGAACAACCCCAAAACCAACACTTCAAGCATGATTGTATAGCCTTTAGACAGGCAGATGCAAGGCTTACCTGTATGCATGTGAGCTGGTATCACAGTTCATTATTTTGTTTCAGTGAACAATTTACCTTCTATTTATAAGCATACATACTGGTGTTTCATTATTGTGTGATTACAGATATACAACATATATTCTAACCATATACCACTTGTCACCTTTGGCCTCATCACCACTGGAATTCTGCTGAGAATGTCTCTGAAGTGGAATTTGGTTCTTGAGCTGAAAAGCATCTTTGCCCTTGCTGTAAACTCATACACAATTACTGTTAATAAGTTCTACTGAATTCAGTGTGACTTTTTCTGAGTAACCATGGCACAGGATGGAACTATAACTTACTTAAAATATACACCAACATTTGGAGAATGCATTCTCTCAAAATGCATTCTGGTTAAAAGTTATGTATTACCTATAACAATGACAGAAGTGAAAATCCCTGATGGACTCTGGGGAGGTCTTAATAGTGACATAGAATTTCCAGCACTTTGGAGTTCATTGTTAAACAGGAAAGAACAATTAAGTTAAAGCACTTATTTACAGAAAATTCCAGCAGGGCCTTTAATCCATATTCCTAGGAATGAAATGAACCTGGCAGACTCTTCAAAGAAAGGTTGCTTATTGCTATTCATTTTAAAAGCATATTGTTGCCCCCTCAACTATTCAGTAGATGCCAATGTACTTGATATTTTAACAGATCACTGAACCCCCTTCTCTGCTCTGCAGTACTTTGAATCTATTTCTAGTAGTGCAAATACGTTTGTTTTCTACATTGGTTTGAACATCTCCAGATAAGTCTATTCTTCCAAACATATTCAGCTCCTCTCCTCTTCGAACCGTATTAGCACAGCAAGAAAAGAAGCCATGGAATGGTAGCTGTGCTTTTAAAACTAGAAACTGGATTCTCTTCAACTGATTTAACTTATGACCTTCTCAGCTGTTGGATCAAGTTCTTCTATCAGGCATCTGGCCAAGCCAAAAAGTAAAATGTAAGGCGACGCAAGTTTCATTGCAGGCAGTCTTCATGTTTGGCCATTTCACCTGTGACATTAGTGAGAATGGCGCAGATAAGCTGATTGATACTAGTTTATCTGCTTTTTAAGCATTATAATTTAAATACGTTGTGGATCCAGCAGACCACTAGCCAAAAAAGAACCTGGTTTTAAGTAGAGAAGAGAATCTTCCAGGAGAGGCATGTGAAGAACTGCTTCCTAGACTTCATATCACTGCCTAGATTGTAGTAGAATGCATTATCAGTCTGTGGTGAGCATCTAAGTAATCATTTATATATAAATATGTGGATATGTATTTTGTTTGTTAGGATAAGATGTAAAATTGTATGGATTATATTTACATACAGAAGCAGAAAACAAGCTAGAAACTAGATTGGGAAAGTGAAAAAGTCCGTTTGAAACCTTGTTTTAAAATTGCTTGAGAGCAGCGCAGAACAATTTTCCTATACTTTGTAAAATTTTATTTTTATAAGATGAAAATATCATGTAACCTTTGATGCATAAATAATTTTAATTTCAGAAATGTTCTTGAGTAAATACTTTATTGCAAATAACAGTACACTGTGTTAAAAGATCAGCATCCTAGGTCAGCCATGACTGTCTAGGTTAGACATTCTTATTTAGCATACACACTTTAAGAAAATATTACACAAAGTAAAAAAATTCTTTAGAAACAACTTCTAAGATTCAAAATTATGTTATGCCTGCCTGTAAACATAAAGCTCATAATTTGCTTTCAGTATGAATTCAAAATAAGCACTGGATTTTAAGTGTCCAAGTTCATCCGCTTGTAGCAAATCTTCTACCTCCGGCAGATATTCGCTGAGCTGCACTCCTACAATTTAATCAAAATTGTAAATGTTTAGTGATTTTTGGAAACATTTCAGAATAACTTGTTTAGGACTACAATATATTCACAACCTTTTCAAGCACTTTAATTTAGAAATAAATTAAAAAAAACATATCTGGCAATATGCTCTTAGCAAGTCAAGCTTTATATTTTGCTAGCTATATATTTAAATCTTGACTATTAATGCTTCTTAAAAGTTTGATAGCACAGATATTATTGTATGAGCAGAATTTTAAAGTACAGGACTCACAGGCAACATACTTCTGGAAGCACAACAAAATTTACCTTCTTTTAACAACTTTTGTATTATTTTCACAAATATGCTGTCTTTAGATGCTTCAATTGGATCATCTTTGCCTTCTGAACTGGACCAACTGCAATTCAAAAGTTTTTTTTAAAGGGTGTGTTGTAAAGATTAATAAAAGGATCAACAATATGATAAATGAGAATTCCTAGTGCTGCTTTTTACCATGTGTATTTTCCAGACCTGAATTATTTGCAGTTGTCTTGCGCTCAGGATCTTTACCATGAGAAGTTATTTTAAGGCAGTATTAAGAATGTAAAAATGCTTGTTCACATTACAAAAACTAAAGTACCAAAAAAATTAGATAGGCCTTGTTATAGACTGGTATCCAAACAGTATCTTTTGCTAATGGAGTGACATCAAACAGCAAGACCGATTCTGCATTCAGTCTCCATGTCCACCCAAAATATTCTCCAGAGGTTTGGAGTAGGTTACAAGGGCTCATGGGGAGCTGCAGTGGAGAAGAAAGGAAGGGAAACTTCTGCTGCATGATCAGCAATCTGCTATTATAATGTTGAATATCATCAGTAGAAGGTATCATAGTTAATATAACATGCTCCCATGCTTTGAAGAGCATAACATAGAAGTGATAGTATTGGCCTGACCCCTCTAACAGGCAAATTTCAAAAGGCACCTGTATTACACAAAGAGAATGGTCAAATCTGAACAACGATATGCAGCTTGCACAACCAGTTTTTTGATGGCTTAGTTGTTGCATTATGCTTTCAGTGTGTATTGTCCTACATTGGTGAATTGTTTCATTAGCAGATTAACTCAGCATTCAACCTTGACCCTCCCTACAAGAAGTTTGCTAGAACTGTTTCTGATACAAGATGCTGAGCCAAGAGAACTTGGAAATCATGTTCTGAGTTTTAGTTCAATATGAATGAATGCCTCTTTTCATTAGAGAGGCCTATCTTAAGTAACATTTTCCAAAATGCATTTTTAAACATTTTTGAGCAAGAACACTTGATTAAGTTTTTCTTGCTACTACTTTTACTATAAGATTTTTCTATATATCTGCTCTTAAATGTAAAGTTTGTATTGAACAGCAAAGCATGCTGAGAAAATGCATCCATTCTTCCCTAAACCCTTTCTCCATTGCTATTTATTTTTCCTTCTGTAGCAATGAACCAAATGAATAAGAGAAACAAAATTCATTGCTATGTTAGGAAGTCACAAAGTGTTCTCCACCAGCCTCAGGATACTACCCAAGAATTTAATTGCCATATATAGCTTTGGAGAATAAAAAAGTATGCAAATTTCTACAGGGCAGATAGTTCAGGGCATCCAGTGTAGGGATATGAGCATGCCTCAATAATGAAGATGATTTTTTTCATTCAAATAAGGATAAATGCTTAATGTATAATCTATAGAACCACTGACTGAGAAAACGCTATTACTAGAACGCTAAACATGCTATTCAAATAAGGATCAATTTCTAACAAATGTTTGCTCTGACAATTTAGATATCAACCTTTGATTGGATTACTTTAAGATTTGTTTCCATAGAGTTAATAGTATTTGTAAATGGTGATTTCTATTAAGTAAAACCTGAAGCTGTTACTATAGCAGAGAAAACAGATTAATTCAAAAATTCTATAGATTTGTTCAGGAATAAACCTCAGTGAACTAAAAGGGACCAACTTTTGGGTGAACCTATACACAGACTGGGCTGCACACATATTCATGCAGGTAGCTGTCTGCATAGTGTTTCAAATAAATGCACATCATAATAAGGTCAATGTTGCAGTTCAGTATTGCAAGGGCTTATGGATTCAATCAGTTAATCGTAGAACACAATGCTGAACTTCATCTATTCTGGTATTTTGAAGCTTGAGAGACTAGACAGTAGTACTGTTTTAAAAGCTAATCAGTTTTCAAGAACTAAATGGGGAACATGGTATTCTAATTTGTCATAGGGGTTGTCCGGAACAATGTGCAAACAGAAAAGTGGATTCTAACTACCTCCACGCAAACATACTCTGAAGAGCCATCTTTAGCTGTTTGAACATATTAAAATCTATGGAAGAAAGAGACAGGAAGCAGGGTACTGCCTGGCTATGGTAAAAGACTAGCTCCATTTGGCAGCACCTTGCCCAGCACTGTTTCCACTGAAGCAAACTGTATAAAAACTCTGCAACTTTCAGAGCCAGCATAAGGTTTTTGCTTCACTTTCTTTCCACTTTGCACCTCATCACCTTTTCCTTTTGCGCTACCTATTCTAGATTGTAAACTTGAAGACAGTCTTGTTTGTTCTTAACGGAACATAAACTTCTCTGGGAGTATTTTCAGATGAGGAGGAATATGAAATGCTTTAAATCAATAGTGTTTACTTACTCATCTCTCAGCAGAGCTTTGCAAAGTATTTTAAGTTTAAGATAATTTACGTCCACTTGCTCATCCTTTATTTAAAGGGAGAGAGGGAAAAAAGGAATATTAAACACATTTGAAATGTCAAAGGGAGAAAAACAATATACATTCAAATATGATAGTTTTAGTTTTTATTATGCCATTACCACCTTAAGTGAACTAACAAATTAGGCTAGGTTTCAAGGACAGTACATTTTATTTTATTTTGAAGATGGTTTTAAAAAGGGATATTGTTAGATTGGGTGGGAAGAAGGGAGTCAAGGGACAGAGTACTGCATCAAAAAGCAGTACAGCAAAACCTCAAAAATGTGTGTTACAAAGAAAAGAGAACCAAATGAGCTTGAAAAGTTTGCAGAATGGTTGATGAAAGAGAAGACTACCAAGAGATAGGCAGCCCAAAATTCTGTTCAAAATGCTACTGTATGCAGAAACCTAAAGAGAGGAATTAAGTAGTCCTAACAATGGAAGCAAAAAGATTTTAGCAGACGCACATAAAATCACTGGAAAGAGGAATGGATAGATGATAACAGAGAAAGATGATATTGCAGACGCAGGAAGAAAAGAAGGTTGAAAAATGAAACAGAAAAAAACATGTAAGGTTGAAGAGTAAGGAAAATTCAGATTATGCAAACAATATCAGTCCATTCAGAGCTACTAGAGGAGAGAAAAAAAATAAAGTCAGCTTAAAAATTGCTAGATTTCCTCAAGCTCTCTTGAGACAGAGATAGACTTTAGAGGCAAATTAACTGCATAAGAGTACACATAAATCTGATGGAAGATACTATGAAAGCTGTATACATTCTTTTATAAGGAGGGAGCCAACATAATCAAGTTAGAGAAAGCATGAACTTACTACAAATACAGTCTAGTTAGAAAGTAGTGGTGAACTGGAAGAAGGTTGAATTTTAAAACATCTTTTATTCCACTGTAGTCAAGCACAGAGCAGCTTTGCACAAAGCCAGGGAAAATGTCTCTTAGTAACAGACATAGTCAACTTTAAAACTTTATTAGGAAAACTGCAGAGATGAAAAGGACAAGGCAGCAGCAACCATCTGCTTTCTCAATCTACAAATGATGCTCCAGGAAAGTTACCAGTTCTACAGTGTGACTGGCACTGTGAAACTACATATCTATTGAGCCACCCTTTTACTTATCAACAATTTCCACAGATCTAAGCAGTTTGAAGTATTTTTTGTTCCTAAGGAAGTAAAGTCTGACTATGATGGCCCAGAAAGCTAAATAGTTCATGGTTCAGTTTGTGAAAAAAATAAGTCAATTTAACTAGGCTTACAATCTCATACATGGCTAATCTGAGGACTGGGAAAGAAGTTCTGGGACAAAGACAAAGGAAAAGCCCAGAACCTAAAGCAGGCAATGGAAAGGAACCCAAAGGAAAAGCAGGGATGAGCTTCAGAAAAGGGGTTCTGGGAATAGGGAACTGAGCTAACCAGAAAAAGTTCTCCAAAGAAACCTCGCAGAGACAGAAACATATGAAAAAGCTGGGGAAAAGACAGCTTTTCACCGTCAGTCTAATCAATCTCACAGGATTGTTGTTGCATGGATAAAATGGAGTGGAGGAGGTCTATGTAAGCCCCCTTGTGCTTCTTGCAAGAAGAAAAAGGTGGGATATAATGTAATATATGTAATAATTCATTTAGAATACTTCTAGACTTCTTTCAAGGGCAAAAGCCCTCCCAGGGTAACTTATACAATAAAATGCTGTAACAATGACAAAAGAGCTAAAATTAATAAAAATAATGAACACCAGCAGTAAAAACATCTATCTTATTCTCTGGGATTCTCTGGCCGCAGTCTTCTAGTGATATTTGTAAAGATTCTCTTAAAATATAGAATCATATGTACACTCTGAAATTTCTATTGATTTTTGTTAATTAAATCTTTGCAACTAATTCTAAAAGTGACCTTTTCGAAAGACAAACACAGAAATACACATTTTGTTGTACACCTCTGTACTTCACAGACTAAGTGCTCTATTTAATAAAAAGGAAGTTGCCAGTACTTAAAACTGTCAGAGTGCTGTCAACTTCAGTATTCTATAGGAAACAGGCAAGGGGCTGGATAGTCATTTACTCAGATGACAGAGGGGGGATTTCAGTGAGAGTGTAAACCATTCTTTTGAGATCAGATTGCTGAAACTAATTCAATCACATACCTCATTAAGGTACTCCAGAAGATCAAGTGCTTTCTTGAAGTCATATTCATTAGCCCTCCTGTTCTCATCACATATATATAACTATTACAAAGATTGAAACACAAAAATATTTTTAGACTTCAAAATGATGCAAGTGACCTTGTTAAGCATTCATTGTGGGAGAACCACCCTGTGTTCTAACTCATGTGACCTTTTCACTGAAATATGTCCTGATTCAGCTGTAGGTATTTTTATAGGATAGACGAGTGCTTGAGGTTTTAGAAATGTATTCCACCTATATTACAATGGAAAGAATGCACTGTGAGGTTGCAATATGATAAGCTTCATATTTGCATACCATTTTAAGCCATAACATTCCTAGTCTATTGTGCTAGGAACTTAGTTACACAAATAAGTGTTCTGTTAGAGAAATTAAGTCCACATTGGTTGACAAACAAGTATCATCTACAATATTCTGGAAAAACATAAGACCTGGAAAACACCAAAAGATCTATTTATATTTAACATCTTGGAACTGTTTGGTATAAAATAGAATCCAAGCCTGTATGTGACAAATGAACAGAAGGAACATTTCTCATCATCTCCTCACTGAAGCTAAGTGGGCTCCCTGAAAAGCCTCCCCAAAAGGTTGAGGGACCCTCCTGACCAATACCTTCCAGGGCACAAAGGAAATTATCCATCATATCACAGTCAAGAACTGTGGAGTCTTGTCTTGGCTGGCCAGTGGCCTGGTAAGTGTCCACTGACAAAGAGTGGTAAGTAGCAACCACAGATACTGACCAAGTGAGGCTGCATATAGGTTACTTGACAGTACACACCTGACAGATGTCAACTGAAGAAGGAAGTGGCTTAAGGGGAGTTTTGTGCCAAAAGACAATGACAAGTACATCACCATCTTAGCAGTGTGATAAGTATGTCCTACAAGTTCTTATTAGTCACCAGCTTTTCGAAACTTCCCCAAGTCTCTTGGTAATTCAGAAATCCTCCTTTTATGAACAGTTAGTTTTAACAGTTGCCAAAGAAAGAGTTGGTTTTATATAGCTAGCAAATTTGAGACTTTTTTTTGGACAGGGAATGTATGTATGTTAAGTGGGTGGTACCCTTTCAGTGCCACTTTGTTCTCCCCCTTTGACAACTGAAACAGACAAGGTAATTGACCAGGAAAAGCTACATATTTCAGACACCCATCGAGCGTACACTTGCACAATTGCAAAGAACTCACAAATGATATTTTTTTAAAAACTGTAATTTCAGGGGTCAAACTACACAAAGGTCCCACAACCTCAAATATTCTCTTTTTAAAGGCACCATTTTTCAATGTCAGTGAATGAAAACTGCAGTGGTTGGAGGCCGGAGAGGGAGACAAGTTTTGCTGTGAACGGCACTGGTATATGTGCTGAAGCCAGCTGGAGGACTGAGAAGAACCCATGCGTGAGCTCAGTAGTCTTTCAGGTGTATTGTGGGTTGTTCAGTGAACAACTCACCATAGCTTATTCACAGATTGGTTTAGTGGGATATTTAAATGCTGTCTATGAAATGTTATATTAGTTGAAAAACTGTCAAAATAAACCCAAGAATCAGCCTCAAATACAGTTTTGACAACATGGTTCACAGAATGGGAGACTACCTCCAAAAATGTATGAAAACCATTGAAAACTTTTTGAATGACCAGGACTTTTTTTGTCATAGAACGCACCGGAACGATGTTCTGGCACTTTTTTTCAATGGATTTTATGAAGTGATTTTGAGGCGTAGCAGATCAGCAGCAAACATCATTAACATAGTGCCTGCAGGCTGCTATTGTGCCTGCTATCTGATAGTGAGAGATAGCTACTTTGGATGCTGCTGCTCAGCTTGGGATTGGTGTGTGTGCTTACTGCCCGCGACTGAGTTCCAGCACTTTTTTTTTTTTTTTTTTTACAAAAAAAGCACTGTGAAAGACTATACAACAAACAACAGTAAGACTGAAGAAACATTTACAACCACTTACTATTACAGTTGGACTATTTACGAATCTCCAGTTGATTGTTGGGATTTATGAATTTTGTGACATTAAAATTACAATAAAACATTTTAAAATTTTGAATATCTCACCTTATGAGAGTTGCAAGCTTTTCTCACGAATGCAGTCACAACACTATATACAACCAAATGTTTATATAGTGCTATCATGATACACAGGATTTTTTATAAAGTGCAAGAAGACAGGTTCTGCATATGTTCATTACCAAACACTATTTACATGGTTGTCCATGCACTCAGAAAGTGGCAGGTTGGCTATCAACATGCATTTCCCCCCATTACTACTATTCTCCATTTCAGGAGATCAAGATCTTATATGTAATGCTGTGAAATTGGTAATAGCAAAAAAAAATCTTTGTGGACCAGCCTTGGTGATAGCAAATTGCTTGTTATCCAGAAGTTTATTTTATTTGAAAAGCAGCACACACTACTCTGGGGAAAAGAAGCTGAACTCAGCTCAACCTTGGGCTGACTATACAGAGGCTTACTCTGGATTTTTATTCAGATCAGCTATGAACATATTGCTCAACAAACTAGGATGTGTGTCAGGGGTTGTATGAGTTCACAGCAAGAAATTCAAATTAAAAATACTGTTAAGACAACTAGTAGCACATACCTCAATCAGTTGGGGGGCACTTAACACAGGCATTTCATTGAGATTTAATTTTTTCTCAGCCAGCAACAGCTCAGGTAATGTTTCTTGGTGCAGCAGAAAGCGCTCTTGCTCAGTAATTTCTTATATATGTTTAGAGAAACAGAAGGATAGTACACATTACTATAGTTACAGAGTATAAAAACAGTAACATTCTTTTATTATTTAACTCAAATATTGAAAAGAGTAGGTTAATTGGAGTCTCCTTGCAAAACCTTGAACAAAAATAAGGCTGCAAAACAGTGGCCAGCAACTAGCATTTTTGCAGTTCATGCCTCCTGCATCTCTGCGAGCAACTGGATAGTTAGTTCACATGGTGTATCAATAAGATTGTATTCCAAGCACAATGGTGATTTTCTTAAAAAGTTATACAGGAGATAGCTTTTAAAAAGGAGATGATCAGTGCAGAATTGATACATTACTCTGGGAAACAAAACCCTGGCACTACTATCCACATTTTGTACTATCACTCAACCACCATGCTGTTTGGGTACAGAACAGAATTCTAACAGAGGGCTATTAAATATATACAAGACACTTTAAACATTGCCTTAGAAAAGAAAAAGGAATACCGTCAATTTTCTCATTTACTATCACATCTGATAAATCCGAAGCCAGCATCGATAATTTACTTAAGCCAAGAAGAGTTTTCTTCTTCACAAAGTACCGCGTTTCTATATTTGCTAAATTCTGTAGTGTTCGGTGAGCCTAAAATTGACAAATATGGAATATTAAAGTTAGAGAAGACCAAAAGAAAAACAAGAGATGCTAAACAAGGAAATTCTTCCTAAAATATAATTTATGGGCAATCTAAATAAAATTAGTGTTCTGTAAGAAGCATGATCAAATTCTGAGATTGCTGAAAAGAGTTTTCTTCCTATCCTACACTAAAGTTGCAACCCTAAACACACTTATTATGTCACACTTAATTCAGTGAGACTTTCTTTTGCATAAACATATTCAGAGTGCAAATATAACTTAGTCACCATTACAGATCTAGGGTTAATAGCAATAACCAAAAATGTACCATTAATGTTACCTAGACATCAGTGCCAGATATAACTTTTACAAAAGAGTATTTAATAATATATTTGTAAAATCAATTGAGTTGCTTTCTATTGAGTTTCTTCACAAGATTTCAGTTTATTTTTAAAATGTTTTGAGATACAGCTATCAGAAATAAGAAGAACTCACTAAAATGTGGGCAGGTTCCAAAATATTCACAAAAAGATAAAATATATTGGCCAGATTTAACAAAAAAAACCCCTCACAATATTGTGCTATTATAACAATATTTAGACTGGGGAATATGACTTCAAACATTTATATGAACTTTGCAGTTTACAAACAAAACAAGTACATTCACCTGGCTACACTGAAAAACTACAACAACTAGCAGTTGAACAAGAAAAATGTTGTATTAAAAATTCCATTTCTTAAGAACTGTAAAAACATCTGAAGAATTTACACTGACTTTTGTGTCAGTGTTTCAAAGAATTAGACTGCCTTATATACATTCTTCTTACTTTAAGGAAGAGATTTAAATTGTGTGGAATAGAATTCAAAGAGGCATGAATGGAAGAAACTCTGGCAGTGAGATTGCGTGAACTCATGCAAGAGCTATTTGGAAGCCCTCCCACAACACAGCGCACATATCTTGTATGACAGAATGTGCAATACCTTGTGCTGGAATGCACTAGGCAGCACATGGCTGGATTAGTGTAGAAAAGAGTCTCTAAATGTCTTGTACTTTATAATACAACGTACCTTTTCCAAATCATTACTGTTGATGTCATGTAGCCAACTCAGATGTTCATGAGATTGTAGGAAGCTGGCCAACTGGCCGTGCTGAGCAATGGGCTGTGATAACAGTTTCCCTCGTTTCCCTTTCTCCAAATACCAACGGAAAAGGAAATCTGAAAAATTCTAAAAGTTACAACTGAGTAAGCATGGCTGTTCAGAATGGTACCTCCTTGCAAAACTGGGAACTTACACTAAAAATATTAGTCATGTGGTAAAGTAAATATTTTCACACAATTAATGTAAAAGTAATGACTCTACTCTCTTAATATGTTTTAGCAGAAAGCTTGGAACTAAGTCCTCCAGTAAATGAGCCATACTTTTCAGCAAATTTTCAGTTATGATATGACTACATTCCAACAGTAGCAAGACTAAACAAAAGAGTTAAATATACAGTGCCCATTTCTGGAATAAAAGTACATCAAATTGGTTCTGTAGCTCTCTTCTAATAGTGAAGCTAGAAAATATATATAGAACTAAAACCTCCTTCATTTATTCTCATCAATAGTACATGCATGCACAAGCATGCATACAAACAAGATAACAGGAAGAGTATGTTCATGACTCTGGAGAAATGTGGCAGTATCCATGCCTATCCTGGAAGCCATGTCCTTTTCCGTGCGTATATGTAAGGCTGCAGTCCTCAACTGGGCTCTCATAGACTTCTCATTTTTTAAAAAAATTGGAAGAGAGAAAGTACTCTGAGGGGCTAAGTTTTGCTCTGCAATGTCTAGGCAGATTTCTTTCAATGCATATTTTTGGCTTGCTTGGTTTGGTGTAGTCTGTAGTGAGTGGGTTCTGTGAATCAGAACATGTTGGTGTACTCCGGCATTTATTTGTGGGGTGCATTTCACTTATATTCTCTGTGTGTGGGAGAATGTGATTAAGTGGCTAGGTTGCACATGTATATACATTTATGCACATTTGTAAACATCATTAGTTTGCTGTGAAATGGATATTTTGCTGTGCTTTTTGATACCAAATCTATGATTTGGTATTTGTGACTCACATCCTTGCACTTCTTGCTTTATATTCAGTTTCTTGACTACTCTATATTTCTGAGTCAACTTAATTTTCTGTGAAAACTGTGGGTTTGAAGAATGACTTGGTGCTTTAGAACCTAGAACTGATGTGCCTTGTACATGGGTCGAGCAAGTTATTTCTGTTCTACCTCCACCAGTTTGCCTCCTGGAAAATAAGTATTCTGTAGCTGACCATGCCCCTCTGAAGTAGCCATTTTGGATAAATGTCCAGAGCTTGCTCTCAAAACTCCAAATGCACTCACCAATCCAAAAAGGATTGCATATTTACTTTCAGTAAGCAGTTTATCACCAATTATGCTCATGTGTGTTTCCACCCTAAGTTTTTAGGAAAGGCAGATAAAAAGATTTAAGATGGGCAGAAATGTTCTATGAAGTTTGCTTTCTTGGCAAGCTGGCATCCTTTCCTAAGGTGGACATGACTCTGTCCCTCCTCCACTCAGGGATTCCCTTCCTGTAGCAATCACACAACTGCACCTCGTCTCGGGTAAGGGAGGGCTTTTGTTTCTGTTCATCATCCTTACTTATTGCCTTTTACTGAACAACAATGTTGGAAGGATCCAACTTCTGCTTCTGTTCCTGCTGTCTCATGGCACAGGCCCCACACTTCTTAAGAGTTTCCCATCCTAGCTAATGAATCAAGTTACTTTGATATTTCAGTGAAAGGTTGGCCTCTAACAATGCACTTTTCTCCCTTAGAGTCCAGTTCAGGCTATGACAGTTTATTTCCTTTTATTTAGCAGTTAGTTTCTTTTACTTTCCATGTCCATTATTTATCTAGATGCTTCAAGAAGCGAGCAGGAGAACCACTGTATTCTGTATTGTTTCAGCCTCATCAGAACCTCCCCTGACCTGGTGATGGTCATCAAGTGGTTATTCCTAAGGCTGGGAAGCTCACTGCAACCTTGAAGCCAGTTGTAACTGAATAGAAAGATGTAAACCAAGTGTTTCCTGTTGACCTGGTTTTGCTTGATTGTGCATATTTTACACAATGACTTGTTAAAAAAAAAAAAAACCTCATAGTCCTTTGGTCACATTCTTGAACACGGCAGCTGAGTAGGAAACTCAGCAGGATGGTAGCACATTGGAATATTCTGTCAGTAAGTTATGAGGGTCTTCGATAGGTTTACATATATGGAAAACAGTAGGATTTGAAATGGAAATTACTAATGGCAGCTGTCCAGCCTGACCATTAAATTCCCAGTGTAGTAAAAGAGGAGCTTAACAGAAGAAAACATGTACCCTCATAATCTTGAAACAACACTTTTGAGATATTTCCTATAAACTGCTCTTAATTAACAGCCTGTCACTTGAATGAATAAAGAATGTTACCTGATCAGCGAACTGGGTCATGTAACGCTGTAATCTAGGCTGGTTATCAGTCTGCTCACACATTTGCACCAAAATATCAAAGTCACAATATTTTTCTGCCAGAGCAGCAGCTAACTGGTATTGTCCGAGTGCAACTGGAAAAACAATCAAGGAAAAAGATCACTAATAGATATACAGATATTTATACTGCCTGGAAGTACATATGTAGCATTGATTGTCCTTTTAACCAGCTCCTCATGATTTTGTAAACAGATTCAATATTTTAAACTGTTTTACCCTGGTAGGTCCTTTCAGCTCAGTCCATTGCATGAATAGCAAAACTTTTCTACATGCTGATGGTAATTAAATACCTGTGAAATATTTTTCTCTAAGCACATGTGCCTAATATGCATTACCAGCAGCATGAACTCTCACATACAGGATAGCTGTTCTACAGATGAAAAACAGAGTCCCCAATAAAATACATACATACATATATTAAAAGGTTTTAAAATGGCAGACTACTTTGAGCTGGGGGAACAGACAAACTATCAACATTGTTTTAAAAGTAGGATACAGGGGTATTAAATGGTGGGGATGAATTCCCACATACAAAGTAGTAAAACAGCCAATATGGCATGGTGTTTAGAGTGTTGGACTGGGGACCAGGGAGTTCCAAGTTCGAGACTCCACTTGGCCAAGAAACTTTGGGCCAGTCACTCAATCTCAAGCTAATCTACCTTACAGGGTTGTTGTGAGGATATAATGGAGTGGATAAGGACTATCCAAACCATCTTGGGTTCTTTGCAAGAGGAAAAAAGGCAAGTTAGAAAAGTAATGTAATATATGTAGCATAACTAAGACAGGATATACAATCTACTTGCTATCAAGAATATCATAAGCTCTCAAGAATAGATATTACTGCGTTATTATTATCTGTGTAATAATGTTTCAGAGCAAGAAACAGAGGAGTGTTAGGAAAATACATAATATGGCTTTCCTGAGAAAAGGTTTTGAATCCTGCACAAGTTCAATAAATGAGCAACATATTTGCATTAAAATCTACTTCCTTTGAAAAGGCCACAAGTAGTGCCTAAATATAGCTTTTGTAAAATTTAAAAGTGATAGGGTTATTAAAATGTTTTAAGAAAAATGTATATAAACTTATGGCTAATTAAATCTAACAGTTTTAAAATATGTGCATAAATGTTAAATAAAAATACCTTATCAGAGCTACAGAGCTCTGAAGTCATAATGAACAATTAAGACTGCAAAAGATTGCAAGCTGTGAAAGAGCCACTCAGTAGCTGTCCAACAAAATGCCACTCACTGCAAACATTGCATACATTCAAAAGCTGCAAAGCAACTTAAGAATCCAGCTAAGTAATCAGAGAGAATTTAAGAAGCACCTTAGAATTCAGTTGTTGAAAAGGAATTTCAGACAAGTCCCTGTTTAAGCAGTAGCCACATGGACTTTAGCCACAGTGTTCTATTCCTAGCCAAAGAATGAGGAATTGGCAATGATGAATTAGTACATGTGAAATTGTGTTAATAATTCCTTGTAAATGATTTCCCCACCCCATATATAGCTTTAGTGAAAGCAACCCAACACTTTTCTGTAACAAATACTTTAAAACTAAACTCTACTTTATGAAATGTTGCTCTATTTCTCATTTGATTTGATGCTACAAGCCTAAGAGAATTCTCTTGAGAAGCAAAAAAATAAGTCACTGTTGAAAATGCAAATTAAAAGAGAGAATATTCCTATTCCCTCTCTCTCTCTTATCATTAGTAGGGGCTTAAACAGCACTCTGTAAAATAATAGCAACACTTACGTAGTGGTGACAGTAATTCTGATCTTCTCTGTATATATTCCATTTCCAAACTGTTATATCGTTCCTGATACTCGGGCCGGTCCACAAATTTAAGCTGAGAAACATAACCATCCAGAAAGCAATCTAATAGTGCCACCAGCTGTTCTGTCACTGTGCTACGAAGCTTACTGTTAACTTGTGGATAGACCTTCTTCAGAATGATCTCATGTTGCTGGACTATTGCTGTACGCACACCAACAGACGCTTGAGAACACAAACAAACAAACAATTTCCTATTTGACATATAAAATGTGTGAACCTACACGATAGCAAATATGTCAAAGACAAGACAGAAGGAACTTGCAAAAATATAGGTATTCAAATGTTAGCATCATCCACAACACAAGACTTTCAGTAAACCAAAAGTCTATCTGCCCAGCAATAAAAGGAAAAGGTACACATAAATATGGCTCAAGAGCAGAAAGGAAGATTTTTAGAACTTAATGTATCACATCAGACTAGGGGAAAAATTACTACTTTCTTGCAAGTGACAATTCCAAGCTACTACAGGCATGACATGCTATAATGTCAGAAATGTTTCAGACATCCAAATATTCTATTCTGAAGAGAACAGACTGGATTGCATATTCACTCAGCTCTCATCTGTACTTTTTGGGAAGAAAACGTGAGAATTCACCTTGTGGCTGAGGAATCACATTTATTTCAAATGTCATACCAAAACCTATATAATTTAATCCAAGTAAGTTTGGCATAAGTTTCCGAAGCAAATCATCTAAAATGTTCTCTCCGCTAATAGCCCCATTAAATATTGTTTATATCAGGGTGTACAGAGAGCTGTATTTGTTGCATGTCAGAAACCATAATGCTGCCAAGCAATCAGACTTGCTAACTTACATTCAGAACAAGAATGTAAGAAACAAAACACTAACATCTTCATGTACAAGAGAGTCTATCGGGAATTTATGAAACACACAGTTTGAAACTTGGAGCTAGGACAAGAAATTTAAAGCGTAATAAAACATTCTTCTATGTGTAAGTTCCATACAGATAATACAGCAATACTGTGCTTCAAACAGCAGCACAATATGTAACATTTTCACTATCCTCACCTGTCCATGGAACATACTCAGGGTCCATTTCAGAGGGCTCTCTCATTTTATATAATGAGGCTTTAGACTGACGATCTTGGATTGCAGCTTGTAGTATATCCTGGAGAACAGTAGCAAAGAAAAACAATGATCTTGCCAGCCTACTCTCCCTGCCTATCAGTACTGGCCATCTGAACTGGTGAGCACCATCATAAGTATAAATAGAAACTGAGAACCAAGAGAGAAGTATCAGCATGTTTGGTGGAACACCTGAAGACTACATAGCACAAGTTTCCCCTTTTAAGAATATACCAAAGTTTAAAATTTTCATATATTCTTGGATAAAAACTTAAATACAACCTAAGGCAGAGACAATTGGAAAATTATTGGCTAGAACAGGAATACTCTTTTTAGGACACAGCACATTCTGCAAAACTTGTTTTAAGTTCCACTTGTTCTGTACTTCTATAAACACAGGCAATCTTTTCAAAAGACACATCTCAGTTCTCAAGATGAAAAACTGTGTAGAGAAACAACTCACCATACATACATTGTGAGTGCTGTGTAATACTGAGATTTCTACTTATTTATCTGCAATAGTGTCAGGAACAGAAGGTGCTCTCAAATTGCTCTTACCCTTTGCCAGGAGTTATTACCCATATATGGTAATATTTGGGATACATGATGATTATTTTACATTTTAGTAATTTTACCTTTACATACCCTGTATTACAATTGTACCCTCCTCCTTTATTCCTTTTGTTTTGATCACTGATTTGTTCAGTACTTTAAGTTGAAGGAAGAACCTTTGTGAACCTCCATTTCTTTCCTTTTAAATGCCCTATGTAATATGGATTTAGTTTCCTATTAAATCTTGTGTTAGCACATGGCTGGGGAATGCTGGGAGTTGGAGGACTTTTTTCAATCTAAACATGCATAGGATTGTGCCATTAAAGTCCGATAGATTTCAGTTGCAGTGATTTAAGCACATGCTTAACTTTTCCACTGAAACCAAGCATAATTAAAAGTACTAAACTGGATGGGATTATGCCCCACATTTTTAGGTCACATAGTGAAATGTTTGTCCACTAACCCCCTCCTCTCTGTAGTCCCCTACACACTCTTAAAATTGCTGTGGAGGATTGGAAGACTCTAGAAGAGTTTTCTGGGGGTACTGTAAGGAGAAAAAGAAGGGGACATTTTGTTACATAAGCAGAAGTCTGCACAGCACTCAGTGCAACCCATTGTGGTAGTTCTGACTCACTGTAATTGAATCACTAAGAAGTGTTACCTTTATAATATTGTTTACATTGATAACTATTTCAGCCCATTCCTCAGACTGAACTGGTATATCCTTCAAGACCTGTTTTTCCTTTTCCAGCAAGCATTCAAAAATTGTATCAATCTGCGATACCTGAAAAACAAACAAAAAAGCAACTTTGACAATTAACATGTTTTCTTGACTACAGTGATCCAATCTGACATTTTATGCACTAAGCGGTTAAGTGATTTACTTAGCACATTAAGAAAGCATTTTTATGGCCTCTGGGTATTTCCCTCCACTGCCTTCTTTACCTGGCACAGAAAGCACAGCAATGGCTGAACAAGGCTGACCTTGAATGAGGATGCAAATGAAGAGGAAGGGGAGAAGCACTAAGGTTCCACAACATCCTGAAGCCTCACAAATCCTGTTTCCATGACTGAATTACAACAGCTAAATGAGAATAGAGCGGCAACAGCTCCTCCTATTCTTTGGATTTGCTTTGCCCATCTTACAGAAGTATCAGCTTTTCGGCCGTTCAGCTTTCATTATTAAAAATCAGTAATGGTAGATTTTAGGCAGATGCTTCCTAGAGAAAAATTAGTCCATCAGATTTTCTATTGAGCTTTTTGCTCTGCTAAATCACACTTGATATTGATCTAAACCTAGGATGTTACATGGCAGCTCACATATTTGAATATGATCTTATTCATAGAGAAAAACATTGTTACTTTAAGAACTGATTTATTTCACCTCTCTGAAGAAAACATCTGCGGGTGTCAGATTTGATGGGACATCATCTTCTTTTTTGTTTAAAGCAATCCGAATTGCAGCATTCACAACTTCTGGCAATCTGGAGTGATAGTTTTTGAGAACAATGGCTGCTGCTAACTTTTCTGCATGTTCACAGAGTAACCATCGAGTTGCCATTGGCAAGCCTCTTACATGAACACGGTCCAGATGTCCAAATAGACCCACCTTAGATAGAAAGAACTGTAAATAAAAATATTTTATGCCATTTTTGTATCAGTGCTTCTCCTTGACAATATAAGGAACATACCTGACGAAGAAAGTCAATAAATAGAGAATGTGCTTGTGACTTGTTTTCCAGCTGGCGAAGCAGAATGATGGACTGGTTGTTGAAACTAACACCTTCTATTAAAAAAGAAATAAAGAGGGTTTAAAATGATCTTTTCCTAATTTTCAAACACAAAGTTAATTTTTAAAACTTAATTCTTAACTAGATTAAATGGTAGTATAACAACTTTCTTTGGTTTCATGACAAATGCAACTAAGATTCACTTTTACTGGATTCTGTCAAACAAACATAAAAGAAAAGCAAGGGCATTCAGACATGCAGTAACTTAACTCCACCCTGAAGTGAAACAATCTTAGCAAGAACTAAACTCATGACTTTCCGAATACCTCTTTCAGCCTTAAACTATACAGCTGGCTTGACAGATATCATCACTGCTGCTTACAGGCATTTTCCCTCTGCGCACTTATTTCCATCCACACTGCAGAGATCACACCATGATTACTGTCTTTAGAATGTATAAACATAATGTTCATTTTATTTGGATGAGACCTTACCTTCAGGTACTGATTCAGCCCACCGTGGGTCAGATGTAGGGTAATCATCCACCAAATTCTCACTGATTTGCATTACAGCCATATCCAGGTCAATATTAGCACCCAGATCTGCTTGTATGGGAAAGAGCTCTGCAACTATAGCTTGTGCACCCTTCACATCACGTCTGTAAAGAAATTGTCAGTCAATCCACAGAAGGCTGTACAAATTAGATGTTTATTAATGGAAATTATTTACAAATAAGAAAAAGTCATTCTTTAAATAATAGCTTGAAATCGCTTAAAGGTTCTTATATTCAGAAATAATTAAATTTACTGATTTTACTTTTAAACATTTTTGCTTCTAATAACAACTCTGTGATACACAGAGTTCCTAAGGCAGCTTTGCCCAACCTGTTGCCTGCCAGTTATTTTGTATTACAACTCCAAGCATTACAGAACATTTCCAACTAGGACAGTTGCAGGTAGGAGAAGGATATCCCAAAGCAACTAAGTGACTTCAGATATCTAAAGAGCACTTGAAAAAAAGCACTGTACATTTTTCCATTTTCCCAAACTTTAGTTTTTTCCCCTGAAACTAATACTGGAAAAATGTGATCTTTCTATGGCTTCAAAATGTCAAGAGATTTTACATCTTTATTTGTTTTACATTACATGAGTTCATTTGTTTACCAATGACAGTATGCTTGCGCTATCATAAACACAACCTAATTCATTATCACTACTTCTGACATTCCTCTATTTTCCCTCACCCCAAACATAGGTATTTATGTAAATTTAGGAATCTATTCTACTTTTGACCCTGCTCCACAAAAGGAATAATATATTTTTAATGTGCCACAAGTCTTGTGTTATTCTATGTTAAAATATCCAATCAGCAGTCTACTCCACAGAAACACCCATGTGTACAGTGAGAACAATTTTCTAACAAAAACTAAACAGAAAATGTTCTAAAGGCTAAATATTGCAATAGAAATCCTTTTATGTGACTGTTGTTCTACAAAAACACTCTGCTCTCTAGAATGAAAACAATTTAATATTACATTTATTTTGTACCTGCAAAACTGTAAGAATGCAGATTTTAATATTTTAGTTTTATCCTCTTGTGCTATAATATCCAACCTGGAAACAGTATCAAAAGGAATACTCTAAAATGAAAAACAGAGAACAATATAAAGCTTTAAGGCAGAATAAACCTTCCATAAAGTACATTATGGCAAAATATGCGGTCTCTGAAGGAACTAACTTGCTTAACAAAATCTACTATAAAAATTATGCATCTTTAATAAATGTCAGTCTAAAATGAACAACATTTTTCCTTCTCTTCAGATGTGTGCCAATTATCTAGTATTACCTCATCATTTGGATCCACTACAGAGGAGGTTAACGAATCCTCAACATCTTCAGGAAGCACAGAAATGGTTTCCCTTGAATATATGGCCACAAGTCCACTTTTTCTAGCAAAAAAAATTGGGAGTCCCGTAGAGGAACCTGCTCCTAAAATTCTATCACCTAAGTAGAAAAAACAACAACCCAGCATCACCAGAATGCACAGATGTTAAATATTCAAGATTTGCTAAGCTAGATAATAAGCAGGATTACTAAAAGTGTATGAGAAAGGTACAAGATGGAATTTACTTAAAAGTTTTTGTAGCCAGAGGCACAACCCTGTGCAAAACAATTTTTTTTCTTAAATCTGAGATTTAAGTTCAGTTCCATAATTGTACAAGTTATTTAGGCAACAGTAAGAAGAACAATTGCTACAGCCATCACAATTTTTGGCAATGTACTTTAATGCTCATTGAAAACACACTCATTGGCTTAGTAAACATCATCCATAATTTTTAAAAGTTATTTGGCATTCTTACCTTGTGCACTGAAAATAATTTTCTCCTGTGGCAAGGGGGTTCTTCCTGTTCCAGTTGAGCAAGCAAATACCTCATCTTCTGTGTAAAGACAGGCAGCATGGTTGGAGAAATCTGGGACTATTAAATGACACATCTGTTCTTCTGGCTGAAAAATGTTCCATTAAGTGTTATAATGAGTGACATGCCAATTATAATATTTGCCACAAACATGTGATAGAAAGCCTAACATCAACCATCAAAACTTCATGGAAATGCTTAAGCAGCAGACCACTAGCAGTTCGGGCCCACTGGGACAGGGACAGCATGCTGCAAGTGACAGCTCTGTGGATCACTAGATGCTAATTCCACTTAATTTTCCATAATGACACGTGACACACAAGCAGAGTTTTATATTGTAATATATTCCCTGGCGTCCTGCGCTGCTTCCAGAAGTATTAATACATTAATTTAAAAACATCTTTTACACACACAACACACTTCTTACTGCATACAGGAATAAATCATTGACTGTTTTACAGGTCGTGTAAAAGTCATACATTTTCTGCCTGTAGATGAAATTGTGAAGAGAGAAGAGGCAATCCAAATCATGGATCTTCCCTGCTTAACCCTGTACCATGTCCCAGACACCCAGAAATCTTCTCAAATAAGGTTGAAACTCAGCCACATAAGAAAAGCAAGAAAGGGAGAAAATGAAGCACATGCTGGTGGGTGAGAAGGACAACTGTACACAGAATCCTGTGGTCTCTCCACTTCCTCCAATTCACTGAAAGATGAGTTAGCTAGATGGGCTCAGAGGTCCATTCAGCAGCTTTTTGTAACCTAAACAGAGGCAAGGTTGACTCCATCCTTCTCCCAGCCTACCTGGATCTTGCTGGAAAGGCAAAGGATAGTTAGGGGGCTCCAAGCTCACACTCCTCCATCTATGGAGAGTACAATCCATATGACTGTACTCTTACTTTCTTAACTATTTCTATAAAGTAAAGTTGAAGAGTCAACTGATTCTAAATTTTTTCACCTCTGGTATAATACTTTTAGCAAAATATTTACAACTTATACTTCAGAAACAAGACAACAGATAAGAGTAGAGATGATTAAATTAATAAAAATTAAAAACGGTGTAATCAGTTATTTTTACACTGCCCAATAGTCAAAGCCCTTTGAGAGGTTTACAATTTAAGTGGTATTACAAGAGGCAGGAAGAGAAAACTTACAAGCATACTTAGGGCAATACTTAATGAACCACAACATAGTTTTAAGCATATTATAAATTACCTGAAAAGGTGGGTTATACTGGGTGACCTCCACAGTAATGTTGTCAATTGTGGGGTAACTGTTATCCTCTACTGTTACCAAAGTATAGTAAATGAGACATGGAGTGTCACCAAGATGCCAGGCTGCAGCCAAAATCACCAGTCCATCACTATTTATTGGATGATACAACAAATAATTAACCTTTAGCCGTACTAAAAAACAATCAGAAATACAACAAGTTTTCCAATTATTCAACACCCCCCTGCTTTTTTCTTTAAAATAGTATCTTAAGAAAATGCACCCCCTAATGCTTTTACATTCTGCATAAAACCAAATGTTCAAAATATTAATTTAAAATACTGTAACTGCTAACTGGTAAAAGATATTACTTGGCTCCTGGAAGGACTAGGACAACATTTCCTTGAACAGTCCTGATTGTATTACACAAACTATTTTGTTAAATCTTTTTAAAAAAGTAATTAAGGCTGCAATTCTGTATGTGAGAGTAAAATCCCTTAAGCATAATGGGTTTGCTTCTAAGCAGACACATAAAAGATTGCAATATAATTATGTTTTGAAATGCCAAGTCCCACTACTCCCAAAAGTTCAGTTGCTATGGCTACAAGGAAAATATGAGCACTCTACAGACTTTCCTCTTCCTTGACCTACAACTGTTGTCTTATTATCCCTGCACCATTAGCTACTTTTCTGCCTCTGACTTAAGTATTTGCAATAATTAAAGAAAATGAAAAGTGCCCAGTCATCTCTCTTTCAGGATTAAGGGGAAAAGCAGTAGTTTGATGAAGTCTGTGCTTGGGCTTGCATGACACAACGATGCATTGTGAATAACTAGCTATGGTGTTTTGCCATGTCATGCAAACCGTGACTGCTTCTAGCAGAGTCGCATGTCAGTGGGCAATGTCACACTGATAATAAATGGCTTGCTCTAGAGGTTGTTGAACCAACAATGGTTTGCCATGTTGTCTGAGCACAGGCAACTGATCCCATCATGGATACAGAGATGTAGTGAGCAAGCTGTTCTACAAGAGTTGCAAAACTCCCTTGACATTCTTGCTAGGCAAGCTCAGTAACAGCTACCCTACCAAGTGCCCAAGTGGCATTCTGGAACAACCATCATTGGCTCAAACTTTCCTGAGCTGATTGCAACTCCTTTTGGACAAGAAAATATACTCAAATTTCAAGGCTAGGAAGTAAATGAAGGGAAATGTGGCACAGAATAATTAACTTTTCACAGGAAAAGTACTATGTATACATTTATGCAGTGGAGGCTCCCCTACTTGCTAAACAAGAACTTACTGATTTTGCTGAAGATCCAAATATTGCACGTTAATATCTCCTTTAATGTCTTCATAGTTACTTTCAGATCCCTGTACAAATGAAACATATTTAAAATACCAGAAATAAAGCAAAGACTTATTTTTATATTCCACATTTAGTATCTCTTACCCATATTGATTCCATGATGCTTTCTTTAAGTATTCTATTCATATCCCAACTCAGAACATGGCGTTCTGTAGTATCATCTATTTCCCATTTGTGAAGATTTGAGCTTGTCACTGCATAAAATCTTGAACCATTTTTGTCCAAAAGAACACTAGAAAGCTGCATTAAACATAAATTATGGACAGAAGCTTAGTGTTTGTTTCAATGTAGCTCTCTAACTGAGGTTACCAGAAACAGAACTGCTTGCTACCTAAATTCTAAAACTGACAATTAAATTCTCTGTACTTTCTGAGTTTGGTTAGCTACATTTCTCATGCAAGCCCTCTCCTTTTCACTGATTGAGTACTGAAGTGTTCACAATAAGGTATGGGTATGAGGAATGTATTGGCTGTGCGGCTCAGTCATAAATAGTGATTCATAGGTGCCGTTGCTCACTGATCTCACAGGCTGTTGTGGCAGAGCATCTATGGCAATCATCCAATATATTCTACACAACAATCAAGTCTATAGTAGATTCACTAATGGAGCTTTCTCCAACAATATGCTGAAGTCTAAATGTGACAAAAAATGTAGTGACTAAAAAACCAAAGTACTTTCTCAAGAGAAAATCTAGTTTTCTGGCAACAAACACTCATAAGCTTTTGGCATTACATTTGCATTCCTGTTTTCTGAGAATGAGTGTTTTGTGAATGTGACAGGAGTCAGATAAAAAACCAGTTCTGGAAGACACAAAGTCTAACTGTTAATACCTACATCTAGCAATATCATGATCACATACATGCACCTTCTATAATTATACTACTCTTTACAACTAGTGCTGTAAAGGAGGGGTGTGTGACTTGTGACCCTATTTCAAAAGTGAACACTTCAGACTGACTGCATGATTTGCCCTACTTTTGGCAAACTCCTGGACAGAAATGTGAGGAAGAGAAAAAAGGGGCTGGCTCTCTCCACCATCTCCATACATTTTGCCCCACAGTAGATAATCTCTGAAGCAATGCAACCCTGGACAGAAAAAGGGTTCTCCATGTCCACTGTATAAACACTTTCCTCACAATAAAGAAACTGGAAATCCAAATATAACAGTACAGTTAAAGTTAACCCATATTAAGACTTACTGCTGCATCATTACTGGGAGACAAAATCCCCAGCAAAGAAGAAACTCTCCGTCCTATCCCAGAAAACATGCCTTGCCCTTGAGGTAGGCTACGCTGATGAATCTTGCCACTATTGTCTGGCGTCAGTCGGATGAAATGACTCCTGGAAGATGATAAAATGAAGCTTCCTCCCTAAAAGAAAACAAACCCAATTCAGTTTCATCCAGCCTTTCACAGAAATTATATTTATCTTTTGCTTTAAGACTCGCTAAATCACTAATTATTCTACAAATATATGGATAGTCATCTGAATGAGATGGTGTAACCTGGTGCCCTGCAATAGCAGGGGGGTTGGAACCAATGATCTTCTGGTCTCTTCCAACTCTACTATTCTATGATTCACTTCCAAGTAAAATTCTCTTCTATTTCTTAAATATTTTTCCCACCCACCCCTATCTTAACTTCTGGAAAATGGCCAAGTGACAATCCAGATTTCCCCAAACTGTTAATAAGTGTGCCTAAACTTCCATAATATATGGCAAAGTTCCTACTTTACCTTCACAGCTGTTAGAAAACTGCACAGAGCACCTCCAAAATCGGTATATGTCTCAGTATATGAACTTTCCTGGGCAAGACTTGGCCAATAGCGTATTGATCCTTCACTTGTGGCAACCATTACTGACAAAGACTTACAAACATAACAAATAAATCTTGTTAAGTATATATTTATATCTTAAATCACACAGTTAAACCAGTTTCAAGCTTTTAATTGTCATTGCTCCCAGGTAAGAAACTCTAACAATATCACTAGAGAAGAAGGAAACAGTTTTGTGAAGCTGCTGAAGAGTGTGAAGTTGTTTAAAACTAACTTAAATCTGTTTTGTACTTAATTGATTTTGAGTGGGGTAGTGTAAACTAGTGACCTGCAAAAGTAGGGGGTTGGACCCAATGACCTTCTTGGCCTCTTCCAACTCTACTATTCTATGATTCTATTAACTGTTATATACTGTTCATTCAACACAGTCTTCTTAGCAGGGTGCTAACTTTAAAATAATAGAACAGTAAAAACTAGACATCAGATAGTTTATAGCCTAATAAGATCTTTAATCTAACTAGATAAAATAAAATCAGCAATAAAGCATTAAACAAAGAAGAAAATTAAACATTGATCTTAACAGGCCTTAAGACAAATTTTTAAATGACTTTACAAAGATCTTTAAATGCCTGGAAGAAAGAGCCCCCCCCCCCCCCCCCCCATACTGTGAGCTTGATCCTTCAGGGCAGGGATAGAGAATCTCTGGTCTAAAGGTCTGATCCAGCCTGTGGGGGATGGCAGAACCTCCTTGTATATAAAGTACTTCTTCATGCAACATATGGCTAAAATGTGGAATGCATTGCTACAGAAAGTAACGATGGCCAGAAACCTATAAGGCTTGAGCAGATTCATGGAAGCAGGGAATATCTACGGCTACTAACATTGCAGAGTATTTGCCACCTCTTTATGCAGAGATGGCATGCCTGCATAAACCAGTTGCTGAGGAGCTTGGACAGGCAAAGATCTTGCTCCCATCCTATGAGCAGCTGATTGCCACCATTTGTATGGAATGCTGGACTATGTGGACATTTGGCCTGATCTAGCATGGTTTTTCTGTTTCTATACAGTATTCTTACAGGGAATGGGGAGTGGCCTTCAAGCCCTGTCCCCTGGCGTAATCAATTGATTGAAACAGATTTTCTAGAGCTGTTTCACTTGGGCTTCAGACCTGGTTTTGGAATGAAAACTGCCTTGGTCATCCTGTGGGAATATGTACAGTGAGAGTGAGATGGACAGTGGGAGTATGATTGTGTCGAAGAGGGTAAAAGAAACATGGAGCAGGCAACCACTTGGTCAGCAGTGGGATGGGCCCCTCCTCCTATTGTCAGCAGAGTCTAGGATTCACACATCACTTGCCATCAAGGAACCCAACTGTGTCCACAGACATGGAACTTACAGAGTCATATGGCTACCCAACCCAAACTTGTTCTCTACCCCTGTATTAAAGCTTCACATTTTAATTCCTTTGATGTTCTGCTTCTCTCCAATCTTTTACTATTTAAAAAATCGAAACACCAAAAAACTATAACTAAGTTGCAAACCAAACACAATTGTTAAGAGAGAACACTCATACCTGGCAAATAGATCACATGATTTTAAGTACAATCTCCAAATAACCCCATAACAAAGATTATATTCATTGCTTTTATAAATTATATATCTAAAAATAAATATTAATTTTCTTACCTGTAAAGAGTGTGCTTCACCGGGGCTGTTAAGATAAGATATTGCTACTAAGCCTGAGCTCCACATATAATCACTGGGAGGCAACTGCAGTTCTTTACACCCAGACAGCTGCAACACAAATATGCCTATTGTATCTGACATGTTTTGGTTTAGAAGCATGCATCCATGCTACTCAGCTGAGTTAAAACTATGCATTGGATAATATTTCTCAAATCCTAAGAATGAAAAGACTGGACAAAAATCTCTGATTTTTGCAATTTCCATCTCATATTATGAATGAACTTTGTATTTTTACTATCAGCTCTCAGTACCTCTCTCTTTTCCTAAATAAGTTTACTCTGCAGAATACCTGGAACAAGGTAACGTTATAGATACCTTCAGCACACAGTCCACCAGAGACACTTTGGATGCACTCGGAATTTGGGCACTAGAGGAAGCATCCTCATGTCACACCTAACATATACATTTTTATGTCCATAAGCAACATGCAAAAATTCCAAAGTTCAATTTTGATTATGACAAACTGGAGGGATAGAAAGCCAGGTTCCTGGTACTCCCTCCCCCAAAAACACACAATGCCTCACTAAGGCTCAGTTCTCAGAAACAACATATGATGATGTCTTAAGAGACCTGCTTCTCAACTGTGCCACTTGAAACTATAGGTGGGGCTGATAAGTGAACAATCCTTCTATGCATCTTTATGGATCGTTTTTGAAAGGAATGAAAATATGTATTTTTAATTTTAAGACTAGAATCCCTAATCTTTTACCAATTCCTATTTAGTTATTTGCATGTGATACTGTAATAAAAAGGTCATCTTCTAAGAACAGATGAATAAACTTGGGCAATAATTATTTCTTTACTGTAATACAAACATACACCAAAGACTCAGAGCTACTACACAAAACAAAAAAGCTTCTACAGTGAAAGGTAGTTGGATCAAGCATCCAAATTCAAACCATAGAAAGTCTAAAAGTCTCACAGGGAGTTTTACAACACAGATGTACTCCAAGTTGTTATCAGTGGGTCTCTTACCCATGACACTCACCTGATATTCCTCACTTGCTTGCATTGCTCTTATTTTGAAAATGCATATAATTAAAAGAAAGATCAATGTGAATATGTTTGCAAACTGCTGTTCATTTACCTTAGTAACTGGTGATAGACCAATCTTCCAAATAATCAATCTGTCTCTGTATACTAACCAAGCCCAGCCACTTTCATCTAGTTGCACACTTAACTGGTCCTCAGCTATAAAGAAAAAAAAACATATTCTGAATCAGAGGTACAGTAGAAGATATCCATCTTTGACATTTTTGAGACAGTAGTCTGCAACAAAATGGTGCAGTGTGAAGTAGTTCCGTTTCCAGGACACTCCATTCCTCCAATCCTGTCAGTTGTTCCAACTGGTAGTCACAGAATGGAACATGCTATTATGTATGACAAGTGTAACCTATATCAAATTGCTGCAGCCAGGCCTGCTCCTGTTCAGTTTCTGTCAGCTAGATGCAGCTCCTTAATACTCCATTCCACCAAACTCCCAACCAGTTATTTCCCACCACAACTGTCAGCATTCTGTGATCACTGAACATTCTGAACTTTCACTGAACCACCTTTGGATCACTGTTGTTCTCTACTCCAGGGGTGAACAACCTGTGACCCTCAAGATGTTCCTGGACTGCAACTCTCAACCCCAACCAGTACGGACAATGATCAGAGATGATATAACACGGGATCCAGTATCTGGTGACCAAAGGGGTTTTTTGTTTTCATTTTTAATTTTTGCTAGCTTTGGATTTCACCTGAGCCTATTTATCTCACCCTTCTGTGCATGGATGGTGCCAATTTGGCTACATAAATACCAGCATTGGGAAAATTAATCTTGTTATTAGCATATATGATACAACAAGGGATGAGTCAGGTGAATATGCCTGGGAAGGAAATTCCATATTTTTGAGTAGTTCTCTTTCTTCTAGGCTTTGAAGTAGGGATATCTAAGAAAAGACATTAACATGAGATCAAATCTGGTGGATTGGTCCACTTGGGAGAAAGCCATCTGTTACGTGCCCAAGGAATTTAGGACCTTGACTGTCAAAACTAATAACATGAATTGAAACTGTCAACCAGTGAAGATCTTTTAAAACTAAGATAATATGGCCACAGTAGTCAGTCACAGATAATCCTCTAGTTTTCATATTCTGCACTTGCTTTAGCAATGGTGTTCAAAGGCATCTCCATGTACATAACATTACACCTAGAGTGTGGTAACTGTGAGCTACAGACTATTTCTGTTCAAGAACAGTGCAAATTGTGCAAATGTGGCTGATTGAAGGTTCTGTGAGCTATCTAAGCTACCTGCATATCCAATAGCAGTGATGAACATAAGAATATGCTCAAGATGAGTACTGTCTCCTGAAGACAGAAAACAAACTGATACAGAGTAAGCTAAATACCACTTTCTTAGTTTGCCATTATCCAATATCTCCATATTGTCTGAAATATAAATATTTCATATGTAACTACAAAAAATAGTTATGAATTTTTCTCTCAAATATTACTGCATGCTGTCTAAAGCAGACAAGTAGCTTCATCAACAGCTACAGATGATGTTGACAGGAATCAAGTGTTACGAGAAAGACTATAAAATCAACAGGTAGCTATTTTGCTGTTATCCAATAAATTTTACTTTTATACTAAAAATGAAGCACTTACCATCAGCCATTCTCAAAGCCTCCATAACCTTTACTGGCAAAGGTGAACCAAACTTTCTCACATCATAATTAATGATTTCACTTCCCGTTGGATGATGTACAACTTTTGTTGGTGTACATCTAGGTAAAAACAGTTACAAATAACTTTTCCAATATTTCTCACCTTCAGTTGTTAACAGAAATTATTCAAGGACTTGGCACACTCATTTCATTAGTTATTGTTTGAACACAGGTGTACCCCCATAGCAATTCACCTAAAATCTCCATTCAAAATTAAGAGTTTTGTAACCCCTGTACTTTTCATCAGATTACAAAAGAAGTTAATATATTTTAATTCATCTCTTTTGATTTCTGTAAAGTAGGGGTGGAGAACTTTTTTTTACCATTGGTGGGGCACCAAATTGCCTACCTCCACCAAGCCTCTATGGTCCAGATTATATCAGTGGGCTTCATACCCATAGTATGTGTATACATAGGGAAGATGCCTGTGGCCTTATTGCTGAAAAAAGGCACTTGTCTACAAAAGTTCCCAAACCTTCTGATAAGAACAGAAGTTTGGTATACCATTCAATGTGGTATAAAGGCTATTTTTGATGGTTTGGCAGGAGGTTCTGTGGAACAAACAGATCACAGCAAGAGCGTAGTGTTCACAGCAGCCACAAGAGATTTAAAATTCTTCCCTCCCGTATTACAACTAGATGAAAATCATTTTTCTGAACCTAATATTTGCATCTAAAGGAATGTCCACATCATATTTTGGAAAAGCAATTTTCCAGAAGACTGCAGAAAGGGATGAAACTAATAGTTATCTTTCCCTCTTTGCTGTGAGTCTGATAATTACTAGCCCCAAACTCCAATGACCATTTGCTTTAAAAATATGTATATTAAATACAAAGACACACTTAAAATCACAACTCATTTGGCTCTTAGCTGTGGTAACAGCTGCACCAGCTCTCAAAAGCTCATGATTAACAACAGCCCACTGTAGTTTGTTGAAGTCATGATGAGCTGTTGTCCATGCCAGCTGCCATTTACTGGCAGTTATCACTGCATTTGTACCCAGCCACCATGGGTTTTGCGAACATTAAACAATCTTCAGAAAACCCATAGCATGTTGTAGAGTTCCATGAGGGTTTTTTAAACGCTAAAAATCCCCACAGAGGCAGAGTTCAGATAAAAGCATAATTCCTGGTCAAAGACTGAACATATGAAATGCTGGCCAGCACACACCATGGCCCACCTTGGAATAAACAATGTAGGCTGAGTTATTTTGACCTTGAGAACCAGTTCACAGACCATACATATACACAGGGAAGGCACACGTAAGCAATTGTTTTCCCATCTGCACCTTCTAAAAATTGATTTATTAGATCTATATCCCGCCCTTTGCTTTTTATTTTTTAAAGAACTCAAGGCAGCTTCTTCCTCCTCTCAATCTTATACCCATAACAACAACCCTGTGAGGTAGGTTGGACTAAGAGACAGGCCCAAAGTCACCCAGTTGGCTCCAGGGCTGAGCAGGGACTAGAACCCAAATCGCCTGAGTCCCAGTCCCATGCTCTTGACCACTACATCCCACTGGCTCCTCACACCTTAGCATCCCTCCGAGTTGCTTCTTTTTCTCCTCAGCTCAGAGGGATGCTAAGGCACGAAATAGGAGGCGGCTATCCTGTTACCTCACGGGAGGCGGGAAAGAAACCTCGCTCAGACTCCTCCCCTGGATGGGATGGGATGGGATGGGATGGGCCAGGGCAGGCGAAGCCCAACCCGGCACTCACCGCGCAGACAGAGAACCGACGTTCCTCCTGGTTGCGGGCGAGAAGAGCACCGGGGAACTGACGGACGAGGTCACCAACGCCTGGCTCTTCCTACCTCCTGGCCGGAGGCTTCTGCGGCCTGACCCGCCGCTTGGAGTATGAGACGAACCGGGTGTTGAAAGAAACATCGCGCCAAAGTCGGCCCGCCACACAGCGGCACTAAGACAGCGCGCGCGCCGCCAACGCCGAGCTCGCGCGCGGAATGAACGTCACGCTTGTGCCTCGGCCAAAGGATTGGCTGGAGAGCGTGAGCTCTCCTGCTTCGATTGGCTCAGGAGGGCGGGAAGCGCTGGTGCTGACGTAGAAGGCTTGAGACTTGTGGGGTGGTTGAAGACGACGGGCGAAGGTAGAGTTTTTGGATTACCTCAGGAAATGTTTTCCTGTTGCTCCTTTGAGCGCGCAGTCTGTGCAAGTTTGGACGGAAAAAAGGCCGCAGGGGGTGTTTTTTTTGCTGGAGCATGCTGGGTCCTGTAGGCCTTTCTCATGTCTAAACACACGTAGGATTGGGAGTTTATGTTGTACTATGGCGGGAAACACTGACCGTAAAGCCTGCATTCATATTAGTACAAATTTGGGACTGCAATTCCTTTTGTCCTTGCTTCTTAGCATTAAATGGACTTCAGCAGGAGCCAAGCCTGACTTGTAATAGGGGCTTTCTGCCAAGCGTTCGCCTTAAGCCAGATATACAAATATATTTAATAACAAAGTTAATATTAGCCCTAGTTAGAGTAGGCTTCTAGAAACTAATGGGACTAGGCTAAATAGATTAACATTGAATTGCAAATCTCTATCTCATAAATCCTTAAAGAAAAGTTTCTGGCATTATTTTCTACATTTCTGAATGTCCCACATTGAGGCTTTTTTTACCATACAGGTTAGTTTTTCCTAAAACATCTAGCCTGAAAGAGACCCACAAAGATCACAGGATGATTTTGCCCAGTCAAGCTAATCTGCAAGGGTAAAATGTAGTGGCATAGGAGTAGGTACACTGCCTTGAACTTGATCAACTGCCTTTGGTTGAAGTTCCTTTTTATAAGCCTTAAGTATGATGAGGCTGAAGTAGCAAGGATGAAGGAAATGGAATGAGTTGGACCCTAAAGCAGCAATTAAAGAAACTAATGTTGGAACTAAAATTGCCATGGACCAAGTGCCTGCCTCTAGCCTTATTAAGACCTAACCTAGGAGGGATATTGGGATCTCTCCCTATGAGATGCTATTTGGAATACCCTGCTAAGGGAAATTGGGGCTGCCCAGGATTGAATTAAGAGATAAGGTGGTGAGAAAATATGTGCAAGAACTGTCCAAGTCTTTTCTGTATTTAAGGTCAAAAGGACTCCTAGCCCAAACGCCTCCCCTGGACATTCAAGTGCATCCGTTCAAATCAGGAGATTGGGTCCTGGTGAAAGGGTGGAAGGAGAAGTTACAGCCTGTGTGGGAAGGTCCCTACCAAGTCATTTTAACAATCGAGGCGGCCATTCGAACAAGGGAAAAAGGCTGGACTCATCACACTTGATTTAAAGGACTGGTACCCGAACCTGTTCAGTGGATGGCACACGCCCATCCAGATTCATTGAAACTGACAGTAAAAAGGAACTTGAATATTTGAATGGTGGGCAGTGGGGGTTTTGTATATGGTAATATGTTTATCCTTGTATATATTTCGAGGCGAATGGTCACAGATACTGTGTCATCCAAAAGCAAAGAGAGAGCCTGAAGAAATTCCACTGGGACTGATACCTGATGTGTTGGTTCTGTGACTGTGAGTGTATAGCTGAGTGCTGTAGTCACTGCCCGGACTGCATCTTCTTACATAGGGATTGCAGAGAAAGGTGTGACATTATAATAATAGAGGATATACACCCTGAATACTTCAAGAAAAAATCGAAGGAAGCCAGGGCTGAGAATAATCCTTTAGAAGACGAAGAAAGGGGTATAAAGGGGAACGGCACTAGGGGATTGGCTAGGTGAAGAGAACCTGGTCGTCGGACGTGCTGACCCTACCACCCCAGAGCAACCTGAACTCAGTTCCGTTCCAGTCCAGAGGAAGAGAAGGGATGGATAAAGTATGGATAAAAATTGTATTATGGTGTTTCATCCTCCTGGAAGTGGAAAGGATAGGGGGAAATCAACCTACAGTGGGGAATTGTACCCTTTGCATTAAGCAAATGAAATATCGTAACCAGGTTAACCAAACGCTGGTATATCATACTGAATATATGTGCAAAAACCCTGTGGGAAAGTGTCAATACAAAGGGGTCACTTACTCCCAGTGTAAAACAACAAAGGGAGAGACTATCTGTTACGATCCAAAGGTACCACCTTACAAGACGTATTTAGAACTTAGGTCAGCAGTAGCTGATGAGAAATGGGAAGGAGATGAGAAACTTATAACTTCAGTCCAGGTGCATGATATGCACCGATCCGTTAACCTGACTTTTGACGCTTGTTATGTGCTGGGACTGAACACAGTCCAATCCTCATGTGGTAGCATTAACTGGGTGAAAGCCTATGCGAATAATCATAAGTATTTGTGCAAAGAAAAACTTTCTGATATTTATCGATCCTCTTATCCCTTTACAAGGGGATCGCCCTGTTACAGTCCCCAGGAATGCTCAGGATGGAGTTGTGTCAGCTGGAGCACCAGTAATTATGGAGAGATGCAGGGAAAGATCCTAACACTGTTTAGGGGCCAGGCACCTAGGGACTGTTCCCTTTTTACATGCAACCCAGTGATTCTACAAATCACCCCGTCCCAGCTTGAAGCGGCCCAGAAAGCACGAGAGATAACGCAGCACTTTGGGTTTGCAATTGACGGAACTGGAGAGGATCCCACTACTCTCTTAACTATAAGAGTGGTAAACTGGACATGAACCCAGACCCATAATATATTTAACTCCTTTTATGAGACCCTAAGAGAATCAGACGCCCAAACAAAGGAATGGGCCCTGTTAAAAGGAGCAGGCGATGCTCCTAAGCCTTGAAGAAAGCAACAGATGAGACAGTGAACAATTACTAGAATAGGTGGAAATACAGTTTAAAAAGATAAAAGATGTTGAAAAGAAAAAGGGATTGTGAGAAATGGAGTAAGAACAGTATCTTTTTAAAACTAGCAGAAGCACAGACATTCCATAGTAAGACGCCATTTGCCACTAAATGGCACCCATCCTGCTGAAAGAAGGAACAGAAACAGGAAAACATAAGATAAGGCAGCAAGGGTAGAACAATTGGCGGTTGGATTAAGCGGCAGAGGCCCCTGTTTGGGGATGAGGCGTTATGAGAAGACTGTTCATCCGATAGTAACCAGCCAATGGTGAAGCAGGGGTAGTGTTGAGGGTCTGGGAAAAGGAATGTATATAATCTCATGAATGTGATAATTGCTCTTTGTTCCTCAGGCGACTGAGACTCTGAGCCAGCCTTTGCAAACGCTTCAGTAAATCTGCTTGTACCTACCCAGATCTTGTCTTACAGAGTTTTCAATCTCACAAAGATATAAACGTAACTGTAGTAATTGTAGTAAAACTAATATCATTTGTGGCTCAGCTCACAGCCTTTTAATCTAAACTGACTCTGCAGACCTGTCATACAGGATAGATAGATGAACTACCTGGCCTCACAAGATACATGTTGGATTTATGACTAATGTAAAGATGGATGGAAACACATGTATACACTAAACTCAAATAAGGGTTGTGTTTTTTTAGGATTTTTGGATGCATTATAAAAATGATCCCCTTACCTTAATCTTGCGTAATACTCTTAAGCTTAATGACACATATTGACAAAATATTTGGCTAGTGTTTCACGGTGTTTTACCATTTCTGCACACTTTTGTAATGCTTTGGTTATGGTGGTGAAATTATGAATCTAATAAAAAGGCAGTTTGCAAACAGAAGGAGGAACATGGAAATTATTGAGAGAAGAGAGGCAGGTTAAATATTGCAGAACAGGAAATACAACAGCAAGTCAAAGAAGTGCTAAGAGAAACCTAGCAGCTTTTAGAAGTAGCAGAAGTAAGGTACAATTCTGCTGAAGCAGAAAAAAAGATGCACAACTCCCATCATCATGTCCTTCCAAGGTATGCTACAGTTATAGGCCTTTGTTTTGTCCAAATATGGATAGGATTTTGTCCTTAGCTTAGAACAGTACATTTTCCACCTCTGCATAACAATCGGAGTGAGGGAATCAATGTAAGAGTACTAGATGGAAAGTAGTAATAGAAGTAATTGTGCAGCTATTGACGCATTTTCTGCAATCAAAAAGGAAAGAAGTACTGGGAAATAATGGGAGGCTGTGAGCGGAAGGTAATGATGTCTGGATCCCTCCATAAATTCTGTAAATCAAGCAGGGTAACAGCTCAATAAAAGGCATACTGCATTTTTGATGATGTGAACATAAAAAGATCCATGCTGGATCAGACCAAAAGGCCATCTAGGCCAGCCTTCTGTTCACACTGGCAAACCAGTTGCTTGCAGGATCCTACAAGCAGGATCTGAGTGCAACAGCACCCTTCTGCCCAAGTTTCTCAAGAACTAGCCTACATAGTCATATTCCCTCGATACCAGAAGCAGCATATAGCCATCAAGATTATTAGCCACTGATAGCCTTCTCCATGTCCATTATTTTAAAGCCATTTAAATTATTTTAAACTCCATAATAACTATGGAAGAAGTACTTCCTCTTATCAAATTCACAGGATGACCTTGGGTTCTACTATTATACAACAGAGTGAAAAATGTCTCCTCTGCTTTCTTCCTACCATGTATAATTTTGAGTATCTCTACCATGTCGCCCCTTACTAACCTTTCCTCACAGGAAGTGGCTCCAACCCCTTGATCACATTTAGTTATTTATTAAATTTATATACTATGATCTATAGACCAATTTAGGGTTCTCTGGGCAATGTACACTTTAGTTGCTTTTCTCTGCATTTTTTTCAGCTCTACAATGTCCTTTTTCAGGTGCGGCAACCAGTATCGTACAGAATATTCTAACTGTAGTCATGCCATAGATTTGTATAAGGGGAGTATTACCTTGACAGGTTTCAGTGCCTTTCCTGAAAATGACCAACATGGACTTTGCCTACCCCCCCCACCCCTGCCGTAGCTGCATACTGAGGCAACATTTTCAATGGATGGTCATACCCTCAAGATTCCTTTCTTGGTCAACCAATGCAAGCAGCCAATGGCAACCCCATCAACTGGTTGCTGCAGTGTTCATTTACCATTTTGATGCCCATTCTCTCAGCTTGGAGAGATTCCTTTGTGTTTTAATCACCCTAAATGGCTTGGAGTCATCAGCAAACTTGGCCATTCACTGCTCACTCCTAATTCCAGATCACTTACGAACAGGTTAAAAAGCATTGGTCCTAACATAGAACTCTGTGGGACATCTCTCCATTGGAAGAAATTACAGATTATTTGCGCGCTCTTTTTTATTTATTTAATTTTAATATTTATATACTGCCCCATTCCTATAGGCTCTGGGCAGTTTACAAGAAATTAAAACCAACAGTGATTAAAATTGACTAAGACAACACATTAAATAAAACCAACCTAAGCACTAATCTGGGAAGGCCTGTCAGAAGAGATATACTTTTAACTCCCACTTAAAGGTGGGAATTTGGGAAATCAGACACATATCTTCTGACAGACCATTCCAAAGCTTAGGGGCAACCACTAAAAAGTCCTCTGGGTAGTTGACATTAATCTTACAGGAACAGACTTCAGAAGATTATCCCCAGAAAATCCTAGCTGGCAAGGCTAAATGTATGGGCAAAGATGCTCCTGAAGGTATTTTGGTCCCAAGCTATAACGGGACTTAAAGGTACTTAACAACAACTTGAACTGCATCCAAAAATGTATTGGCAACCAGCTCAAAGACTAAAATAAGTGATTGTGTGGTCTCTCCATGATGTCCCAGAGACCAGCCTGGCTGCCATATTTTGTACTAGCTGTAGTTTCCAATTAGGCACAAGTGTAGCCCTATGTAGAGCGCACTGCAGAAAATCAAGCCTAGAAGTTCCTGAAATTTGCACTACTGTTTTCAGGTCATTCTCCAGGGAAGGATGCAGCTGGCAAATCAGCTGAAGCTGATAGCAGATGCTCTTGACCCCAGCATCTCATTAAGCTGACATTTGAAGGGTCAGATCAAACAGCACCCCCAAACTGTGAACACTCAGGGGGAGTGTGACCCCATGCAGAACTGATCAACACACCTCCAGTCCTGGATTTGGACAATTAACACTAAGAACTCTTGTTTTGTCTGGATTCAGCTTCAATTAGCATTTTCTTATCCAGCCCATTACCAGCTTCAGGCAGTCTTCTTTGGAAGAAGTAACAGCTTATGATAAAAAGTAGATCTGGATGTCATCAGAATACTAGTAACATCCAGCACCACCCCTCCAGATGATCTCTCAGCGGCTTCATGTAGATATTAAACAGCAGTGGAGACAGAATTTTTTGTTTGTTGACTAGTTCCTGATCGATAAAAGAACCTACCTTATTCCATGACTATTAAATTTGCTCAGGAGTAGTGAGGGAGTTTGTAGGAAGTCTTTTGATTCTCCAAGTAAACTGTCTACTGAATCATCCCCATCCATGTGTTTATTGGCACTCTTAAAGAACTCTAAAAAGTCAACGCCAGAACTTACCTTTGCAGAAGCCATGTTGATTCATTCACATGTGGAAGAGACACTGTTAAAACATCTTTCAAAACACAGGGAAACAAAGATTAAAGTGCCTATTACCAAAATTGAAATCAGTCTTAACACTCATGGTCCATTAAATTGCATGAATATACCAAGTACAAATCAGTCATAGGTTTGAAATGTATTCATTTTTAACATTCAGAGAATGTTGGACAGCATCACTCCTAAAGTAGAATCCTCAGCCCTTCCTCCTCGCAATCAGGGACAAAAGACATAGATATATGAAATTGCTCTTCTTTCTTTGTTGCAGGGCAGGAGAATGATAGAGGCAGTTCACCGTGCTTCAGGATTACGGGCAGCCACATTGGATGGTATCCTAAATCTCACATGCAGTTTTATGTCAGCACATCACAGGATGAGTTTCTGGGTCATGTGAAAACAGGTGGTGGGGACTGGAGTGGAAGCACACAATGCTTTGGCAGTATCTCCATGTTACCCATAGCATATAGTTCTGTTGTGAGAGAGGCTGTGTTTCTGGGGTGGCCAAACCCAGGCTCAGGAGCTGCATGTGGCTCTTTGGATTTATTTTGAGGCTCACCACTTGCTGTTGTGGGTGTCCACAGGCACCCGCTTGCCACCCACAGGCTCTCGCTTGCCGCTTATTGCCTGCTACCGCTGCCCGTGGGTGCCTGTTTGTGGCTCTCAAACATCTGACATTCCCTGAATGTGGCTCTTCTGTTGAGCAAGTCTGGCCACCCCTGCTATATAAAGTTTCATTCTGATTCTTTTCAGAAACAGCAAAAGTAATGCATGCTATTCAAAAGTGCAATGAGTAACAAAATGACAGCTGTACTACATCATTTATTAATACTTTAATCATAATATAAAATATTACAACAGTGCATCAGAAAATATCAAAGAACGTAGAAAAAAACTATTTTAAAACTTTACTCTTATATCAAAGTCAGCTAGCTATATTTATGATGACTGTTATTTTACACTCTGCTATATTGTTTTAGATTCTGAACTGCTAAATACTTTTCATTACTCCCAGGCTGTTCCTGCAGAGACTACTAAATTTCCAATGGCAAAAATATATTTTTTGAAGAACTATGGGGCTGGGCATTTGTAGATAAACTAGGATAGGCCAGGGACCTCAACACAGTGCCTGTGTGTGCCATGGTTTTCATGGGCACCTCCAAGGGTCCACAATGTGGGGCCCATGGGAACTAGAACTATTTTTATTTTTTGTTATTTTAATATATGTACATGGATTTGTATGATTTGTATGCATACAATTTTAACCAGAGGCCTCAACAAAAGTAGACCAAATATCCAAGTAAGTGTCGATTTGAAATTTTTATCTATCCATTCATATACTGAAAGTTTTGCAAGGACTTCACGTCCATTGCTTTATAGCAGGTGAGTGTTTACCAAACACTTTTTATTCAAACGTTATTTTAATTGTTAGTATTATTTATTTATTTATTTATTTATTGGCCTGGTCGACTCAAATTATATTGTTTTTATATTGTGTTTATTTATTATTGTGAGCCGCCCCGAGGCTTCGGCAAATGGGGTGGCATAGAAGCTTCCTAAATAAATAATAAATAAATCCTTCTACTATTGGCCTTTTCACTGTCAAATGGGCATTGAGAATTCATTTACCCTTATATTTGTTGATTTATATGGAGCAGGTAAATAATTTGGAAGAGAATGTACATCACTGAATATTAAAAGCTGTTCCAGTATAAAATGTATCCATGTAATAACCTCCCCACAAAAAGATGGAACTACTGGACATTGCTAAAACATCTGTTTAAAAGAAGCACTAGCGATATTTCACCACCAGTAATTAGCAGAAATAATTAATCACTTATTTTAAAAAGTCATCCTCATATCAAATAAACATGTGTTTTTGCTGAGTAAGATGCAGCCTAAGATACATAGAAGTTACACGTAAACACTGAAGCAGCAATTTACCACTGGGCATTTTATGGTGGTGTCCACAGCAGTTTCTCACATTTCCAAATATGCCCATGGATCCGAAAAGGTCAGGATCACCTGAGCTAGGAGTTGGTCTAGTCATTACAGGTTGGAGCCAACGGTCTCTTACCACCAGCAGAACACGCTGCAGGTGGAAGGGATGCTGTGAACAGCAGCTGGATTTTTTTATACAGAAACGTGTCATTTGGATTGGTATGTACTCTCCCATTTTCTATATGCTAATTTTAAGGTTTGTGGTCATGTAAAATTTAACAACTCACCATTTGAAATTAACAGGAAGGCAACACTAAGAATAATACTTTTCCAGTTAATTGTCCAAAGCCATTGTATGAGGTTTTTACACTGTTCTATTGGCACTACTGCATGTTTATGACTATTTGCAGACTAGAGATATACAATTGCCTAAAGAACAAATATAGAGAAAAAGATCAAACTGTTACTCCTACCAATCATGCAATGGCATGTCTCTGATCCCACTGCTTCCCCACTTCCATGAAGTAGTATGAGATACGATCTCAGGTTGTTTGGAAAGGTTTAACCATTCAAGGCATCTCCTGTGAGAAGAAGCTACTCCACTTTGTCATGTCACCAAATGCAGATAAGCCAGTTTTGGGAAACATTAGCTGCTTGGTTTGCAACCTTACACATAATAAAATTAACAAGTTATATACTAGGAATAATTGGAGTGAAAGGAGGTCTTTTGCTTCTCTTTGGATTTATGTGTAACTGTGGGTGGAAATACAGTCACATCTTCACTGCACCACTCCCACTTTATGACCATTTAGTGTTCATTTAGAGTATTACATAGTGAGACTCTCCCAATATGACTAAATGTTTCCATTTTGATGGTAGATTACTGGTCATGGGCAGGAGGTAGATGGAACTATTATGACACAGCCCTGAGGCTGAACAATTTGGATCTGGGGCACTGGGGTCAACCCACTGCAAGTGAATGCTACATGCAGTAGTTTGGGGAACTTGTGTATTCAAAGGGGGGATAGCAATGTGCTCCAACTACACACATCTTTCTGACAAAGCACACAATGTTACACCAACTGAGATACATAGAGGTCTAGTGCTAAATTATGCTGTAGGAGATACTTTACTGCACATGCAATCACTTCTTTCTAGTTCCTAAGTCCTCCTGGTTTTGCAGAGCTGTTGCCAAAACTGCCCAACCGCAGACAAGAAGGAAGTATCAGCAGGTCAGATTAACCCCTACCTTTGATGAGGCCTCCACAAACATTATCTGGGTAGGTTATTTCCTAATTTGTGGATCACCCTATTTAACAGGGACAAAAATAAGAACTGGCTACTGACACTGATGACAAGATGTGTCCAACCACACACTCCTCAAAAATCCAAATAGAGAAGAAAACTCCAAACCAGCTGGCCTATGGTGGAGGCACTGGAGAAGATTCCACCAGTTCATAATGAGCTGCTTTGTTGCAGGAATACTGTTCACAGTATTCTGGAGAAGAAAAAGGGTATAGAGACAGATATGCCAGTTACCCCCAATAGTTGTTGAGCTAGTTCTGCTAGTGTCCTTTAGGGCTAGTTGTACTAGTGACCTTCATTGTATCCTCAGTCCTGCTCATCCTCAAAGAGGGCCTGAAACTGCTCAGGTACCAAGGACCTCTTTCAGCTAGAAGAAAGACTTTGTTTTTCAAACTACCTTTGCACAGGGGGTTTTTTTTGTTTGTTTGTTTTCTGCACAATATCTGAATGGTGGGTTTTGTTCTTTTGATTTTTGTAAACCAAGAATTTTTAGTGTAGCAATGACAGTTACTGTTAAATATTGAGCTAAGCAACCCTGCCCCCAAACGTACAACTGCACTTTGGCAGGAATGCAAAGCATGGGGATGATCACTGACATAGAAAATGGACCCAGGGGTCACTTATTATTAGTCGGTGTGGAAAAACTGCAGTCCTAGCGCCAGAGGATATTCTGAAAAAGTGTATTTTGTCATGTTTTATAAAATATTGTGAAATGGCCTTATAAGAAAAATAAAATTGCATGCACATTCCCCCTGTAGCCTCCTGGATTACTTGCTGGAGCAGTGTCTAATGTGCTAGAAAAGACTTTTGGAATGCTAAGGTGAAATGAATGACGATCACCTCACTTGCATTCCATGAATGTGGAAAAAAACAGAGTGTATTGTCAAAATTTAAGTTTACAATCTGTACCACCCCTGCCATACTACATCCATTCATCAGTTCAGCAGAAAAATATTTACAGCCTGAGAACCATTCAGCATTAGACATTTTCACAAGAATATGATTATTTGCACAAGAAGTGTAGTACAACCAAGTTTTGAAATATCTAAAACACACTGGTATCTCTCTCTCTCTCCATATATAAAATATTTATTGTATGTAAACTGAAACATAATTTAAAATTCCTTATACTCTTTCATACTAAGAATTTACACTTAATGCAGAACTTTCCGTATTGTGGCTAAAAGCTTGTTTCTTCATTAGTTTGCTGAAAAGTCCATTTGGGTCTGCCAGCAGTGTTTCATACTTCCCACACTCAATAATTCTGCCTTGGTCAAGGACTGCAACAGAATTAGCATTCTGAATGGTGGACAGACGGTGTGCAATAATGAGGACAGTTCTCCCTTCCATGAGCCGATCTAATGCTTTTTGCACAAGGTACTCGTTTTCAGCATCCAATGCACTAATTTATGGACAGAATAAAGGGGGAATATTTTATTACACCTATTACATTCTATCAACATCTAATTTACTGCAGACTTCAAATTTCTTAATCAGTCTGTTTTCATTCATTTTAAGTCTCACACAATTGACAACATTTCCAGGTCACAAAAGTCCCCTTTTCTGTTTTGATCAAACAACGTCTTTGTCTTAATACAGTCTTAGCACAGCTGAGGAAATAGTCATACCACAATTGGGCAGTACCTAATACCACCATTCCTGCTCATTCTTTGGCACCAGATAGACTCACTGTTTGCACAACTGAAAGCTAGCAGTAAAAAAAAGAAAAACCTGGGAAAAAATGGAAATGTTTGATTGTGGATTGGGACAGTTCAGCAGAGTTTGTTCCTAAAAGCTTCACTGACTTGTCCTTTTCTAGAAATGAGTGGTTCCAAACAGGTCCACTAATTTCTGTTGCTTTTTCTTTCTTAAACCATGAACTCCTTATTGAGCTAGGGCGGAAACAACACAGGCATGGTACATAGGCAGATTTGGAAACTACCCTTGTACAAAAGAATACCTTTTCACAAATCAGCACCTACTGAAATCTAATAAAATATGCTGCATTTTAATCCACAACCTAACAAATGAATTTTTTTGTTACTTAGAAAAGAAGTCTTAAGGGACGTCTCCATCTATACAAATCCAGCTTGGAAAACTAGACAGCACATGCCAGCCTTCCCCAAACTAGAGTCCTTCAAATGTGTTGAACTACAATTCCCAGACTGGGCAAGGCTGGGCAACCCCTATGGTGCACTCACTCCAGTGATCTGTATCACCTGCCTTAATCACCTGCCATTCTATGGGTACTCATTTCCCCTCACCCCCCAGAGTTCCAGTGCCCTGGACTTTGGCCTCAAGGCTCAAAGAGCAGCTGGTGCATTTAATCTCTGTGGATTTTCTGCAAGGGGGAGTGGGACTGGAGCTCCAGTTTCTAGCTCTGAGGTTGGACTGCTGTCTCTGAGCTAAGTCTCTGGACTCTGAACTATCCTATGCAGTGCTTTTTTTGTAAAAAAAAAAAAAATGGTGCCGGAACTCACGTTGCCAAGCACGCGGCCACACACACCAATCCCAAGCCAAGCGGCGAGCAGCGCCCTCACTACCTCACTATCAGTACGGACACAAAAGCAGCCCGCAGGCACTATGTGAATGATGTTTGCTGCTGACCTGCTACGCTGACAGGGGATTCAAAATCACTTTGTAAAAGCCATTGGAAAAAATGGTGCTGGAACACCGTTCTGGTGCGTTCTATGACAAAAAAAGCCCTGATCCTACGGCCCCTCAGCTCTGGAGTCATATAACCCAAGACCAATCTTACAGCAGTATTTACTATAAATCTCTTTCACACAAAAGAAATATCTCAAAATTGCCTGCACATTGTATTAACAGAGTGCTTCCAATGGGAGGACTCTTAGCGCTACTCAAAAGGCACTGTGCAGCAATTCTGTCTCTTTATCCTTAACATTTTCTGCAGTAAGGAGAAAGATGTTAGAAGTGCTAAAAAAGAGGGGATTATGAGTTGATGATCTCATCTGGACCCCCACAGAACTAGTGAATGAGACAGGGCAATGACACTGTAAAGGCATCCATGTTACATTTAAGGCTTGAGCAGTCTTGTGAATCTTTGCAGACATTAATTCTTAGCTTGTTAATATAGTATTCTGGGAGAACAGAGTATACCCACTCTATTCTCAGAACACTCAATGTTTCTAAGGTAATATTATGCCTAATTTGAAGATGGGACATCTGCTATGATATTTAAAAAATATGTATCACTTCTTTACTATAGTGTCATATTTGAGACACTGAAATAAGCACCTGAAGATATGAAAGGGCAATAGCACCCAAACTGGAAACTACAATGCATATTTTACATACAGGAAGAAACATTCAATGTTTTGGCAGAAGGACAGTACTAGAGATGCCAATCAGTCCTAGATGCCTTGAACATCACTGCCTTCTGGGCAAAATATTTCCTAGGTGCCTTCAATATCACTCGGCAAAATATTTTCCCAGCTAGTTTTCACTTCTGTGTCACTTTTATTTCTTACCTTGTTGCTTCATCAAGTAGAAGTATTTTGGGATTCTAAAAGACAACATGAAATTGCTTTACTTGAACAGATTTTACAGGTAGAAGATGATTTTCATACATAGCTTTTGGGGGGGAAATGGAAATGCCAGTTTATCTGCACTATCAAGGAAAACAGCTAATTCTATTTGTTAGATAGATCTTGATTTATTTATATATGAATGCAACATATTGTGAAATACTTATGTTCTGCTCATATTACAGTGACAGCTATGATGGCTCCATGTTTCCATCCCCACAACTACACTCAAAGGGGTCTATATATTTCTCCTCTGGTCCTCCTACCTGTGCCCCTAAAACCATGAGCAGTTTTGGTATTGTCCATGTTTTGCATGCAGACAGTCCCAGGTTCAGTCCTGGCATCTCCAGGAAGGGCTTGGGAAAAGTCCTAACTGAAGCCTTTCAGGGTGGCTGCAGCTCAGTGCTGATGTCCCTATGCTGGACACAGCATGGTTCTGACTCAGTAGAAGACAGCTCCCTATGTTCCTACAACTGTTCTGGAGGGTCACCCAGAAAGAGGCACCCTGCCTTATCGTACACTCTCCTGCCAAGTCACAGATTAACAAAACCACATTCAAGAGCTTTGCTGACAGTGATCATGCCAACGGAAATCACACACTTCTTCTCACCACTGTCAAAACATAAGCACTGTGCCAAGCACAAGACACAGCTAGGATAGGAGTAAAAACTTACCCTGAGAAGAGCTCGAGCAATTGCAATTCGTTGTTTCTGCCCACCTAACACACACACATATATATATTTAAAAAATAACATGTAAAAATGCAGCACAACATTTATTTATTTATACATAACACTTGCATGCCACCCAATTGTGCCACAGCACCTCTGGGTGACTCACAACACAAGATAAAAACACAATAAAACATAATAAAAACCACAATACATTATATATTAAAAACAACAATAAAATACAGTAAAAACATACAAAACTAAGGTCTACCGCAATTAATTATTAAAATGTTTTTTTAAAAAGGAAGGTCTTTGCCTGCCGCCAAAAGGAAAGTAAGGAAGGCAACGGGCGATTCTCCTTGGAGAGAGTATTCCAAATATGGGGAGCAGCTACAGAAAAGAATCTCCTCCTCGCGGCCATCCCTCTCGCTTCCTTAAGGGACGGCTCACACAGGAGGGCCCCCTGTGCAGGCATAAACGGTGCAGGCGCTCCCTAAGACAGCCAGGGCCTAAGCCATTTAGGGCTTTATATGTCAACACAAGCACCATGAATCGGGCCTGGGCCACAACTGGTAACCAGTATAGGTGTCACGTGGGCTGCCCTAGAGGCTCCCTTCACTACCCAAGCGGCTCTAGTCTGTTTTCCCCCTTGGAAGAAATCCTGCTTTGCATCCAGGATCTACCTGCTATAGTCACAAAGGTTGTTGTTCATCAAATGTGCCTCCAGATGATCTTCTGAGTTCCTCAGGTTTTACAACTCCCCCCATTCAAAGTCTCCCAATCCCTACGTAGCATTTCCATAGGGCTGGAGGGGCTGCTGTAGGAATAAAGGTGTGGAAAATTCCACTTCTGCCAGCCTATTCGTGCATGCCTGAATCTGGATCCAGTCTAACAATTTTTTAAACTCAAATAAGAATAATGAGATCAATTACTCCCTATTACATCTTCAGAAGTAAAATATAACATTTAAAATATGATGTTAATACATTCCCCTGAGAAACTTAAAACCAATATATTGAACACATAACACTAGGCAAATACGTTCTGAAAATCCCAAAGTCTTACCTGAAAGGAGAACACCTTTTTCCCCAACTAAAGTGTCGAATCCTTTTGGAAAATTCTGGATAAAACTAGAAGCATTTGCAATCTCAGCAACTCTCTCAATTTCTTCAGTAGTCACTGCAGAAGGATCCTCTGCACCATAGGCAATATTTTCAGCAATAGAGCACGAGAACAGAATTGGTTCCTAATATATGTAAAAGCATAGTGAATATGAAAATCCAGCTTACAATGCATGTATAGAAAGAATGGCAAAATAATGGGATATCATGCAACAAACAAAATGATGGAAACAAAAATAACTTTTCATACAAATGTACTCAAGTTTTACAACAAGGGTATGCAACCTATAGCCCGAAGTCACTTGTGGTGCATGCCTGGTCATTTAATTATTTATCTATCTATCACTACATTTATATCCTATTCTTTCTCCTTGCAAGGAAGCCAAGGTGGCTTATATAGTTTCTTTCCACGGTATCCTCACAATAACCTGTTGGGCTGAGAGTCAATGAATGACCCAAAATCACCCAGTGTGCTTCATGGCCACATGCGGACTAGAAGCAGGATTTTCTAAGTCCCAGGTCAAAAATGTTACCACTATCCCCACACCGGAGCTCAGTGTAGCCATCACTCTAATTTCAGAATTCCTCCTGAGAAGTGATCTGTCCCTTCCCAAGTGCCCTATTCAGTTGCAAGAAAAATGGGCAGAGACAAAGTGAGAAAGGGGAAGAGAGAAAGAAGTAAAGACAATCTTTAGTTCCGGTCCCATCCACTCCTAGCTTGGCAGTCACCTTAAAGTAGCCATAGTACAAATGACCAAAAAATGTACTGCAGTGTTTGCAAAACTTTGCCCAATGTTTAATATGGAACAGCATGGTAAGAAGCTCCTTTGACAGAGGTAAAAGGAATTATTATAGATTATCCTACAATGAAGAATACTGATGCTTTTCTTACCTGGCTTACTGTTCCAATTTTACTCCTAAACCAGAGTGGGTTTAGCTGACGAATATCAACACCGTCAACAGTAATACTTCCTTTAACAAATTGAGACATTGTTATCAGATGACATTCCAGATACTGGAAGATGGAGAAGAGAAAATGCAGGAAAAAGAGCAGTAATAGCAAAAGGAGGCACTTATGTGCCATAGAGGATTGTGACAATATGCTCCAAGTAGCTTTATAAAATACAGGCAGTCCCTGGGTTGCAAATGAGTTCCATTCCTGAGAAAATGGAAATGGGTCTTTAAGTTAAATTTGTATATAAGTTGGATCATATATAGTCCGCCCTCCACATTTGTGGGTGTTAGGGGTGCAGCATCCCCATGGAAGTGGAAAATTTTATTTATTTATTTTTCAATTTATATCCTGCCTTTTTCCTACAAAGGGCTCAAGGCAGCTTACATCATTCTCCTCCTCCATCTTATCCCCACAACAACAACCCTGTGAGGCAGGTTGGGCTGAGAGTCTGTGACTGGCCCATAGTCACCCAGTTGGCTCCTTGGCTGAGCAGGGACTAGAACCCAGATCGTCTAAGTCCCAGTCCCATGCTCTTAACCACTACACCACACTGGCTCTCTAAAATGGCAAATATCTCTAGCACCCCCCACCCAAACACAGCAGCACCTCCTCTTTGCAGCAAGGAAATGCTGGAAAGATTTCCTTCTCCAGATGGGTGGGCAGGAAGGCATGCTGTGGAGGCCTCCCTCTCTCCCCTCCTCTCTCTTTCTATAGTGATGCTTTGGAGGCCCTCCCTCATCCCCCTTTTGCTTCCTCTCTCTCTATGGTGATGACAATTCCTGCAGTAATTTTTTTACAAAATAATAAGTCTTATGGCAGTTCATTCATAAGTATGGGTTGTTTGTAACTTGGACATTTGTAATTCAGAAATTGCCTGTAGCAGCATTATGAGAATTGCTTTTTAACCTTCCAGTGTAAGTGATCTCTACAGAACCATCTCACTCTTTAAGATGAGAAATGATGATTCAGGCAAATACTTGCCTGATCCAATCAGATTAGAGTAGGGGAAGACCATCTCTGGCCTACAGACCTACTCTGGCCCACCAAGATTGCCTATCTGGTCTGCAGTGGTGTGGGCTCCTTACATAGAAGCTTGTCCCAAGTTCAGCCCCAACCTGGCAAGTGATGAAAGGAGGAAACCTTATTTATCTCCTTGATTTGGGAAGGGAGATGAAAAGAGGCTTCCCCTGCATGTTCCCACCCATCTCAATGGATTTGAGAATATCAGGTGCTCTCAGGCTGGAGGTAACAAGTGATCTGGCAAAGTGGCTTTGCTCTGTGCCAGCCTTTTCTGATGAGGGAAGACCTGCAGGCAGTGAAGCCAGTTCCCGGCAAATGCCCCAGGATGATCATCCACTTGATATACCTCCCAGGAATCAAAGGGGCATGGCCTAAACTCGAGATGTCAGGTTTGCAATAGCTCCCAGTTACGCCATTTAGACCAAAAAGAGGTGGGTGGGTAACTCACCTCCACATCTTATTCTGGTTCCGTGCTCCTTTTAGAGGGGTGTATGCATGTATGTATATTTATACATAAAGTATTAGTAAGATAATCTCTCTCATGAGGCAAAACAGCCAGCCTCTAAGCTGGAATAATGCCTCATGGGTTAGCTTACAAAAACGTGTTTCCCAGAACTTGCTTTGTGCTCTTCCTTCTTGGATAAGAGCTGCATCAGTTCCTTCTAAGAAAACATGCTCCTTTCCAGCACAATGCTGCATTTTCCCTAGACACTCATTTGCCAGGAGCCTTCGAACTGATTCACAAATGTTTCACACTGCCTAATTTGGAAAACAGCACGGATGGCTAGGCAAGTTCTGCGCAAACAACACAAACAGACTGACTTTCCAGCTAACCTCAGAAAGACCATTTAGCAAATGCAAATCAAGCAAATGCAAAGGTGCCTCCAACAAAACTGCATCCCACAAATGTGCATGTATTTTGCATACACCCACACGCACACTTCCTTACCTGAGATTGGATCATAAAGCCTAAGCAAGAGGGATATCACAGTCGATTTGCCAGAGCCACTTGGGCCAACCAAGGCCATGACAGAGCCGGCTGGGATGTGAAGGGTAAAGTCTTGAAAAATGAATGCTTCTGGGCGGGCTGGATATGCAAACTGGATATTTCTGAATTGCAGAGCACCTTTGAAAGCTTCCTGGTTTAATACTGTTCCTTCTAAATGAAAATAAAATATGGAAAGATTAAAATGGCAGTGAAGATATACCGCACACTGGGAACGGACATTGGAAATATGGCTCTTAAGGCAACTAGGGCCAGTCTGCTTATAGAGGAATACCAGTTGCCAGGACTTTCTGAGAATTAAGTTCTGTAGCCTTTCACTGTACTGAATGGAATTACATGCCTGAGCACTCCATCTTTGTCTTAAAAATCCTTAGTGACTCTGGTGCTCATTGTTATACTGAGCATAAAAGCACATATTCTCACTCCAGCAGGCCAAGGCTTCAATAGCAGCAATAATGGTAGAATGACTGAGAAAGGGTAACAGAAGATATATGATTTACAAGCAGGGATGTGTGATTTCTCAGACTACAAGCTCATCAGGTTTTCCAATTCCACCTTGAAGTTTGTATGTCTGTATCAGATTATGAGATTTTTCTCTGAATTTTTCATTCTGAATTTTTCTGAAAACTTGCATGAATTGTCATGCATATTTTCCCAAATATATGCATCAATTGTATGCATTTTCAAATTCATTTTCTCCTATTAGCTAAATCATCTTTTTCATACATTTTAAAAATAATTCATTTGTTCCATGCACATTTTTCAAATGTATACTTTTTCCCAAGTATTGTACAGCAACTTCAGAATGATATGGATGATAATTGTGACTTTCCTTCAGGCATGACGGTGACAGTTGCCCAGGTTCAGACAATATGCCAACCCACTGTGTGCAAAACAACCCCTAGAACAAGCCACTGCTTGTCAGGGTGGCTTGATGACGACAAACAAGCCATCTTGTGAAAAATACTCAGGGTTCACACAAAACAAGAACCCATGTCACTCATGATAGGTTACTGTGTAGTGATCCAAGTCAATGTGGCTGAAATTTTCCTGCTAGGTGTATCTATTTAAATCACAAATTCAAATGAATGTACAAATTCTCAGAAATGTATCTATTATGATTAGACTTTATAAATAAACTTAATTTACTTAAAACATGTGGCCAGTTACACAATGAAAACTATTAAAACTCAACACCCTTAACTTGAGCACAAAGACTTCTCACTAACGTACCATGAATAAGCTGCAATAATGAGACAATGTTAACCACCAGGTGTAACTCGCTCATAAAAGAAAATGATTGCCCTCTTAGTTAGTTCAGGCACACTATTCACCTTATTCTGCCTGCTCCAACTTGACCTTTTACAACACAATCATATGCATATTTATTTAGAAATAAGACCCACTGGATTTAATGAGACTTACACCCTAGCAATTTAAGACTGTAGCCTTAAGCCTTCAGACTGGATGCTGTTTTCATTTGTGCTCTACATAGTCAAGAGACACACCTATCTCTTGCACTGCTGGGTGCTTTGAGCTCACTTTGTGGAAACATTTTCCCATCCATTATTTTCCCCCTCTACTCAGAGTGTACTTGCCTACCTCCTGAGGCTATCAGTTCATACATCGGCTAAAGTGGGCTCTCATCTGTCAAATTCTGTGTCACCTACAGCTGTGAAAATGATCAGGGACTCCACTGTGCTGCCTGCCTGCACCACCGTGCCCAAGGGCATCTCTTCGGGGCCATCAGGCTCCAACCTCTCCCGATTTTTCGGTTTATTTATTTTTTGTTAACTTGGAGGCTGGCATACACAAAGGGAAGAACTGTCATTCAGTGCCATCTTTAATTTGGTTGAAAACAGTGCTTTTGCTTTTTAAAGGTCAGACTCTGCCTCTTGTTTGCACTAAGATTGGAGGAGGGGGGATGATCATTTTCTTGCAATTGCAGCAGTTTGCCTTCTAGGCAATGAGTGCTTTTTGACTGTATATGTCTATTATGGCAGCCATTTTATGAATGGGCAAGCACAAACCATTTTGGCAGTCATTTTGTGAGAGCATCCGCAACATTCTCTAAAAATTCAGAAAGTGTCTACTGACTCATAAGGATTGGGGACTCCTATCTAAGCTGCCTCAAGCCATCTTATTGAGCTTTGCTAATGCGAACTTACATGTCCAATGCATGGGAATGCTTATCATACAGATATTTTACTCTGTTAAAATATTTTAAGGCAAATTTCTGAAATGAAATGTTTCCAATTTAAACATCTATGGACATTGTATCAGTCTAAACAATTGCAAAATGTTTATAAAAGGGAAAACATACCATTAAATGGGAGTTCTGGCTTTCGATCAATAAGTTCCCAGAGACGTCCTCCTGCTCCTAATCCTTTCATTAGCTCAGAATAGAAAGAGCTTAAACCTGAACAAGAAAACCCTATTGTTATGAACAGGAACATGTGGGATGCAAGATGCTAGCATCACCTCCACCAGTGAATGCAATTTCCAATGGCTCTGCGAATGCACAACTTGAAAAACAGGTCTTGCACCGTTGTAACTATAAGCTCTGCTAATTCCTTTTTAGACGGTACATTGTACTGCTGTTCTCCCTCACTTCAACTGGGTCAGTACACCCTAGCCATGGAAAGGCTGAGCACACAGTGCAAAACTAATTTCCTCATTTCCCCCCTTTCCATTCATGGAATGGCTTTACAATGCAGGTCATCTTCCTCATGATCACTTGTCTCCTGAAGAAACTTCCAGAACATCCAATTCCCACACTTGCACATTGGTTCAACATACTGCTCCAAACCCTATACCTTGCATCAGCCCCAGCCAGCATGACTAATAATGAGAGCTGATGGGAGCAGTAGGCCAGAACAACTGGATGTTTAATCTTGTAATATTCATAATTCCTTAAAAATGCAGACACACGGGCAGCTGAATCTAAGCAAAACAATTAAAAATGACCATTTGAAAATGGTGCCTTTGTGCACATAAGAACTGGAATGCAGGTGAAGTTGTGGACTGTAGCTCAGAAGCATCTCCTAGGTGGCGCTAAACAGCCCTGTTGGGTGCAACCATGTTAGAAAGACTGCCCACTAAAATAATTTGAACATTGGTTGATCAAAGATTACAGCACTATGAAGAAAGATACATGTGCTCTGAGACCTATGCATCTGCACCATGACCTTCACATGGTATGGCCTCACAAGAAAAATGGCTAAGAGCTCTTTTGAAATTGCATTGTTTTAAAATTGCAAGAACAATTAGTCACCAAGTAATACATATGTGACACTATAGCAGTCTTCCTCTACCTGGAGCCTGAGAGATATGTTAGATTACAGTTCCTATCATCCCCGGTTAGCACTTATGTTCCTAGGAAAAATCCCTTCCCTGAAAATGATTCTAGAGAAGTTATTCAGGGAGAATTAGAATGATTCAGAGGCACTTTGTAAACATCAGCACGGATGCTAGTTTTCAAACAAACAGAAGCACCACAGGAAAAATTAAGTAGTTTCTTAACACCAGAATTCATCTGAAAATGAGCTGCATCCCCAAGTTGAGAAAACACTGCTGTCAGAGGCTCCTTCTAGGAACATGCTTATCTTTTGTGGGCCTGTGTGCAGTAACTATTCTTTTGTAAGGAGGAACTGACTTCTGAGTTGCAAGATTGGTTTGTTATCTGTCATAACGGGAGAAGAAAGATAAACATTTGGGAGAACACTGAATTTGCAATTGGCGGAAGCACTGCTTCCTTGTTCTCCCCAATGGGTGGGTTTGCACAACAAAACAAGCCACACTGCACAGAGTGTGGCTTGTTTGCCGCAGTGCCTGCAAAAGGCCCAACATCAAGCATGGAGCCGGGGTGTCTGGAGGCCCCTTTCTGCGCCTCCTCCACTTGCAGGAGCACCAAGAGTTTACCCTTCCGTGCTGTCACGTCACGTGATAGCAGCCCCAAGGAGGGGAACAGGTGAGCACCCACCGCTTTAGCCTACTCACAAGCAGGCTGCAGTGGCTGGTACCTCTTGCCCTGTGTCCAGCTGACCAGCAGCAGACAGAAGGGGGGGCCTCTTCCTCCCTGCCACCACTGGCCCAAAACAACAGGTGGGGACAGCAGGAAGCATCCCTTCTTTGCTGGGATTCAAGCCACCTTTTCCTGAGTCTCCTCCTGAAGCCCGCCATGAAACATGAAGGCAGTACTCCCTTCTTCTGGTTGCTACCCAGCTGCCTCTGATACCAGACATACCATATAAGCATCACGACTATAACCACTGATAACCTTCCCTTCCATGAATTCATCTTATCCCTACTTCAAGCCATCTGAACTAGTGGCCATTGCCACGTCTTGCGGCAGTGAATTCTGCAAATCAGCCTTCACCAATGTAGTGCCATCTGGATGTTCTGGACTTCAACTCTGATCAGCCCCAGATAGCACGGCCAATGGCCAGAAATGCTGAGCACTGCAGTCCAAAATATCTGGAGGATACCAGTTGGGGAAGTCCACCAATAATTAATTAATTACGCACTATGTGAAGAAGCAGTACTTCCTTTTGTCTGACCTAAATTGACTGCAATCGGTTCAGGTGGAGAACCCCAAGTTCTGGGATTTTGATCAAAGGAGATAAACTACCCTCTACCTACTTTCTCCACACCATTCCTGATTTTGTAACTTCCATCATGCTCCCCATTTCTCACCGACAACTTCCCTACAAACTTTTACATTCTTAACTCTTTATTTTCAAGTGAACATTTTATGATCCATACCTCCAATGCTTACGCCAACCCAGAAGGCATACATTAGAAAGGAAGACAGTTCACCAATAGTCATGTGGGCACTGCCCATCAGTAATCCTCCTTTGTACAGAACAGAGAGCACAATCAAATTCCCAGATAGCCCAGTCTGAGAAGGAAGAAGAGGGAAAATTGCTGAAAGAGGAACATATCTTCCAATAGAATCCTTCAAAGCTGCATCAGCTAAAATGTTCTCATATTGCTTGAAAACCCACATTTTCTGGCCTAAAATAAAGCCAGGTCATGTATTTGAAAAAGCGTCCTTAGTACCTAGGCAGGCAAAACTAAAGCCTGAAGGCACCTCCACTTTCATTCACCTTGCAACAGGAGCCACACCTGGACTAATGCCAAGTAATAACATGATTCATGCAGGGCTGCCACTAGGGAGAAGCACATAAAACCTGTTGCCCTCAAGGCTTGTTAAACTATGACTTCTATAATCTTTCACCACTGGCCATGCTGGCTGGGGCTTATAAGAACTGCAGTCCTATCATCTAATACACCTAACAAATAAATAGTCCAAAACACCAGGAGAGTTTTTTCCTGCAGTGCATGGATGCACTTGTTTTTTGGAAGGTATCTCTGGGATCCCAATGGTATCTTCAGTACTGGGCAACGCCATCAGAAGGTCTCCAAGGAGACCCAAATTAATATTAGTTTGGATGCAAAGGGGCTCTTGCACAGTGAAAGGCACTTCCATTCCTGCAATTTTTGCAGATTCTCCAGCTGCAGTCTCCTGTGATGTACCCCATGTTGTTCTGCAATATCTTCCAATTGTAAGGAATAGTTTAGTGGGAGGTACAGGGGCCTAGAGCAGAAAGGAAACGTAGAAGAGTCTGCTGGGGCAGTTATGATCTGATCCAATGCCTGTTCTTCCCACTCGGGACTAAATTCTCTGTCTCAGGAAAAACAGCCCTCATAAATGTCTTCAACAAATATCCTTAAGGAATGCACAACTAGTCTCTAACTACATTGGAAGAGCAAGGAAACTCATGTCTCACAAGTGCAGTTTATAGGGTAAATACTGCCAGACTCATGAATTATTTATCCCAAATTTCCATTTAAAGCCTCCAACATCCAATCTGCAAATTTGCTCATTAAAAAGAGGAGTTTAAGAGGCGGTCTGGAAGTTCCCTGAAGTAGCTATTCATTTACAGATGAAAAATGAGCATGTACATCAAAGTAATGTTTTATATATTCAGTGATAAAGCCATAAACATTATATAAATACTGTAGATTCCGCAGCATCTTCCTATACTTACTGTTCCAAAGAATCCTGCTCGAGCTATTGCTTCCTTTTTGGCCAGGTGGAGCACATAGTCAACCTTGTCCCTATATTTCTTCATCTCATTTAACTCTTGCCCAAAAGCTCGAACTGTTCTTAGATTTCCAATCCGTTCTTCTGCTAACTGCAGTAAAGAGGATGCAAACAAACAAACAAACATAAACCAGCAGGCTTGCTAGATTTTCCTCACTACACTTATGTCCTATGCTAACAGATGCCATATATTTCTGCTAAGATATTTTTTATAAAGTAGAAGCATTTGGCATACCATAGCATAATTTAAAAGGCACATGTGAACCTCTTCATCTATGTGCCAGGAAAAAAGTGAGCTAGAACTAGGGATTGATTTATCAGTCTGATATGAGTCCATATCACTTTTCCAAGTGTTCAATCATAAGTCCTTCCATCACATTTTCAAATTAATGGGTGGCTTAAACATAATAAAAATTTCACACAAAATGTGCATGTCTGTGTATAAAAATTAAATTGTGTCCAAAAATGCACATTTTATTGCATTTGGATTTTTTTATAAGTTTTGAGCTGAATTCTATAATTTAGAGAAACATGAAATCCAAAATATTTCTACATTTCTATCTGTGCATTAGACAGAGAGGTGCAGATCAAGTTAGATTGCACTAGATTCCTCAGAGAACCCCTAGCTAGAACAATCTACATGTCTACTCAAAAATAATTTCCTGTGATACCAAGGCATGACTTCAATGGCCCAAAAAGAAAACCTGATTCACATGTAACACAACCCCATCATATATTTAACTCATTGGTTGTTGAATTCTGTACAGTGGTGATGTGTGAATGTAGTAATGCTTAAAAAAACCAACAACCATAGTTTGTTAACCACAAACAACCCAGAGTAAGAAACTCTGGTTTGTTGTTGGGTTGGGAATTCAGTGGGCCATTTTACATGAAGGAGTACTGTTGATTTCAGCATGAGACCATTCATTTCTGGATTGAGACAGACTGGCAGAAATGATTGCTTCCTTTCATTTCCAGTTCCTACAGGAGCCACTAAATCCCAGTCATGCAGGCAATGGATGCCACTTGCAGAATGGAATGAGCAGTGGCCCCACTGTGGCAATGGCCCACTCAGATACTACCGTGTGTTTCTTAAACTATGGAGTGTTGCTACATCCAGACCCAGATCTGTGGATTGTTCATGGCTAAAGAGGTGGCAGGCAAGATTGGTTAAAAATGAGAGCCAGTGTGGTGTAGTGGTTAAGAGCATGGGACTAGGACTCAGAGGATCTGGGTTCTAGTCCCCGCTCAGCCATGGAACCAACTGGGTGACTTTTGGCCAGCCACAGACTCTCAGCCCAATCTACCTCACAGGGTTGTTGTTGGGGGGATAAGATGGAGGAGGAGAATGATGTAAGCTGCCTTGAGCCCTTTGTAGGAAAAAGGCAGGATATAAATCGAAAAATAAATAAATAAAAAAAAAACAAAACAACAGTCCAAAACACAACACCAGTCTCTCTACATGCCAGTACTACGGCACCACAAAGGGATTTGGGATACAAAGAGGGAGTGGGTGAAGAGAAGATACATAAACCAGGGATTAATAAAACAAACCAGTGCTTGTTTAATCATCTGCCAGGCAAACCCTGGGTAGGACCATAAAGCATGGGCTAAATAAACCATTGGCTAGCATTCTGTGGGAATCAGGACAAAGTTCAATGCAAACATGCCTTCAGCTTACTTAGCATTAAGAGACTATATACCAATCAACCACTGTATCCAGGGAAAAGGTAAAAGACTAAATAGCTGTATTTTCTACTAATAACTTCCTGGCTCCAGCCTCTAATTTTCAAGTGAAGGGGGCAAGAATTAAAGAGAAAAATGATTTCTGTACTTTTTTTGCCTCTGTCAGAAGATACCAGAAGGACATGCTTGAATATAGGCAAATTCTGTGTAATTAAAAAACAAATAATTTTTCACCATTAATTTTCACTAATCTTCACCATTTTATTTTTAAAATTGAAAACTAACCTGTGTCGCTTGTGCCAGGGAATCCTGTGTCTTTCTAGTCAGCTTTCGTAAATACCTTCCATAAATCACAGCTACAAAAGCCAGAGGTGGCACCACACTAAGAACAAACGTGGCAAGACTGGGAGAGACAAAAAACTGGAAGTGAAAAAGCAACTTGATGTCAGCATTTTAATATATTTAAATAGCCTCTGCTAGATCTATTAATTAAAGATAACAAAAGTGTAATGCAGTGCAGTTTCCTTCCAACATTTTGTGTAGTGTGTTTTCTTGAAAAAAGTATATCTTGTTTTTCAGAACTTTACTAGAGCAGGAATCAAAAGCCATCAGCTCCAAAAAGATACATCTTTCATTCTTGGACAAGGTGGGCAGCAGTGAAGGGAAATATTTCAATACATTTGGAACTATGTCACGACTGTTAATTGGTCAGTATGGATAGTATATATACAAAAACAGCCAGGTTAGAGTTCCGAGCAAAGGTGCCATTGAGTTTCACAATCAAACCCCACCCAAGTTGCGTTATACAGCTGTATATGAGTCACAATAGAGAGAAGCATGTCCAAATGATGCAATCTTGCCTACAGGTTTGATGGATTCTCTCCCACACAGCTTAGCTAAAATTAAATTTTAGTCTGCTTTAAATTTTGCATTGCATCTTAAATGTTTGTACTGCTGTTATGTGTTACTCTAGTTCTTACTTTTATCTTGTATGGTTGTTTTAAGTATTTAAATTTTATGTTGTAGTATATACTGTATTCTATGTTTTAAATTATTTTAAACCTCCCAGAGAGCTTTTGGTGGGCATTTTAGATATAAAAATGTAATAAATAAACAAACATGATCTACCCACTTCTCATCATAAGGGAAAACATGCTTCAGATGCCTGCACTGAGATGTGCTTCTAGTCATGGGCTGCTAATGTCAGTATGTATTACAGTAGTCTTTCTAATATTTAAAAACAGACTAAAATTATACTACATACGGATATTTGCAGACTTTGCTCTACACCCCACTGTTTAAAATCTCCAAATGGGTATGCAGTTTTGTAATGGAGGGCTTGCAGCATTGAAGCACCAGGAATTTTTGATTAGCAGGAACAATGACATTGGCCACCACCCACACTCAGCCTCTGTATAACTCAAGACATTTTTCGTACCTGTGTCCTCACAAACAGTCTCACAACTGGACACTTGCAATCTCATCTTACACACTCTGAATTTGCAGAAGGCAGGGAAAGACAGATAGGCAGACACACAGAAAAAAGGAGGCACATACCATCATTCCAACTGCCACTGAGGCCTGAGCCCCTGCTCTTAGTCCATCAGAAAGATTTTCAGTGACTGAACGGCCCAAGAGAACTGTGTCTGAAGATAAGCGATTAATCAGCTCTCCAGTGCTGGTTTTGTCAAAAAAGGCTATTTCTTGTTTCATGAGAGAAGAAAACATCGTGGCTCTCAGCCGTTTTACAATTCTTTGTCCTAGAAAAGTAAAGAAATTATTTTACATTTAAAATATAAGTTAGAAACATTAACATTTCCAAAAGTTATTTTTCAATAGATACTATCTACATAAATCAAGGGAAAATGTTTACAGAGGTAGATATGCTTTCTGTTCATGCACAGTGTCCCTTGGATCCTGATTCTTGTGTGAACTTAAAATTATCTCTATCTTGATATATAGAAAGACTGCCTAGTTTTTCCCTGCAATTCATTGTTAAGAATGGCTAGTGTGCTTCACTCAACATGCAAACACATTCGAGTAACAGTAGAATTTTATATTTCCAAAACAGGCAACCCAATGTTCTTCCCTTTCTGGTTCCCGCAATTCTAGGAGCAGTCACACATGCATTCTGTAGCTACCACATGACTTGTTGTTGTTGTTGTTAGCTGCGAAGTCGTGTCCGACCCATCGCGACCCCATGGACAACATTCCTCCAGGCCTTCCTGTCCTCCACCATCCCCAAGTCCACTCAAGCTCACACCAACTGCTTCAGTGACTCCATCCAGCCACCTCATTCTCTGCCATCCCCTTCTTCTTTTGCCATCTATTGTTCCCAGCATTAGGCTCTTCTCCAGGGAGTCCTTCCTTCTCATTAGGTGGCCAAAGTATTTGAGTTTCATCTTCAGCATCTGGCCTTCTAAAGAGCAGTCAGGGTTGATCTCCTCTAGGACTGACCGGTTTGATCGCCTTGCGGTCCAAGGGACTTGCAGGAGTCTCCTCCAGCACCACAGTTCAAAGGCCTCAATCCACATGACTTACATGAACTAATTTGAATGTCTACAGATCCTTCTTGGCCCACTTCATCTTGGGATTCTTAACCATCACTTCACCATTAAATTAAATTCCTTTTCCTCTCCTATTTCCCTGACTCAGAGATTGGAGATCAAAAAAACTTGTACTTTTTGTACTCTTTTGTAGGCCTAATAAAGATAGTACACTTACATGGATTTTGGAATTGCTGAATTAAGTGGTTGCTTCATAATGAATAGTTAAAATGACAAACTTCTTCATAAAGCTGGATAAAGTAATGGCCTTTATTATGAAAATTACTAATGGAAAAATTGTGTAACCTCTCAAAGTTAATGAAATGCATATAATGTGCAAAGAACTAACTCCTTTTTAGAATTCCCCTTTGTGACTAAAGACACATAATAGACCTAGTTCACATGACACAGCAATCCATCCTGGGTAAAGACCCACAGCAGGTTGTTGAGTTGTCTGAGCTCACACTGCTTTCTGCAGAGTGGCTTTTTTCTAGCAAGCCACCCCAAGAACCCATGGAACATTCTAGGGGTTGGTTTGCCTATGCCTGGATTGTCATATCATCTGAACCCAGGGAACTGACTTCATTGTGGATGCAAGGTGAATGGCAAGAATGGCAAAAAACCTCATACCACTCTTGGCAATCTTACCTATGCCGCCATGAGTGACGGCTCCTCCAAAGTACACAACTGGCACACGGGGGTGCCGTCGCAAGTTGGTCACCTCTTTTTAAAATTATTTCGTGCCCCAACGGTGGATTTTTTCAAATTATTTCTGCAATAACAAAAAAATCTTTCCCTCTCCCTTTCTATCAATAGAAGTATTTGAAGAGGAATTCTATTTAGGGATGCTCCTGACGAAGAATAAAAAAATTTGAATTCCACCCATTATCTCAAACATGCAACTATTAGCTTGGCACTTCTTTCTGCCAGTCTTTCTGTTTACCCCGCATTGACAAGCAATTTTAGATTTTCATCTCAGTTACCTGCAGTCTGCATGAGGTAGACACGGATTGCATTGGCAACAGCACCACACAGAAATATTCCAGTTAGCAAGGCACAGAGGTTGGTTAGGTTGTCAGCAAAGTCACCAGTGGAATTTGTGTAAATGACATCAATCACCTTCCCCAGGAAAAAAGGGGCAGACATAGTGATGACACTGGAAATTGTCAGAAAGCCCACAGCAGCTAGGAAAAAAGAACACTCCTTTTTAATAAGTGAAAAACTGATGTAAGTTTTGCATCAGTATGTTTAAGTACTTACGCTGTTTCTTGTAATTACGGCAGCCTGGTTTCAGCACAGAAGATTAAGATGGATCATGTTTTCTGGAGAGGTGGCTTTCTTAATTTGCTGTAGCCAAAACAGGGCCTTACAACACAATCCTAAACATAATCTCTGCAGAAGTAAGTCCCACCAGGTTCAATGGGATTTACACTCAGATAAATGGGTGCAGAACTGCAGTCTTAGAGACTGCCATATTTATCATAGTGTGCACCAGAATCCATGTCATTTGATACATAAAATGTCATCCTCAGTTGGCAAGACTGAGAGAGATCATTTTGCAATTATTTACAGGAGACAAGACTAACATCACATGCATTTGGAAGCTATGGCATAACAGCACATTCAAAATGGGTTCATCAAGCAAAGATGAATGAAAATGAAATGGTTGTGTTCATGAAGAGGCTTAATGCAGTGTTTATTGCAATACAGAACAGTTTTGCAGGGATGCCCTCTGCCCCAGCTGATCAAACATCATGGCCCAAATGGTTGAAATGGTTGCAGCTGGCACAATGAGGATGCCAGTGACACAGGCAATAGCATGTTATGAATGAGGGCTAAAGGAATGCATAAAATCATGCGTGTGAAATAAATTAGAGATGGGAAATTGGTCGGAGTGCTGCAAATGTTCCAAGAGCCCGATCCCTCAAGTTGCAACCATTTCAATGTTGCATCTCAACAAAATACTAAGAGTAAGTTCCACTGGACACGGTGGCACAAGAGTAAGATTAGACTGCATGAGCTTTTCCCAGGTATCCAATCAGTCAAACCAAAACAAAAAAAAAAAACAACCATTTAGTAGAAGATTATTTCTACATTTTCTTTGTTTTCTGTATAGATGCTTGCCTTCTTTCAAGAACTGTGCACAGATCCTGAGATCAACACCTTGTTACTTTTGAGAATATATGCTCAGGAAGTTCCAATCTTCTAATGGAAACATAAGCCAGGCTGCTACTCATATCACCAACAAGAGACATATACTTCCAGGAAGATACTATGCCAAACCATAAGCCTGTGTTTCATAAGTACAGAAATGGTTCTGTCCCAACCCAGAATGAAGCCATGCAAGCAGCTCTTCTAGTAAGTACATAAGGTGCGCCCCAGCCATGTAGTCCTTGACACATTGCGTATACCTGCGTGTGCACACACAGGCACCTTTGCTTGATTGCACAAAACAAACTACGTCTTGCAAATCTGCCAGCAAACATGTATATGTTATAGGACAAAGCCTGCTACTGTGGTGCCTTCACTTTATATATTTACTGAACACACAGAGATCTGTGAACTTCAGAAGAAAGCCTGAGTGAGAAGAGCATAGGAGAAAGGATCAAAGCTTATGAGTTACAGGTAATGTGAGGGATTGGAAATTAATGCTTTGATGGCAATGGTGTATAAAGAGTTGAACTGTGAATGCGCCCCTTATAGATGGTGCAGGTGGCAACAACCTGCACTGTGACTGTAGAAGTGAAATTCTATCTCCAGTACTGGAGGTAGTATGCCTGTGCATACCAGGTCCAAAACAGACATCCCTTGTGCAGCATCAAGCAATTACAGTGTATCTGTTTTGTTGTGTTTCCCTAGATCCTGACTGAGACCCTTGCACTGGAGGAAGGAGGCCTTTTATGATCCAAGCTGCACCCCCTGCTCTCAATTAAACGTGACAAAAAGACACAGTTGCTGGCCTCACATTCACAGTATGTCTGTTTTTGCCCACAGAATTGAGGAAGATGAGAAGGGTGAGTATCGCCCTTGTATCCTGTTTCTGATTTTCCCATGGGCATCTGGCTTGACCACTGTGTGGACTAGACAGGCTTTGGGTCTGAACCAGCAGGGCTCTGATGTTCTTAATTTAAGGACTGGCACAGAGCAAAACACACACACACCAAAACAAAACACCGTGGCTGGTGCAGTGAATGAAAGTATGAGTAAGTCTCTGTAGAGGTAACGTGAGAGGAAAAGGTGAAGCGACGCGACAGGAATGACTGAAGAGCAACAGGCTTCAAGAGCGGCAGGACCTCGCTTCCGCGGGTATTTGCGCAGAGAAACACTGGGTGGAGCGAGCGGCCGGCCGGCAGAAAGAAGAAGGAGGGAAGGACCAGCCATAGACACTATTTCTCAACTCCGAGCTGTCTGCGAGTCGTCCACATGTGGGGGCGAGGGAACGGAAGAAATTGCGGAGGAAGGAGAGAGAAAGGGAAGAGAGTAGGAAGTAGTCCCGGAGCGGGCGGCGCTCACTGGACGTCTCTATAGGACGCCCTCTGGCAGCGAGGAAGGAGGGGGCTCGTATTAGTATTATTGCAAGGGGGTACCTGTCAATCTCCAGCGCTCCGGGTACGCCAGGGCCATGAGCCGCTTGGCGTCCGATACTTCGTTGCCGGGCCCGGCAGTCGGGGCCAACGCGGCTCCCGGGGCGTCGCCCTGCTTCTTCTGCGGGCTCCCAGCCGCGGCTGCCCAGGAGGATTCGGCGGCGCGGGGCGCAAGGCGGAGGGAGCCAAGCGAGGTGGCTATCGCCGCTTCTCTGCACCTGCCTGCGGCGTGCGGCGAGGCGGAGGCCCATCCTGCGGCGGCGGAGGCGGAGGCGGCTGCGCCGAAGGGAGATCGAGCCCAGGCGGCGCACTGCAGGCTCCGCCGCCGCCGCAGCAGCAGCAGCCAGGGCAGGCGCGGAATCAAGCCCGCCATAGAGCGAGCAGCGGGGCCGACGCCAGAGAGAGCTGCTGCTGCTGCAGTTGCGGTTTCGTTGTCGCGCCGAGCAGAAGAGGGCAGCAGAGCTTTGGGGGCGCTGCCCCATGAGACGCGGCCCGCCTAAACGGGGCCCGACCAAGCCCCTCCTGGTGCCCGCTGATAAGCCTCTCGGCCAGGCTTCCTTCCAGCGTCCCCAGGCAGCGATCGGGAGCCGGCAGCGCCCTCTGTTGCTCCTCCTCGCTGCTTGGCCAAGTGCGGCTGCAGCGCTAGAAGACGAGGGACAAGGACCCTGCCTGCGAAGTTAAGCCATTGTTGCTGTTTATCATAATAATTTATATTCCTTCCGCATAAAGAACTCAGCGCGCTAATTGGTAAAATGTCCTCTTGCCAGGAGAGTTTACAATTATTCCTGAAACGTGGGAATTGACAGAAGAAATATTTTGTGGAACTTGCTTCAAGTGCCAAACCACCACCAACCTCCGAACATCTGGCCCTCAGTCTTGCCTTTATGTTAGGTCTATCTTCGCCAGCCTGGCGTCAGCCAGCTGGCAGTGCTGGATCGGGGGTGCTGAAGGTTGTTCAGTCACAAAGTCCTGCCGGATTCCTCGAGATCCCATGGACAATCCTCCAGGTTCTCCTCCACCTTCCCCATGAGTGAAGGTGTAGTGTGGTGTAGTGGCTAAGAGCATGGGACTGGGACTCGGGCGATCTGGGTTCTAGTCCCCACTCAGCCATGGAGCCAACTGGGTGACTTTGGGCCAGTCACAGACGCTCAGCCCAACCTGCTTCACAGGGTTGTTGTTGTGGGGATAAGATGGAGGAGGAGAATGATGTAAGCTGCCTTGAGCCCTTTGTAGGAAAAAGGCAGGATATAAATCGAAAAATAAATAAATAAAATGAGTACACCCAAGCCCACACCCACCTCTCCAGTGACCCCATCCAGCCACCTCAACTTTTGCCATCCTCTTCTCCTTCAATCCTTCCCAGCATCAGAGTCTTTTCCAATGAGTCCTTCCTTCTCATTAGGTGGCCAAAGTATTTGAGCTTCAGCTTTACTACCTGACCTCCTAAAGAGTAGTCAGGGTTGATTTCCTTTAGGGTTGACTGATTTGACCCCTTTGCAGTCCAAGGGACTCTCGAGAGTCTTCTCCAACACTGTAATTTAAAAGCATCAATTCTTCAGTGCTCAGCTTTCCTTATAGTCCAACTCTTACAGCCATACATTACAATAGGGAAAACCATACGAACTTTTGCTGGCAGGTGATGTTCTGCTTTTTAGTATGCTGTCTAGATTTGCCATTGCTTTCCTCCTGAGGAGCAAGCGTCTTTTAATTTTTTGGCTGCAGTCACTGTGGTGATGTTGGAGCCCAAGAAAATAAAATCTGTCACTACCCCCATTTCTTCCCCGTCTATTTTCCGGGAAGTGATAGGATCAGATGCCATGCTCTTAGTTTTCTTAATGCTGAGTTTCAAGCCAACTTTTGCACTCTTCTCTTTCTCCCTCATCAAGAGGCTCTTTAATTCCTCTTCACTTTCTGCCATTAGAGTGGTATTCTCTGCATATCTGAGGTTGTTGATATTTCTCCCGGCAATCTTAATTCCAGCTTGTGAAGGTGGTGCTGTGCAAGTGTACTGAAATTCAAGGTTGGGGAAGGATGTGCTAGGTAAACTGCTTTTTAAAAAATGTGCTTAATGCTTTTTATCTTGAAGGAAAAGCAACTGAGTGACCACTATTGCCAAAGTGTCAGGATGCACCAAATGGAACTGAGTTGGCTGTTCACATTTTCTCTCTAACTCTCCCTATGGACCCCCGTTTTTCCTGCAACAGTACCCAACCAGGGATGAGCAAAACTAAGGGTCAATTTCAGGGTAACCACAGCATGACAAAGCCAACCACTACCTTTTCTAGTGTAGACCTGGACAGAGGAAGCTGAGCAATGCAAAAGATTTTCTTGCTTCTTTGCTTCCAGGTCCTCTTCTCATGGCTAGAGCTCTGGAGAGGTTGTCAGCCTGGGTTGTTTTATTATTCCTTGCCCCAGGACAGGAGATGAGTGGAAAGACTGACATGAGAGCCAGTGTGGTGTAGTGGTTAAGAGTGTGGGTCTGGGACTCAGGAGGTCTGGGTTCTAGTCCTCACTCAGCCATGGAGCCAGCTGGGTGACTTTGGTCCTGTCACAGACTGCTTCACGGGGTGGTTGTGAGGATGAGATTGAGAGGAGAATTATGTAAGCTGCCTTGAGTTCCTTGAAAGGAAAAAAGGCAGGATATAAACATAATACATAAATTAAATAAAAATCAAATGCTACTTACAGTTTAATTAGATCAACATCTGCTTTTCCTTCAAAATAAAAGTAGTAGTGCAACATGTGCCTTTTAAGTGTGCCCTGGTTCACTGTATCAGTGTAAGAAATCACAGTGTCTCCTTTCTAAAGACAGGTGCTGACTTAAAATGTTTGCATTCATCATTTTTATTTCTCATAAAGCTCAGAATTGATAAAACTGGCGTTTTGAGATTTATTCATTTTTAAAGTTGCTTTCCCAGAAATGCAAAATTAGAAATAAAGTATCTCCTGGGGTGGGGGAAGCTTCTTCGCTGTGAACTTAAGATTCATTTTAATTCATAATACTGGTGAACACAGGGCACTTCTAGGCAATATGGACTGGCCAGTGGTGGGGATGGCAATAGGTGTAAAGAAATACTGTTTTGTGTGTATTTTTTAAAAACACCATCAGCACCAGCTACCCACATATAAGCTAGCATACTTTTCCTGAAATCAGAATCCTAATTTTTTGATGGTTTTGCTGTGTTATCAGAATAGGTTTTGAAGGTAAAAGGGTTCATCATCAGAGAAAAAAATGACAATTTTATATTAATGCAATGTAAAAACTTCAGTGAAGGAGATATGGGCTGGAGGCTCTCTTATGCTACAACTCTTTCAAATAATCATATCCCGCAAAAGTGCCCTTGAGGAGTAAATGAGCCAGTTTCCCCCACTGGCCCTCAGAACAGGACGGGCAGGGTCCCATAGAAAAATAAAAATAAAGTTAGGGTGTTGTTGAGGAGGAAAAATAAACCAACAATTGTTTTTGCAGTATATGGGTAAGAGGTTTTGACTTACTTTGCTCATGTGAGCTGGACTCCACTAATGAATCAGAGGTCTCTGGGGAGACGCCAATGCTACCGTCTGGTCCAAAATTGTTGGAGGAATTTCAATTATTGCGGCCCGATGATGTGGACAAGGTACTTGGACGAGTACGTCCACCACTTGCCTATTGGATCCTTGCCCGTCTTGGTTAATAAATAACTCCAAGCACGGGATTGGGACCTGGATCTTGGAAGTGGTTAACGCTTCTCTGAGGGAAGGTCGAGTGCCTGCCCCTTTAAAGGAGGCGGTAATACGACCGGTCCTGAAGAAAGCATCACTGGATCCAGAGATGGCCACTAACTATAGACCTGTGGCCAACATCCCGTTTCTGGGCAAGGTGTTGGAGCAAGTGGTGGCGGGACAACTCCAAGCACTCTTGGATGAAACTGATTATCTGGATCCTTTTCAGTCTGTCTTCAGACCCGGGTACAGTACTGAATCTGCCTTGGTCGCCCTGTACGATGACCTGTGCAGGGAGAAGGACAGGGGGAGTGCATCCCTGTTGGTTCTTCTGGACCTCTTGGCAGCTTTCGATACCATCGACCATGGTATCCTTCTGGATAGGCTAGCGGGATTGGGGGTTGGAGGCACTGCTTTGCAATGGTTCCGCTCCTATCTCAACGGTCGATTCCAGAAGGTAGTGCTGGGGGACCATGTCTCTGCGTCATGGCAGCTATGCCATGGAGTACCACAGGGCTCCATTCTATCCCCTCTGCTATTTAACATCTATATGAAACCGCTGGGAGAGGTCATCAGGAGGTGTGGGCTGCGGAATCATCAATACGCTGATGATACCCAGCTTTACCTCTCGTTCTCCACTAATCCAGGTGAGGCAGCGGCTGTGCTGAACCGGTGCTTGGCCGAGGTAATGGAATGGATGAGGGCCAATAAACTGAAACTCAACCCAGACAAGACGGAGGTCCTGTTGGTGGGCGGATCGGGCTTCGGAGAGGGTGGAGTTGACCTGGTCCTGAATGGTACAACACTCCCTCTTAGGGATAAGGTCCGCAGCTTAGGAGTACTCCTCGACCCGGAGCTTTCTTTGGAAGCTCAGGTGACAGCGGTGGTGAAGAGCGCCTTCCTTCAGCTTCGGCTGATTAATCAGCTGCGTCCCTACCTGGAGTTCGACTGCCTGGCGACAGTGACACACGCGCTGGTGACTTCCCGCCTAGACTTCTGTAATGCGCTTTACGTGGGGCTTCCCCTGAAGACGGTCCGAACACTTCAATTGGTGCAAAATAGAGCTGCCAGGTTGCTGACGGGGACGGGGCGTTATGCTCACATGACTCCAGTCCTCCGTCAGCTTCACTGGCTGCCCATTGAAGTCCGGGCCCAATTCAAGGTGTTGATTATGACCTATAAAGCCCTAAACGGCTTGGGTCCGGGCTATCTGAACGAGCGCTTACGTCCGTATATGCCCGACCACCCTTTGAGATCTGCGGGAGAGTCCCTTCCCCGGGAACCCTCCATGAAAGAAATTAGGAGAGTAAATACTCGGAGGAGGGCTTTCTCTGCGGTGTCGCCCAGCCTATGGAATTCACTCCCCAAAGAGGTCCGCCTGGCACCGTCGTTACTGGTTTTTCGGCGCCAGGTAAAGACCTTTTTATTTAAACATCATTTTAATTGTTAAAAAATATGATCTGGCCAGGGCAACTTCTTCTTCCTTCTCTTTTCTCCTCCTATATTATTTATTTACTTATTTTATACTGATAATTTTAATTTTATATTATTATGTTTCTAACTCAATGTATTTTTTGTATTTTTGTATTTAATGGTAATTTATTATGTGCTATTGTATTTCAATGTATTTTATTGTGTTGTAAGCCGCCCCGAGGCTTCGGCAAGGGGCGGCATAGAAATGTTATAATCATCATCATCATCATCATCATCATCATACTTCTCCCTTTTCTCAATCCTGACAATAGTATGCAAAATGGAAAGCAACATTTAAGCTATCCATTCAGTTACATGGTTCACTGTAAGGACAGACTGGAAAGAAGGGTTATAATTGGGGTATTAGAACTACAGAGAGAAGCCAGCACTTGGACAAAATTTGAAATAAATCTTGCCCAGTCTTATGCAAGATTAAATGAATCTCAAATTCAGTGGGGCTTAATTCTACATTAGTGGGTAGGATTCCAGCCCAACTGACACATTTACTTGGAAGGAATCCTTTGGAACAAAATTCCGACTTACTTAGAACATGGACAGGTTCAGACTGTGTGGTTCATTTTTGATAATGAGTGTGTTGTTTCAGTGGGAATGCCCCATCAGCACATTAGTTGGCAATTGGCAATAGAACCTTGTAAGCCACCTTGGAAGAGGAAAAATGGCAGGGCATGAATGTAATGCCACAATAAATAATAATTCAGTGGGAGTGCTCAGTGAATGCACTGCTGATATATAGACACAGGAGAACTGACATTATCTGTTTTTAGCCTTACAGTTGTCATGATAAACACTGGAATGTGAACCCCAATGGAAAGTATTCAAGACTCCTGCAATTACATGCATATGGGAGTTTACAAAATGTGTGTGTGATTGTACAGTAGACGATTAGATCTAGAGCGTAACACACTTCCCTGGAAGTGTTAATAAACATTACCAAGCAAATGCACTAGGATCACTGGATGGGAAAAATGTGGAAACCATCCCTATGCTTTGGAGAGCTCTGTTGCAATCTCTAAATTTCATGTAGCCCATTTGGCAGTGTTTGATTTAGAGCAGGCACACCCAGGCTCAAGGAACTTGGCTTTTTGGTAGGCCAGGACAAGCCGATCTCTGCTTTTCAGGAACAATTTGCAATTTGATACTTGGATCCTGTCCAGGTTGATGTTAATATTTTATTTCAAACAAAGCCCAGACTTCTCTCCCCCAACCCCCAGTCTCTTGGCATATGCACTGATATTACAAATATGGTGTTGAATTTCAACTGAGGTTATGCTTCATAACTAGAAATCCAATAGGGATATCATTCTCAGCTCTGACTTTATGGTGGGGAAGACTTACCTGTTGAATACAAAATTAAAAATGTACTAAGTCTTTTTAAAACACTGTGCCAGTGCAAAAAGTACTTAATTTCCAAATATGATTGCCAGTTTTTCTTTATAGGGCACAGAAGTCTTTCCTTCTGTAATATTTTGCACCACATGTTGCTTGTTTTCTACTTATTGGTGTAGCAGATATAAGTAACAATACACTGTACCAGAAATGCTTTCAACATTTAAAACCAAATAGGCAAACATTCAACAGGTACAATTGCCCAATGTATCTTCCTGTACAATGAAAGAGCACAGAATGCTACCTACATAATTTGGACTTTATATTCCTCTCTGTGTAAACAGGAATCGGAAGTCCTATTTGAGAGCAAATGCCCATTGGTCTTGCTACAGTAGTATTTTTATGCTTCCCTTGAGATAATAGACTTTTAAATTCAAATGAGAATTGATGCTGAAGCTTGATATTGGTAGCTCCAAGCATGTGGAAAAGAACGAAGTCAAAATATGGCAACTCCCCCAGCTTAAAATAGTTGTATTGTTACATTGTTATACTGTCATAATATATGGTGAACTAAAGATTCCTCTGAAAGCAAGTCTTTTCTCACTAGGAAGATTACACTGGAGACAATGTTGACTGGCTTTTTCTCTCTCTCTTACAGGGCAGTATCCTATTTGACACTGCTGCTAATATAAATTATGTCGCAGTGGTGTAAGTGATGCAATGGCAATGCTGGTGAGGAGCCAGAGTTCTCGGAAAGGATATTGTGCATCCTTGTAAGCAAAGGGGTACTGATTTCAGTGTGCTGTTTGCACATTCAGCTATTGATCCAGAACTAATTTCTGAAGAACGTGCACATTAAGATGCTGCCCATTTTTGTTTACAAAAATTCTAGACTCATTTGGCTTTAAACCTCTGAACAAGTACAGAGTGCCATTTCAATGGGAAAATGCCTTTTCAAAACCCGATCAGAGGGTTCTACAGAGGTCCTTTTGTGTCGAGAATCATGCAGCCTGCTATCAATGTGCCTGGCTGTTTTATGGAGGCCTCTCAGGGCTTCTCATGCCACTGATCATTTCCTTTGTATCTTTAGTGCTTTACCTATGGCTATAATCATCTATGCATGATTTTTTGAAGACTTGTGAGGAAGCACATGCAGAAACAGCAGTTTTGTGCCACATAAACAGAGTTTTGGATAGCTGTGAGTTACCATAACAGAACTCAGAGGATAGCTTCTTGAACGTGGGGCTACATTCTGGCAAAGTTTTCCTACATGGTGGCAGAAACAGCAGCATACACTCAATTATTCTGAAAACATCACTACATACTTTTATTAATAAGTGGATCATGAGCTAGAAATGCATAAAAAATGTAGCCTTTACCATTTGATATATACAGCTTCAGTTTGTGGTATTGTTGCTGTTGTATCTTCTAATTCTGAAAAGCAGTGAAGAGGATGCAGTTTTGGCAGTCCTTGTAAAATTCTGGCCCGTTAGTATATATCAAGCTGACAAAAAGATTCCAATTTGGCCTCAAACCAATATTGCAAATTCAAAATTCTTACGTTTGCAACAATGAACACATTTCTGGCACTAGCATACAGTATTTAAGTTAAAACAGATTATGCAAAGATGACCTACATAATATTAAATACCAGTTTGGGCCTGATAGCTGGAATGGTCAGAAGGTGATGAAAATAATTCAAGATATCAGTGCCAACTACCTGCAAACCACAGATTCTGTACCTTAGGAAGGCAAAACAATCTAACTGTATTTCTCATGTGCGATATGATATAAAATACTATCAACAAACTTAGAAATATAATGCAAAATTACTGCTTGGTATACAAGAGCTCATCAATGTAAATTTCCATTGTGAATTCAGTGCCTTTATAATACTCTGCATGTTTACTCCAAAATTAGTCCCATTAAGTTCAGTAGAATTTACTCCCAAGACAAACTGCATACTATTAAACACTGCACCTAGTGATTAAGATAGAGGAAGTTTCTAAAGCCAAAATAATTGTGATTTTGTACAACAGCTAGAACAGTTATGAGGACCCCTAGCTTTAAATTGCTCTATGTTTGACAGCTACTTTACATATGAAGCAAAAGTGTTCAGCAGCTGCAGCCCAGTGTGAAAATACTGGGCTCTTGAGTATGATTTTCTCTAACGGATTAACCATTGTACAGCAATTATTTTGTAAATTCAATATTGAACAGGGAAAGGAAATCCAAGTTTTAGCTATAAGGCACATTGCAAAATACTCACTTTGATCTACAAATCTTCCCATGTAACAAGCTGTAACAGGTGGTCAGCATGGTGAACAATCATCATCATTTTACAAAGACTGGATTTGTGCCTCTTTTAAAATTCTTTGGCAGTATATGGTTAACCTGAATGATTAAGGGGAGGTCTGCACCTGTAAGACTATTAATTGGGAGGTTGACATCTACTTCCACCATGCAGGGCTTCCATCCTATATATAATTACAGCTGAGGACTGGCCTACTGGGACAGACGCTGGCAGGGCTTATCTGTGCATTTAATGATGCTGTAGCACAGCAGTCCTGTAATAGTCCAGTTTTAGAATCTGGCTCATCACAAGCAATGTGACACCCAAGACAAAAGCAGGCATTTCACATGGCTCAAAACCCCCCTCAAATTAGTAATACAGCTGTAATGGGGTACAATTATGCCCTAAACATTTGAACTCATTTGCTGTAAGAACCAAGACAGCAGATAAAAGTGGAAGAGAGAGAGAGTACAAAAACATTTAATGGATGACACTGAGTAATTTAGAAATGTCATAAATGGTGGTCTAATTTTTGTTGCAGCATGTTGAATATTGATTACAATACATGCAGTTCTTTGAAAGATGCCATATAAATGCCAAGTATTATTTTAACCCTTTAAAGAAAAAATGCTTTTGAAATTTAAAAAGACAACAGCAACACTTTTGTTCCTGGTAAGTGAAGTTATTCTGTACTAACTTTTATTTAAGTTAGTAAGGAATAACTCTGAGAGAGTTTCATCTTGTTGTGATGTTTTTTAAAGATAGCAATCAAGGAATTATTCAATAAAGAACCAGCTTGTTCTTTTTCTTAGTGTGGAAGTGGAAAATGCTAATTCATAGGTAGGCACTCTTTGTTTTGATACAATTTCCCCCCCCAATGATCCCTAACTCTTTGGGATTGCAACTTCAACCCCCTAGCCCCTTTAAAATAGCCATGTAAAAAGTATTTGAGTAAAAAGCATGTGAAATCTCCCTGATCAGTGTATAGACAAAAACTGAACACAGAATGGGTAAGTTCTCACACAGAGTTTATATATGATTTTGTTAAACCTATGTGCTTTCTGCTTAGGTAAACTGTTGCCATTAAAGTAACACAGGTATTAGTGCTGTTCTCAGCTTCTAATGTTAGCTGCTAGGTGATCTCCCCATCCTTCCAAAATGCTCACAATTTGAATGTACAAACTCCACATTTTAGGAATTACTGTTAAGTTTGGAACCACATTCTATATCCTTCCATGAAATTATGGTCATTAATAATGAGTGTGTTGTTTCAGTGGGAATGCCCAATCAGCACATTAGTTGACAATTGAAGTTTGTAAGCCACCTTGGGTATCTTGGAAGAAGAAATAATGGTGAAGAATGAATGAAATGCTATAATAAATATAGTTCAATGGGAGTGCTCATTAATGCACTGCTGATATATGAAACGCTATAATACAAATAATTCAATGGGAGCACTCAGTTAATGCACTGCTGATACAAAGGAGAGCTCACATTATCTGTTTTTAGCCTTACAGTTGTCATGATAAACACTGGAATGTGAACCCCAATGGAAAGTATTCAAGACTCTTGCAATTACATGCATATGGAAGTTTACAAAGTTTGTGCATGATTGTACAGTAGATTATTAGATCTAGAGCTTAACACACTTCCCTGGAAGTTAAGTGTTAATAAACACTACCAAGCAAATGCACTAGGATCACAGGGTAAGAAAATGGACACCATCCCTATGAGTCAAGCTTCCTGTTGCTGGCCAAGCTTCCTGTATCACCTCCTATTCCTTACACACAAGCTCACAAGACTGGAAGGGCAAAGTAGAACATTCAGTTGTCAGTCCAAGCAAGCGAGATCAACTGTGTTTCTTGCAAACCTTAACTCTTCATTGATGCTTTGGCGAGCTCTGTTGTGATCTCTAAATTTCATGCAGATCACTTGGCAGTGTTTGATTTAAAACCGACACATCTAGGCTCAAATCCTTAGCCTGGCTTTTTGGTAATGGAAGTCTGTGTATTGAAGGGAAAAATGAAAATGAACCGAAATGAATAGTTTTTTACACCATCCAGGGTACCACTTTTTTTTCTGATGAAGAACTATAAATCAGTTTCCCTGCCACCTTGCAACTCCCATTAGTGGTAGCCAGCATGGGCAATGATCAGAAATCATGGAAACTCTAGTCCAAAAATATCTAGAAGGGCAGAGGACACACTTCTTTTTCAAAGTCAGGTACCTGAAAAGGTCAGCATCTTTAAACAGTAACAGCCTGCAAAACAGCCTATCTTCCTGTTTTAAAAAGTATACAGATGGGAACCACAAGGCAAAATTACTTTTATCTGCTTAACAACATCTAAAACCATCTCAATTTCCACACAGAAATACCAAGCATCTCTTTAAACTAAATGCTTTAATAGAAAAAACAAAAATACAAAATCTCTTTCCTGAAAGCAGAAATATTCAATCTTCTCTTAGAATGAAGACATAAAAGTTGTTTTCCCCACCCCACCCCACACATTTTGCATGCTCACACGCTTGTATGAAAACTTCATGAAACAACTTATTTCGATATTTAGTGGAAAACATCAGAAATTGGCAAAGCTCCATGTTTTCACCAGTAATAATTTAGTAATACTATTTTCCAACCCTCTGGACACCTTTGTCCAATATTTAGCTGCAGAAAATATTTTTGGTGAGGTGAAATGTGTCCCTTTCTATTAGGAGTTGAAACATGCTGCTACAAATTTAACCATGTTTTGCACATTTTTTCAGCAGGAAAGCTACTATTACCTCATCAGTCAAATATCTAGCATTTTGTATCACCATCACAGTGCAACCAGATTTGGAATAATCCCAGATCTCTGAACTAGGAACAGATACAAATATTATAGTCAACATTAGGAATCAAATCCAAATTGTATCTTTTTGTAGAGACAGCATTTGTCACATACATTCAAAAATAAAAATACCATGGCTTGGATCCAGACTTTGCTCCTGCCAATGGAGAGGGACAGGTGCTATTTTCCACAGCAGCTCCTTGTACCTTCCGAAAAACTGCCCTCTGGAATAGTATAACAGATGGTACCTGCAACTACAGGAAGGCGTGGGCACTGCCAAAGGTGGTCTTCCTGCTTCCACCAGGCTTTTGATTATGCTGGATTAAAGCCTTCTGTAGATGGAAGGAGCCCTACTATTCACAGAAGGTAAGAACTGATCCAATCCCATGGCTCTTAATCTAGCAAGCTGGAAGTCACCTCCAATGTCATTTTAAACATAATTATAATCTTCCTTATGCTTAAGAGTATTCTTAAAACAAAATCTATTTTTCTTTCCAAGAAGCAAGGGTTCTGGTCCCACGGAAACGTCAGTGGGAAAGCCATCAATTGAGCACAATAGTTGATACAGACACCCTCATAAACCTTTGGTAAAGGTAATTAGGATGCGCCCATTAATGCAAAAATATTTAAGTGCAAATGCCCAGTTGATGGTTTTAATTGCTTCAACTGGCTTTTGGCTATTCTTGTAGCAAAATTTTCTGAGTTGCTGCCTTTCCCCCATTCTTGTCTTGTCCTTGCACCATTAACACACACAAGTATAATAATGTTCTCTGTTGCTCTCCCTGCCCCATCTTTCTGCAATAACATTAGTCATGTTCAAATACAATATTTCCATCATTCTGGACATGCCCACCAATGGGAGAAAGAGAAAAAATTCACAGTCAATTATATATAATCTCAGTTTATAATAGACTCTTGCTTTCAATAACACCCCCACCCCAATTAAAAAAAATATTAATGTTCCTGATTCTCTTGTGCAATTCCAGTCACTAAAAGAAGGTTACAAGCCATGAACTGTACACTCAGTACATTATTTATCTGTCCAGTATATACACCAACTAGTTCACTGGAAGAGCCATCTACAGGAGCGTTGCAGTAAGTGTTTCGAATGTCCCAAACCCGAACAGAGTTGTCCATTGATGCAGAAGCAATCAAGCTACTGTCCGGACTAAATGTAAGGCTGGTGATATTATCCGTGTGCCCTCTCAATTCTTTATAAAGCGTGCCAGATGCCAAGTCCCATAGCTTTAACCGCTGGTCTTCGCCTGCTGAAGCCAAATACTTACCATTTGGAGAAAATGCGAGAGACAGTACAGGGCCCCGATGACCTGTAAACAGGCGTACTGTGTTTCCTTGCTGGGTACTCCAGAGCCGCACTGTTTTGTCTGTGGATCCTGTTGCTAAATAGTTAGAGTTGGGGTGAAATTTAATGCAGTCCACATCCGCCAAATGGCCTGCATATATCCGCAGTGGATACGTCCGATCAAATGACCAGAGTCTTGCTGTGCGGTCATGTGACCCGCTCGCAAAGTACAAGCTGCAAGGGCTGATGTCCAGGTCCCACACAGGGTAGGCATGTCCTTGGTACAACACAGTGTTTGTAAAACATCCAAGGTCCCAGTATCTGATAGAAGTGTCTTCAGAACATGACAACAGTCCTGAGCTGTCTGACAGAAACTTTGTGCTGTACACTGGTCCGCAGTGTCCTCTTAGCATCTTCATTTCTGTACCCACATTATCATCTTCTTCATCCTACATGCAGGAATAGACAAAGTTGTCACTTTGCTCAGCAAACATACTTAAGAAAATTTGTCTACTACCAAGAATGACTTCATCATCCAACATGTGTAGCATAACGTGCATGACAGGACTATCTCTGCAGTGCTTGTCTGTAGCATATCTTGTAGCTACCTAAATATTTCAAATCCCAGAAGTTCCACTCATTTTTATAAGCTAGAACCAAATATTTAGATGGATTTTTTTCAGGAAGACCTTTAGTTGTTGGTGATTTTAGTGAATGTTGATAAAAACACTCTTCTTATAATTTAATACTTCTGGCTTTTGCTGCTCTGTTTCTTGAAGTACTGATAATTTAGTCTTTTCTTGTATTTGTATTAATAATACATATATATTTTAAATTGGTTAGCTACCTAGAATGTTTTGGAAAAGCAGGCCTCAAATAGTTTAAATAATACAGATTAATATGCACATACAAAGTTTATTTGCAATGGCATCATAATCTCCACATTATTCTCATGTCTACAAGAAAGGGTTGAGTATTTTTTTGAAAGCCGTTTGTTCAATGTACTTTAGTCCGCTGAACAAAAGGGTTTAGCTGCACCAACATCCTGAATTCTAACTCAGACACAAAAAATACAACAGCAGAAACTGATGGTCATTCAATGGATGTTGGGGAAAGCAGCACTTTTTAATGAATGCCAAATCACTTGAAATGCAAGAAAAATAAGGAGCTACCTAGCTCTCAGGATTATAATAAAATAGTACTCCTGAAATCAGAGTTTTAGTCATTTGCACCCAATCTTTTATACTGTGTATTTGAGAGCCAGAATGGCACAGCCATTAGAGAGTTGAACTGGGAACTTGGAAGATCTGAGTTCTAGTTCCCACTTGGCCATGAAAATATGGCATCTCACTATTTCATATCAATGAGCCATTATGGCATAGAGGTTAGAGTACTGGACTGGGACTTGAAAGATTCAGGTTCTAGTTCCCACTCAGCCATGAAGGTCACTGGATGACTTTGGACCAGTCACTGACTCTTAGCCTAATCGACCTCAGAGGTTTTTTGTGAGGATAAAACAGAGGGGAGAAAGATAACATAAGCCATTTTGGGTTCTTTGCAAGAAAAAAGATGGGATATCGATGTGTCCATGTGTATATCTATTATAAGAACCAGCCTACCATAGCTACTGTGGCTTAGTCTTTTCTTCTTTTTAACTTCAGAACCTCTGGGGTCAAACTGCATACAATATAAATACATTTTAAATATTTATATTACACTTATAATATTAATACTTTTAAGTGCCACATTAACTTGAAAAATTCTGTTACATAAAGGTGTAAGATGATAAATCTTCCTATCTATTCATTCTTAGCTGGCAACAAGGAGGACATTTGGAATTTTGGAAATATACTGTATACTGACAGAAGAGACATTTCCACATATTTATACTCTAGTTTTAATTTAAAAAAAATCTTTAAGAGGATAAGCTAAACTGGCAGCTGTCAAGTAATACAGAATATTAATACACTTATGTGGTTCATATGATCAAAATGAGCAGCATGGCTTACATAAAGAGAATATTGGGTTGTATTCCCATGGTGCTTGTCTGTCAGTGGAACAAATACTGTAGTCTGTTCCCTGAGCGTCCCCGCCCCCCCTGCTCCAAACCTGATACAGACAGTTGGGAGAACTGGGAGCATCATGAGATGAAGACAGAGTAAGGGAAAGGCCTATTGTGCAAGCAGAAGTCTGCTCACACATCATTTTTTGATACTGTCTTCAACTGAGTGTTGTCTTCAACTGCTTCTTTCTATAACCTCTAGCATCATTACATTAAAATATTTATGCTTCCCACAATCTACTTTCCCAGACTATTTCTCCACTCTGCTTTTTGTTTTCTTCCAACTTTATAGCTTTTCCCTTGCCCCTTATTTCTCTGGCATGCCTCCAGCATTATTCTCACAAAAGGGCCCTTGGACTGAGGCCTCCAGTGGCAACTTTACCTTTGCATGGGCATGTAAAGAAAATATAGTAGGGATAAGAGTAGCTGGTTTAGTCAGACATCTTCTCCAAGGCCACCCTCATAGACAGAAGGAAAAAGTAATGTAATGGGAGTTGTTTTTATAACAGGAGTGAAGTTTGAAAGATTAATAGTCAATATAACTTATATGTCTGTTTTTCCCTTCCTTTGACTCATGTAACAACACATTTCTGACTTTGAGAAGATGGTTGCATTGATATAAACACATGTGAAGGTTGACACTGCTGTCCATAGCGAGGCCTTGCAAAGGTTTGCAAAGACATAAATGTGTGTGCATTGTTAATGGAGACAAGCAGCAGAGAGCTGACCTGCCATATTGCAACCAAAATGGGTGTATGGGGAACTGACCCTAGCTAAAGCTGTTGCCATTTGTCACTTTTGTTAAGACTGACAGGCAGAAGGAAAGTACCACTGAGGCACTTTCCTTTTGCTTGCCTTTAACAACTTCGATACTTCCTCCCAGAACACCCATTCAACACACCCAAATGTATAAGAGTAGCAAAATTCTCTGACCTCCTCATCCAAGATATCACAAGCCAGGCGGATTCGGGATACATCTACCAGATGCGGCTCAGATTTCAGTTTCTTGGCCCGCAAGCTCCACAGCTTCACACAGGAATTGTCAAAGCCAGCAGCAAGCAGCTTGCTATCTGGTGAGATCTCAGCTGTGTTTAACAACTGCTCCGTGTTATAGAACGCATAGAAACATATTGTGGTGAGAGAAGGTGGTCCATCTTTGACTCTTTTAATGCTATCCTGCAGAATGTCCAAGGCTGCCTCGTTCTGCAGGATGGAAGCAGGCATGTCAGTGGGTTCCAGACCATTGCTCTCACTGCGTGAAGAGCCACCACTAGCATAAAGCTGGTAGTCCATCCTCTTGGCTGGCTGCACATCTAAGTGAATATGCAAGGAGAGGACTTTGCAAAGAGCATTGTTGTTGTCACTTTGGAGGTAGCGAAGGAGAAAGTTGTAGCTGTCTTCTTGAAGACGGACGACATACTTGTTGTCCAGAAATGCCCGGAGCTTGAAGTTGGACAAGATGTCTTGAATTGTGAGTGTGGTCTGTAACTGCTCAATTATATCCTTCTGGCTGACGTTCTGCAAGAACATCCCATGGAAGCGACTATAGAAACTGTCCACTGTGCTCTTTAGGCCATTCTGAACCATGTGAAGATGGAGGTAGACAAAAAGGGGGTACAGAAGAGGCATCACTTCATGGCTGTGCTGGGAATCTGAATCTAAACATCAAAGACAAAAAAGCATCATTTTATCCTTCATGGCTCTTAACTGGAATTACAATGAAAGCAAGGTGGAAGTACAATGAAAGCATTTCAGTCTGGCTTCAGGCCTGGTTATGGACTGAATCTGCCTTGGTCGCCCTGTATGATGACCTGTGCAGGGAGAGGGATGGGGAAGTACATCCCTGTTGGTTCTCCTGGACCTCTCAGCAGCTTTCAATACCATCGACCATGGTATCTTTCTGGATAGGCTGGCTGAATTGGGGATTGTAGGCACTGCTTTGCGGTGGTTCTGCTTCTGTTTGGCTGGCTGATCCCAGAAGGTGATGCTAGGAGATTATGGCTCTGCACCATGGCAGTTATGCCATGGAGTTCAGCAGGGCTCTATTTTATCCCCCATGCTATTCAACATCTACATGATATCCCTGGGAGAGGTCATCTGGGTGTTTGGGATGACTCCCAGCTCTACCTCTCTTTTACATCTAATCCAGGTGAGGCGGCGGCTGTCCTTAACCAGTAGCTGGCTGGAGTGATGGGCTGGATGAGGGCCAATAAACTGAAACTTAATCCAGGCAGCTGGAGGTCCTGTTGGTAGGTGGTTCAACTTCCCGGATAAGTGATCTTTGCCCTGTTCTAGATGGGCTTTAACTCCCCCTAAAGGGTGGGGAGAGCGGTTTGGGAGTGTTCCTCAACCCAGAGTTGTCCTTGGAGTCCCAGATGACTGCTGTTGTGAGGAGCGCTTTCCTTCAGCTTCAGCTGATCCACTCTTACTTGGATGAGCAGAGCCTAGCAACAGTGACCCTCCCCCTCACGATTGGACTACAGTGACATGCTGTATATGAGCCTACCCTTGAAGATGGTCCAAATACTTCAATTGGTTCAGAATAGAGCTGCCAGGGTGTTAAAAGGGACCGGTAGATACACACATACAACACCGGTCCTTTACCATCTGCACTGGGTTCCAATTGAAGTCCAGGCCCAATTTAAGGTGCAGGTGATAACTTATAAAACCATAAACAGCCTAGGACCTGCATATCTGAAGGAGTGCCTCCTTCCATATATACCTGCCCGCCTCCTAAGATCTGGGTTGGAGGTCCTTCTTTGGGAACCCTCTTTGAAGGAGTTCAGAAGAGTGGCTACCCAGAGAAGGGCCTTTTCTGTGGTGGCGCCAAGGTTATATAATGCATTCCCTAAAAAGCTGTACCTAGCGCCAACATTTTTTTCCTTTGAGTACCAGGCCAAAACCTTTTTATATTACTGATGTTTTAAGTGTTTTAAGATGGGGTTTTATTTGAATTTGTTGCCTGATGCTTTACTTTTACTTCATGGCATTACTGTTCTTGGATTGTTAGTGAAGGATGGTATATAAAAGCTGTAAATAAATAAGATAAGCCGTTTTTCTAGGGCAGGAAAGGGGGGCATGTGGACCTCTAGCTGCTGCTGGACTGGAACTCTCATCATCACTGACAAGTGACTGTGTTGGGTGGGGCTGATGTCCAACCAAGTTTGAGGCATCACAGGTTCCCCAACCCTGTTCCAGAGCATCTGCAAATAGCTTTTTCTGTTTCGGAATGGCACAACATGACCGCCAATGTGGCGTTCATAATGAGGAGACTGACAGGATCTCCAAGATGCATATGAGAGCCCTCATTTATGTTGCCAGCCACACTTTTGGGGTGGGGGTGGATGGGTGCTACTGAAGATAAGGTTAGAATATATTTGACCCAGTTTGGAGGTGAAGAACCTGGTTTCAACCACGTACGTTTAGGGGCATGGCATCAACCTTGGAGTGAAACACAAATGTTCCAAAACATCTCTCAAAATGTTATGCTTCACAGTTTCATTTCTGTCTTGGGTTGCTTGTTCTCTGTATCTCTCAGAAGTAAATCCCACAGCATAATTTACTGTTTGCTATCTGCTGCAACAAGCAGGGCCATCACCACCCATTCTCTAAGAGAGATGACATTCTACAGAAGATTAAGGGTGCAAGCTTTCCTAAGACATTAAAAAGCCCTACAACTCCCAGCACCCCCCAGCTAGCTGTAAAAAGGGGACTTTATTTTTCTCCTATTCTCTTCTCGTTTTAACACCTGTCTTTCTACAGGTTGTCCACTGAAGTCAGTCTTCTCAAACCATCCCCAGCCAGCATGGCCTCTGGCTGGGGGATAAGCTGCCATCGAACACACCTGGTTGGCACCAGGTTGGCAAGGCTCATCCTGGGGAAGCGTGGGAAAGCTTTAGCATAATATCCGCAACAAATGAAACAATCAGATATATATATTCTTCCTTCAGGTAGCTAATTGTTTTGCACATTTTTCTCCAGTTCCTTATCCCAGCCCCTCATTCATTCTTCTATCTTGTTGTGGTGCTAGGTTCCGATTTGAAGGACTGACCAGACAGTCAAAGTGCACTCCTTGCTGTTTAAAGTTCAAAGAAGCAGTCAGGATAACTTAGCAGTGCTCTTTACACCCTACAGTGTCTCCGAAAGTTCTAAATGCTAGGAAGTGGAAAGCATGCAGAAAGTGTGGTGCGTTTTGTAGGACTAAAAACATATTGCAAGGCCATTGGTCGGGAAGTGGGAGGGCAAGAAAGCAAGTAGCCAGTTACTTGCCTGGCTTTCCCTAAATTTATCTTCCTGTCTTACTATCAGTGATAGGATGCTAATCTGTGCTTATGAAACACTGAGAACCTGATGTTCAGATGTAGGGTATTGCTTCATTACTCCATCTACTGCCTTGTGGGGGAGAATAAAGTTGTGAGAGAAGACAGAATTAATGCCACCTAAGCCATTCAAGAAGAAGCAGGACAAGGGACAGAAAAGACTGGGCATAGGACAGGAGGCCAGAAGGGGGAACCCACTTTCTGTTCCAAGTAGCTCAAACTGAATCTAAGTTCAGTATGTTCCTCCTTGGCAAGCATATACTTCTTTTCAACTCGCTACCCACCTGTAAGAAAATTACGCAGTCGCCCAAACTGTACTTCATATTGTTGCGGATCTGCTAGGCAGGGTGCAGCAGAGACAATGTTTGCACAACCCGATTCAGATTGAACTAAGGGATGAAACAAAGGTTAGAAACCACTGAAAGCTGTAGTATAATACAATACTGTTCCATACTCATTCACACATGCAAATACTTAGAAAAGTAGCGGCACAAGGATCTTGTCATGGAGTTAACAGAAAGGTACTCTAAAATCTGGATAAAAATAACAGGGTACATTTGATGCCCTTGTATGAACTTTTATATTCAAGATTTTTATGCTCAATTAACAGTATTATTCTTTCTTTACTAAATATGCCTGCACAATATCCACAAAGATATTGCATGTAATGTTTTTAAATTTTAATTTGAAATTGTAACAGGTAGTTTTAATCAATTTGATATCATTTATCATTATTTCACCTTTTAATAGGTGGAATATTTTAACCTATGGTTCTGTTTGTAAATTGTTTATTAAGGACAAGTTGGTCACTGATGGTAATAAATTGCTGCTGCTTTACTGAATATATTATTTATGTATATCCCACTTTCCCCCTCATAACAGACAAAGTGGCTTAAATCATTCTCCTCCTCCTGCTCTAAATCTTATCCTCACAATAGCATCCCTGTGAAATAGGCTGGGTTGAGAGTCCGTGCCCCAAAGTCAGCCAACAGGGAACTTGAACCCAAATTGCCTGAGTCCCAGTTCCACACTCTTAACCACTATACTGCACTGGCTCTCATTTAATGTAGAATCACTTAATGCCTCAGTGACACTAGCAATAGACTAGACCGATTCATGTATTTAGCATCCATCATGAACACAAATGGCATTTTAATTGAATTCTGGAAAATGGGACATGACTAAAAAATATGTTGCCCTTCTGTGTGAAATTTATCGTGTGATACAGAGTGAATTCACATGTGAAGAGATTAAATTTACAACACAAAATGAATACTTGTGGAATGTGCTCCCCAGAGAGGTTCGCCTGGAGCCGAGCCTATATTCTTTTCGGCACCAGGTCAAAACCTTTTTATTCAATCATTACTTTAAAAATTAACATTTTAATGGTTTTAACAGTTGCTTTTGATCTGATTTTTTATTTTTACTGGTTATTTATTGTTTTATTTTATTGTAATTGATTGTTTTAGTGTATTCTGATTTTAATATTGTAAGCCATCCTGAGATGTCTCACATATAGGACGGCATATAAAAGTTTTAAATAAATAAATAATTCCATTCCTGAAATAGTTAAGTCATGATAAACTGCCATCTCAAGACCTTGTCATCTGACATCATTTCAGAATACTTTTCCAACTCAGGCTATTTAAATTTCAGTGAAGACAGCTACTGTTTACAGAATAATCAACCAAGAGCCACAGATTGGACTGGATTAGCAGAAACAGGTAGGGCAGTGGTCTGGCAGAAGGATATTTTCATGTTTCCATCTCTGACCCACAGTATGCTTCCCCTGAGTGCCAGAGGGCCCTGCTGTATTAGATGGTCTGTGGGTCACAGGACAGAAGTGAAAGCAGTGGGGAGTGCTTCAAAAATCAGGTGGTGGGATCTTCTGACAGTTCTACTCTTCTTTGTGGAGCAGGTGTACCCATCTTTCATTCCTCTTTGTGTTCAGTATCTCTGCCAGGTTCTCAGGATTCCTTTTTGCACCACACCTACCCAATTCAGCAGGGTCTCCAAACACTCAAGAGGTATTTGAGGGGGCTCAGTGGACTGCCAGAGAACAGAGGTATGGGGAAATCACCTTCTACCAGACTACTTCCCAGTATGTTTATTTGGATCCAAGCCATTGTAACTATTTCCCTGACAATCTTATCTTTTTCTGAACAACTGTGTACACAGTATAAGCTTTGGCCTCAACTAAATTCCACTGCTGCTGTTAATTTCTCATTGTTTCAGATTTTCACTAACCCTTCTCTGTATATAATGTCTGATCCTAAGACTTGCAAAATTTGGATTAGAAGTACCATTTGCTGGTTCCATATAATCAGTATAGATATGCTTGGAAGTATAAGCAAGCCAGAATAAGATCAAAAGCATTCAACATTAAGGGTCTAGTCTATATTTTAAAAATCATTATTCTACTAGACCTCTTAAGCAAGAGTTCTATAAGATTTAGCTTTTTATGGGTCTATAAGCAGAGCCATTGAGCAAGAAATGACTGTACCCCTTATGGAAGAAAAATGGCAACCACATTCAAGCATGTTTATAATTAAGCATTGATTGAAATCAAGTAAGTAAGACCACAATCCTATGGTCATCTAGTCAGCTACAAGAGAGGTTGGAGTCCTAGCTGCCGTCTTGGAAACATACTCTGAGGTCATAGCTGAGACTTCAATCTTGCAGCACCCTTGCCCTCCTTCCACTCTTGGATCAAACATAAAAAACCTGTGCCAGCTGCAGCTCCAATGTCACAAAAGCAACCCTGCAGGCACAGTTTGTGAATAATAAGGAGTGGAGAAAGGATCTGCCATGACAGATAGTATTCTGGTGACACCTCAGCCTATTCTCATCACACTCTGGAACAGAAGAGCTAGATAGCCAATCTTTTGCAGGACAGAAGGAGCATGGAAGCAAAGGTTACCTCTTCACTCCTCCCAGCTTTAATAAGATACCTAGTTTTCAAAGTCAGAGGGTCATGGGCAGCAACACTGGATTGTACTGCACAAATACGTATGTATGGTAACAGTGAATCCAAATGAACATACTTAGCCAGAACCACATGAATGATACAGTTAGATGCTCCAGGATTCCTCTTATGAAAACAGCAAATATAGTTCAGCGCAATCCCCAAAGAACAAAACAGTTTGAGAGGATGCTTCTGCAGGCTTGGTACCCAATATCATCACCCCCTACCAATATCTAGAAGTCTTACCTTAAACACACCCTTAAAACACTATGATTGCTGTACTTCTAAAGTTTTGATTGCTCCATGAAAGCTATCCAATGCTATCATTTTTAATTTCTAAGCTTTTCATATTACCAAAGTTAAGAAACGTTCAGATTCTCAGGATCTAGAGTTACCCAACTGAGCTTTTAAATATTAAAGTCTGTGTTAGCTGTTACCTTTAAAAGTTACTGCTGCATGAGAACATCACTGCTTATAATTTCATTTCAAACAACTTTTAAATAACACAGTGGAATGAGTGTGAATGTGTGTGTGTTCGTGCGTGTGTGCGCGTGCACACATGTGTCTTTTGACTAAATTGACTTCAGTTTTCAAATAGGTGGTGTGAAAAATATCAAGTGATAAAATGAACATATTGTGCTAATGTTTAGTGCAAAATTCTTACAATAAAAAGTATTAGGGAACTAAACTGTATTTATCCTAAGTTCTATGTAAGTTGAATCTGGGCTTAAACAGTAGTATGTTATATTGATTTTATGGCTTATTTGGCCTAGAAAAAGTCTAATTCATTTAATTCTATCTCAGTAAAATTATCAGATTTGTTTAATCACATCATTCTAACCTATGCAATTTCAGAACATTTAAGAATGACACATGCTCTCTGTGCATTTCATTTTTATTGTCTAGTTTAAGAAACTACCACACATTGGAAGTTTGCCCCTCCCAAATATGTACAGCTCCTAATTTGGTCATATCACTTACGTGTCCCAGATGGATAGCAAAGAATCATATGTTCATTTGTATTCACTGATCTTGTTCACACACGACAACCCAAAGTTTACTTAACCCATGGGATGTTACCTTATTGAGAGTTAACGCATGATTTCACTGCCATGTGATCAAGCAAACCATGGATTGTTTGTTCATCTCCTAGGTTACTCTGTTTCTGCACTTTCACTCATTTCCTCAATCCCAGATGAGATGCCTTTGTAGCACTGCTGTTTTGGCATGCAGAGTGATTGGCTCTGGTTTGTATTTAACATTCTTGCCTGCTGGCTCAATAGCCTAGTGAAACAACCCATGTGCAACCTACAGTTCTGACTTCACAGGTAACAATAGCCCATGGTTTAATTAACATTTGGCTCACAACCCACAAATGCTGAATACACTTCTAGGGTTGTTCATGGTTGAAAACCCCTAGTTAAGCTATAGTTCAAAGTTAGTTCATATATAGTGATAACCCATGCATCAACAAACTTTAGTTAATTAAAACAATTCACCATTGTCCACTTCTCAATTGTTTAGAAAAGTCTTTCCCACCTGGTGCCCTCCATTTATGCTTGGCTTAATATTCCATCATCCCAGTCAGAAAGTCCAGTATCTTGAGAGGATGGAAAGTATAGTCCAAACATCTGGAGGGCAGCAGGGAAGACTACATTGGAACTTTCTACTCAAGAAAGAGCTGCACTATTTCTATAAACCCGTAAGAAAATCCTAATAAGTACCTGTTAGATTAGCTGCCATTTCTTCTGCAGTCTGGCATAAGCGGAGCCCTTGTTTCAGAGGACCTTCTGAATCTACATACTGCCTGCGTTTGAGGTAGCAGGAAACTGCCATCTGAATCTGTTCTGTGCGTACGCGTTTCATGACCTCCAAAAGAAAAAGAAATAGGTTTCCTGTCAAAAAAAGATGATGAAATCATGCAGCAATCATATAGGATTTTTAATAAACATGTTAGATACCCCTGGAAAACTGACATTCCCATTATTTACTCCAGAAAGCATCCAGAAATGAACTCTTCACCTTCTTGCTGAAATCTTGACGTATCACTGAAGGTTGATACCTTAGACCTCCAAAGCATTAAACAGTAGATTGAGAAAGATGAAATTACAGTAATGAAGCACTTTGAGGATTGTGGGTGTTTGAGTGAAACCTTGACCTGAAATTGGTGCAGGTTTCATTGATGACAACCTCAAAAGAAAAATTCTGGCTCTCAGTATTTTCCTTCACCTCTTCTACTTTAGTGACATGCCACAAAAGAAATATATTAAATGTGTTACTTTGGCCATAAGACCACATGTCTTATGTGGAACATAAGGAACAATGTCATCTCTGTGTTCGGTGCATTGGTGTTTACTGTATTCTGGATGCTAAAAAGTTGCTATTATATAAATAGTAACTCTGCCTTGTACCATTTTCTCAGGTTGTGAAACATCAAAAGTTAATTTCAGTTATGTTTCTCTTTTACTACAGTGCACTTTTTAAGTTTCATAGTTAGCTGCTAAACGTCAACTTGCTTAAAGGTTTTTATTTCCAGATGATGTTTTAAAAAATTCACCATACCCCACAATGCACTCCTATTATTAGTACATAATAGGTTCCATTTCAGGTGAAACACTAATTCACTGAAAAGATACCACATGAAACTAGACAGCAAAGAAAGTGATATGGATTGCAAAAGATGGGTGAGAGAGAAAAAGGTTTTCGGTGTCAAATGTAAACACGTGATGCAGTCCCACATATAATTCACTACTCTATTACTTATCACCTAAAAGATGAGGTAAGGTAGAAGAGGAGCCACTACAGATGAAATTATATTTTCAACAGCATTCTTAACCAGGGATGCAGCCTTTGAGATGCTGGAGTTCATGTTCCACCATCACTAGAGCACAACCATCTAGTCCAGAATTCTGTTCACAAGGAGGCCAACCAATGATAGCAGCCTCTGAATCCTGAGCTATGAACATATAGTCATCATGACTATAGCCCCAGCCAGCCTAGCCAATGGCTCAGGAATGATAGAAGCATAAGCAGAGCCATCCTAGATCAGCTCAAGGGTCCAGTTAGTCCAGCACTTTGTTCATGCAGCAGCCAACCAGCTGCTTATTTATTATTGGGATATTTCTAGGCCGTCCAATCACTCTGAATCTCTGGACGGCTCACAACAAAAGGAAAGCAATAAGCAGAACATGAGTGCAGTAGTGTTTTCCTGTTTGTGTTCCCCAACTGCTGTTGTACATAGGCTTACTTCCTCTAGCAGAGGCAGCATATAACCATGAGGACTGCTAGCAGCTGACAGTTTTACCTTCCACGAATATGTCCAATCCTCTTTCAGTGCCCTCCAAATCAGTGGAGGTAAAGTGAAACCCATAGTTTAACTATGCACTGTGTGAAGGCATTTGTCCTGACTCTCCCACCAATTAGACTCATGGGATCTCCCTTTGTTCTGATATTATGACAAGGAGAAAAATACCTTGTTACCCACTTTTTAACCATTCATTAAATGTGAACATTAATCTATTCTATCTCACCTTATTGGTGGGAGAGTCTTTTATCTAAACCAGAGAATCCCAGATTTTGGGACTGACTAATACTGATGAGAACTGGAAGTTCAACATTCTATCTACTCAGAATAGTCAACTCTATGTGGCAGTAAAAGACATAAGAAATGGCTGGTCCCTCTCCATAGTTTAGAGTGTATTCACAAAAATTATGAAAATAAATTTATATTCCCCAACTTGCTATCTTCTAGAAGTGTTTGGGCTACAACTTCCAGAATTCCTAACCATTAACCATGCTGCTATGGTTGATAAGAGATAAAGTCTAACACACCTGGAGTGCATCAGGCTAGGGAAATCTGCTACTTACAAAGTGAATGTATAATATGAAAATCTACATGTAATTTGGAAACAATGTAACAAACTGACACCCAGTAGTGTGGTTATTGTTTTGAATGGTAAAGATTTTCTCTGCTCCATGAGAAGGTATATCTTTCCTCAGTTACAAGCCAACAATAAATCAGGACCTGACCTTCCCAGAGAGACAGGCTAAAGCATTTGGCTGTTTAATACACTGTACACTGGTTGTGCAATATGCCCACACCATAAATGGTACAGCGTGCTTATACACTACGGCAGTTATAACCGCTGCTAACTATTGCAGCATACAGTAGATATATGCTACTATGTGCTTCTTGTTACACGCACGCTTCTCCCTAGCAGACACACATCATGCTTAGCATATGTTGCTGTAATGCAGCCTTCTCCAACCTGGTGCCTTCCAGATTTTCCACTAGAACTCCCAGTATCCTCCAACCAGCCATGCTGGAAGATGCTGGGAATTACTGTCCCACATATCTTGATGGCACTGTTCAGAAAAGCTGCAAAGTATCACTTTTCATCGATAGCACGGCAGTAACACAAACAAATCCAACCGACCGTAGCCAAATTAAGTAGTCTGAATTTCAAAAATAACTGAAGCAAGCAAGAACTGATCCGCAGGTTTGAAAAATGCAAAGCCCCTTCTTGCTCCAAACTTCGCATATACGCGCCAAGCTACACAGAAAGTGTCGCTCCCGTGTTTACGCCTTGCCTTCTCCCCACCCGCTCTCCCTCACCCTTCGAAGCGTTTGCAAAAGAGAAACTCGACAGGGCAGGAGAAGGCAGCGAACGGAACGCCCGGAGGGAAGATGCACCGAGGCTGAAGCCTCACGCTAGTTGCCCAGCAGCTCTTTATGGAAGGAGGACAGAAGCGGTGGCAGCAGCTGTTGCTGCTGCGACGGCGGCGAGGGAGGCGGTGGAGATGGAGCGAGAGGAGGGCGACTGCCCGCCTCCACCCAGGGAGGGCCCTTCCGCGCGCCACACTTGGCTCGTCCCGCCGCTCCACCCGCCAGGGAAAAGGAGCTCCTACATGCCCAAGGGAAGCGCGGAGGGGGGAAGAAGGAAGAGCACTCACTGGAGCATCGCAGGCAGGAGGAGAGCGAGAGAGAGCGCGAGAGGCGCTGCCGCCGCGTATGTGCGCGGCTCCCAGTGCAGGCACGAAACGGAATTCCTGGGCTCGCGCCGCGCCGTCAGGCACGGCGCCCAGTGGCGCGAGACGCCGCCGCCGCCGCTCGTGCGGACCCCGGCGCGCGGGCGTGCAACCCTTCCTCCTTGCCGGTGGCTCGTCTGCTAACGTGGCTGGCTAGGGCGTCCCGGTGTGCTGGTAATGGTGCTGCTGCTGCTGGCGGCGGCGGCGTTGCTCCTTTTCCTGTGACCGCCGCTGCTCGGAGCAGCCGCTCCATGACTGACGGGACTGACACAGAGAAGGAGAGCGGGGCCGGGGAGGAAGCCGAACGCGCAGGCGTGGTCTTCCGACCAATGGGCAAGGATCTCCTTTTCTCGGCGCTCAGCTAGGAATGCCTGCTCATCTCTCCCGACTCCTTCAACTCGCTGATTCGGGTAAAGGTTAAGCGGAGAAGGAGGAGGAGGAGGATGTGCCGGAAGAAGAAGCACGTGCGCGAAGGGGCGGTGCTAGGACCACCGGTGCGCGTGGAGTGGTGGAGCGGCTGATGCCTTTGCAGCGCGGGTCGCTGGACGGGGCAGGCTATAGGCGTGTTCGACTCTTGGGCAGGTGTGTGTGCGTGAGAGAACTACCAGAGGAACTTGCATCGCTGCCCTTCCCGCGCAGCCAGTGCAGCGAGTGCCAGTGTGGCATGACGTGGGTTGTAGTCCAACACACCTGGAAGGCATCTGGTGGGGAAGGGATGGTGGAGCCAAATTCTGTGCAGAGCACTGCCAGAGTTCAACTTCCCTGGAAGACCCGCCCGCTGTTCTGAAATTAGGGCCTTTTCGTTTTCAGTGTGGTACGGATGTGGTGTGGTGAGGCGAAGGCATGGCGTAGCTGCTCAAGGCCAGATCTGCGTTAGAGTTCTGATGTTTAAGAATGGCGCGTTGGGGCGATCCCTGTATTTGGTAACTTGCTTGGTGAGCCCCCGTGAGAACTGTCAGGCAACACTTACACCATAGAGTATTACCCTCTTTGATCCAGGGTGTTTCTTGCTGGGCCAAAGTATTCTATCTAGTGCACAACAAATAAGATTTAAATCTGTTCACCTGAGCTGGTTTTGTAATTATTCTGCATATGAAAGCTGATTTCCTGTCAATAGGGTGATAAGAAGGCTACATGCAAATAACTGTGTGCTACTGAATGTAAAATGATGTGTGCTATTGACTAGAGTACTTTAGGGCAACCTTTTCCAAGCGTGCGTGTGTGTTGTTTTGATTTTGGACAAAGGCTTGGGAAGTATCTTCACAAGAATACAGAAATTAAGGAGGGAGATGGAAAGAAGTGGATTAGAAAAGAGAGCATGGTGCAGTTCTCTTACAATTGTAGTGTATGCTGTGACACCATTGGTTCTATCATTTATGTCAGCTGCAGAGAAGTGGGTAGGCAGCATTGGCACAGACTGAAATTGGGTGCCAGGTGAGTTGTGGGTTGCTGGGGTCAGAAGTGTGAGTCAATTCATTTTGCTGAAAATGCATGTACATTCTCCTATCTTGTATCTCTGCAACTACTTTAAGGACTTCTGTTGTAAGATGTGCTGTCAAGTCATCCCCAGCTTACACTGCAACAGCAGCAGCACATTATTTCAAATGAAACTTTTAACTTGTTTATTAGGATATTTCTATCCCGTCCATTATGGTTCATCTCTTGATGGCTTACAATATGAAACACCTAATAAATATATCATAATAGCACATGACTGAGGATAAAAAACATAATTTAAATATTTAAACTTTAAAATATCGGGTAAATAAAAATGTCTTGACCTGGCACCAAAAAGCATATAAAAATAATAAAGCATAGTAAAAGCATATAATGTAAAGCATATTTTGTTTCATTTTAGGTACTGCTCCCATGGCTGCAATTTACTCAGGTATTCATTTGAAGCTGAAAAGTGTGAAGACATCTTGGGAGGACAAACTCAAGTTAGCTCAGTTTGCATGGGTTTCTCATCAGTGTTTTCTTCCAAACAAAGAACAAGTATGTATTTTTCTACATGTTTTTCTTAAATTATACTCTAGATTGAATTTTGGTATAGGAGTTAATAGCTATAACATTATTAACTATAAGATTAATAACTATTAATCAGTGAGTTAATAGCTATAATATAGTCATGTTATCTCAACTTGTTAATCTCTGTCTCCAAATGGAAGAGGCTGAGAACTACTTGGGGATTTGAATATAATACTTGACTAAAACTGATTTTGTTCAGTTTTTTGTGAGGCTGTTTTTATTGCAAATTATATCAAGAAAGGCATTCTTGAAAAATTCCTGTAAATACTAGTATTTGTTTTTTTAAAAAAACTTGAGTTTCCATAAATACCCAGTGCCATTTTTTCACCATTATTATAGGACGTCTGCTATCATCTTTCCTAAAAGTATCTCTGATATGTCATAATAAAGTACATTTGGGAGAAAAGCAATGCATAAAGAATATTTCTCTACAGTGTATATTTGGATTTCCAGAGTAGTGTGCAAATGAATTTTGAACAGCATGCATTGATACCAGTGGATGAGTTAAGCTAGCACCCTTTTTGAATCAGTGGGATTTTAATATGCTTTATAGGAACTGAGTCACTCCTAACATCTCAGGATCCATCAACCCTCAGGTAGGATTTATACCAGGCTTGAGAATAGCCTCTTATCTGTCCACCAGTGATGACTAAGATGCACCTTTGAGTCAACAAGCAGATAAACAGTTGCAATTTGGAGGAAAACTGATATTTTCTTCCCTCAGGCTGCCACTGTGTTAGAAACAAATAATGTGTGGGCTGGTGGCCTAGCTACATTTTTTTGTGATCCAGCAGATTTAGTAGCTGTATTTGCAAGGCTGGATCATACCACTGTATCCCTTGCAGTGTATACCTAATGTAAGCCTGCTGTTTATAAAATAACATGTTTGTGTTCTTAGTTAGATATATATTCCTCTTTTATGTTGATGTACTCAAGAGGTCTCTGCAGATGCTTAAAGAGTCTATCCTGTACATATGTCTGGTGAGAGCGGGGCAGAACTGTGCTCCTTTCTGCACAGAGGGCAGGGCATTTACACCCCAACACATTTAGACTCAATGTGTACCCTGTTCCCTTCATTTAACTGCCCATCCATTAAGGTTCTTACCTGGAGGTTGTTCTAGGGATACCCTCAGTGTCTAAAGAGCACCTTTTTGGCAGTGCTGCTTCAATTGTAGGGTGCTCATGTTACCCAAACCATGGACTTAGTAGCCACCACAGTTTGTGAAGGCAAACAGGATAGTATTTTCCAGATAAAGGCAGTTTATATGTTCTTAAGCAAGTAAGCAGGAACAAGTAGTTGAGGTAGTCACTTCAGACTTGTCCTATTTGACCAGGGATTCTGTTTTATTTCAGTACTGGAATTGCATTTATTTGTTATTAAACTTGTAGTCTCCATGGCTTTTCCTAACATGTAGAGCAGCTTCCCTATAGTTTCTAAGCAGTCCTCTATCTAGGTAGCATATTGGGAGGTAGCTTGATTTTAGCAATAGAACTGTTTAATGTGCCCCCAAATATTTTTTTTCTTCCCTTCTTCCCCCACAGCTATCTTTAGAGGATGCAAATAATTAATTTGTATATGTATATTGGAAAAACAGGTCTTACTGGATTGGGTGAGTCATAGTCTGGTTTCCTGTTACAACAAGAAGCTTGAATTGCCAGATGAAATAATTGAAAAACTTTGGATATACCTGGACAACATCGTTCATAGCAAAAAACTACAGAGTTTGTTCAAGGACGGAAAAACAGTTACTCTACGTTTTTCAATTGCACAGGTAATTCAAGGTCTAGATATAAGATATAAGAAGGTCCATGATGGACCAGACCAAAGGAATATCAAGTTCAGCATTCTGAGCTCAGTTGTAGAACACTCAGATTGCATGCAGAAGATCCCAGGTCCTGCATAGACAGTTGCTGCCAGTCAGTGTTGACAATATTGTGTTAACTACTATGTGTTGTAGTAGTTAAGAATGCAGGACTGGGACTCAGGAGACATGGGTTCTAGTCCCCAGTCAGCCCTGGAGCCAACTGGGTGACTTTGGAACAGTCACAGATTCTCAGTCCAACCTACGTCACAGGTGTGTTGTTATGGGGATAAGATTGAGAGCAGGAGAAGGAGAATTATGTAAGCCACTTTGTGTTCTTTTAATGTATTTATTCATTTCTCTTTTTAAAAATAAAATATAAATCTAATAAATATATGGACCAATGGCCTGAATCAGTATCAGGTAGCTGTATATGGTCCTCTGGACAGATCTGTCAGTTCTTTCTGAGATTTTCTGATTTTCATGCTTGTACTTCTGCCTGACTCTATTCATCATAAGTTGCATGATGTGTTTTTCTAAAGCCTATATGGAAGTTTGTACCTGTGTGTGCACTTCTACTTACCCCTGATATAAGCATTTCTGTGCGATTTTGCAAAGTACTTTCTACTAACATAATGCATTTCTGTGCATGCTTACCACTCATACACACAATTTTGTACGCAAATTTTTCCTGACAAAATGCAGGGCCAAGCTTGGAAAAGTGTGGATTTCAGTTGGCAATTCAATGCTAGTTATTTACTTAGTAGATATGTATCCTACTTTTCCAGCAAAGTTGCTTCTGATGACCCACATGCCCCCAAAATGCAACTGAACCACATAACCAGCTCCACTTGATCAGAAGCCGGGATCTGAGGTTTTTTCCAATGGGGAAGTTGATGTCGGTCAGTTATCCCTGTGGGACAGGTGGCCGCCTGGCCGGATCAAGCTGTGATATGCTGTTTGCCTACTCTTGCCACTTCCCCACGCAGTGGTTGATGTCTGCTTTGGCTCACTTACTTGCTCAGAAGCACAAATTTGCTATATTCACATAAAAATGGCAATGATTTTCTCGAATTCTTTGTTCAGAGTAACTTGTCCTATTGATTCCAGTAGGTCTACAGATAGTCCCTGGGCTGTGAACATCCAGGTTATTAACAACCCATACTTACAAACTTGCAGATTGCCATAAACCCTATATATGATTTTCTCTGGAGAAAAGCCGTGAATATCTCGAGGGAACTATACGAGGCAATGCATCATCAGTGACAGCCTAGTTTCCTAGAGAAACAGTATTGATGGCTTTTTGTTCCGCAGTGCTAGCTCAAACGTACCCAGGCCAGTGAGTTTTGGGGCACGTGTACGGCATGTAGTTTCCTTTTGGTTTTTCTTTAGCATTTACCCTTGTAACCTGGCCCTCAGCTGCTACAAGAACATTTATGATGAGAAAAAGGAAATGGCTGCACAAACAACCTTGAGGCCTACTTTAAGAAAGAGACTCCAGTAGTAACCGCTATCCCGCCCCCCGCACCGCCACCCCTCCAGCAGCACAATCAAATCTGAATTATCCAGCATAAGGTCCATCTCCATCATCAGTTAATGTTTGGCTTAATGTTAATTCAAGAATATTCTAAACTGTTAAAGAACTGTTTGGTTTGGTTTTTTTTTACAATACTGTACAGAGAGAGAGAGAGAGAGAGAGAGAGAGACTCCAGTACCTGTAGTACTTTATTATAACTGTATTATTACCATTATTACATTGCTGTATTGTGCTTAAGATGTTTTCATGAATATGGAAGTGTTTCTTCAGTGATTTATATGCATAAAAAGGTAATATAGCAACAGAACCATTTGGCTTACTCATGTGATTTGACTTACATACAAATTCGACTTCAGGATGATCTCAGAAATGGAACCCATTCTTAGCTCGGGAACTACCTGTACTCCTTGAATAATTAAGTTTGTGACAACCTGCTAGAATATAATTTCTGCATAGAAGCAGACCATTAATTTTGCTTTGTTTCTTGTTTAATCTTTAGGTCATCAATGAACAGCTTTCCATTTCTTATACTCAAAGAACATTGAAGAATGTGAGCTCAGTGCTAAGCTGCTGTGGTGGTATCCTTTCCCTTCCTCCCCTCTCCCTCGTTTATACTGCAAAATTTGAGCTGTTGGTGGATCTTCTAAGTAAGTTGTCCTGGCTAGCATGTTGGCAGTTGTCATCCGAAGATGCAGTGTCTTCCCAGTTGCTTGACATCCTCCAGTTAACTCTTGGCCAGTACCTTCGGATTCAGAGGCAGCAAGCCAATGCCAATCGTGTATTTGGACAAGTGACCAAACACCTGCTCCAGCCATGCCTGCTCCTGAGACATTTGCTCGCCACTGGGATGAGGGTGCCAGCAGAAGGTGGCAGCCAACACCAACATCAAAGCAGGGAGATTCGCAACCACATCGAGGCATTGTTGAGGGCTGCTGTTTTCCAGCCAGAGCTCTTGTCATCATACAGAGAGGAGCTGCTACCAGAAAAGGAGCCCGCCAACATCAAGAAGGGGGCCTTGAAAAATACTCTGCTGCCAGCCAGCACAATCCAGGCTGCGTTAGGGGATATGAGTTTTCGTCAGCCAGCGCTTCATGAGAAAGCAGTAGCCAGTTCAGTGCCTCTGCTCTTTAAGCTTTTTTTAGAATCTTACAGTAAGGCTGAAAATCACCTGCTGTGTTTTCACATGCTCACCAGGCTCTTTGGGTGCCTTGGGATTTCTCACCTGCAAGAGGATCTCTGGAACAGCCACCTTTCTCCATCACAGTGGAGCTCCGAGCTCCTAGCAGTGGAGCAACTGCTGAACTCAGTGCTGAGTACTGGCATCTATAATGTTGCAGCTGATAAGATTCGGCACAAGGAGATCCAGTTTCGCTTTTACCGCCAGTTGGCCCAAGTGCTGCTGAATCAGTCTCAGGTGGCCATCCCTGCTTGGTTTCGGTGTCTGAAGTCCTTGATCTCATTGAACCACCTCATTGTGGAGCCTGATTTGGATGATTTAGTGGCCTCTGTTTGGATTGATGCAGCGGTCTCCGAGCCACGCACAAAAAAGGCCCAGGAGGCTCTTGTTGGCACTGTCTTCCACACTTACGCCAAGCTGCGGCAGTTCCAAAGGCTCTTTGAAGAGGTCCTGTCTGTCATCTGTCGTCCTGCTGTGGAAGAACTAAGACTGCCAGTTCTGCCAGTCAGTATCAGGGCCAAGCTTTGTGAGTGCCTTCTAGAGCTGCCACCCAATCAGATCCTGGACATTGTCTCTGTCATCTTGGAGAAATGTCAGACTTTCATTATTCCGGATGTCAAAGGAGATTCTGAGATGGCATTGAAACTTCACTCCATGAGCACATTGTTGCATTCTGTTCTGTTCCACATGAGGACCTTGGATGATTCCAGCCCACTGCCTGTTGTCCATCGGACTCAGAGGCTGCTGGAAACAATGCAGAGAGAGGTTATCCAAGTGTTGTTCAACCTGCTGAAGGACTGCCATCCAGGAGAAGCCAAACTGGAACTTTGGACTGAGAAAGTTGGGGACTCAGCCCTTCTCCTTGCTTGTACTTGGGTAGCAACCGATACTCTGTTTGGTTTAAATTGCAAGCAGTATGTCTCCCCACTAGCCAAAACTGCCTTTGCTCTTGCTGATTCCCCCATCAACCAGTGGGACTTCTCAGCCATTCTCCCTGGTTTGGATGCACAGTGCTGGGAGCAGATAACAAATCTCCTGCGCTGCTCTTGGTCAGCAAGTAGATACTGCACAGAATGGCTGGTGCTCCAGAAAATGAAGAAGATGTTGATGCACACCAGCTCTCAGGCCGAGCTGTTCCATCAGGTTTTGCAGCAGGCTGTAGCTTTCATCCTTCAGTCTGGGCAGTCCCGCAAGAATGGAGAGGAGCCTGAACCCTGGGATGGAAGTGCAAGTACCGTAACTAGTCTGGCTTACCCAACTGCGCATTGGCACCTAATAGTCACCAACCTTCCAGTCCTTTTCCCCTACCTTTCTCTTGGGGATGCCCTGTATGTTGCAGATGTATTCCTGAAGGCCTTGTTGGCAAAACAGACGCAGGAAACTTCTGGGGATGATGAAGATGACGACGACAACAACGACAATGATAGCAACACTTCCTTAATCACAATTGGAAGAGTGTCTAAAGACTTGCTGCACAGTTCTCACTTCCCAGAAATGCGAGTGCTGCACTCCTCTTTCCTAAGCCGTATAATTCAGCAGTGTGCTGATGAGCTCTTCGCTGTAGTTCAGGATGCTGCTGATCAGCCTCTCCAGCAGCTGTCAGCGGAAGATACGCCATGGTGTGAGGCTGTGGCTGCTGGCCACTCTGCCAACATAGGGCCCAGTGATGAATCTTTGATGTGCTGGACAGTGCTGGAGAATGTTGCTCAGAGTATCCTATCATTAGTGAGAGAGAGAGAGTATGTTAGCTTGGAAGAAGAACATATCAAAAGGCTTTTGGATTTGCTAGAGGTAATTTCAGCATTGAGGCTGGACAGCCTCTTTCCTTTGGATCACACTCGGTGCTTCCTTTTGCTCTTGTCTTTGGCTGTCAATACCAGAGCAAGTGTCGCTTGCAGTGTGGTCTTGTCTTCAAAATTTCTGGCGAAATGCTTCCACCTCCTTGCTTGCCTTCAGACAGGCCGAAATGCAAACGCATCCTTCAAGGTCTTGCATGCCAGCGATGTCCTTGAAGCTGTTCTCACCTCCATGTTCACAGTCTGCAAGACTTTGGCCAGTGATGCAATGGCTGCTTCCTGGGATGAATTGGTTAATGGGATCCAGATCTTTTTGGAACACTACCTTCAGATCATTCTTGAGAGGAGGCAGAGTACAAAACGCAACCTGGAAAAGTTCATGTCTTTCCTAGCAATGTGCCAGCCGCAGGCAGTCAGTTGGAGCCCAGCAGCCGACCAGGTTCTTTTAGTGGCGCTAACTGCACAGTGTCATGCTCTGACCTTACACCTCCAGCAGCAGCAGGGAAAACAGCACGTTACTGAAACGTTGCTTGCTTTGCTTGAACAGGCAGTGACCCAGGCAGGAGCAACTGTCCAGTTCTGCCTTAGAAACAGCATGAAAGGCCGACCGTTGCCTCTGGCATTTATTCCATGCATAAGCACCCTCTTGAAAGCAGATTCTTCTTGTGCACATTCAGCTGGCCTTGGGACTTCGGAGCATGAACCCAGAAGACCAATGGATCCCAGCACATGCCATCACATTTCTCATGCTCAGTTGTACCAAAGGTTTTTCATTCAGATATTGAGAGAACTTGATCTGGCCAAGGGCAACATCCAGTTCCTTCATTCTGCACTGCAGTTCTTAACTGTCTTCTGTTCCATGCCAGAGTTATATCCTGCACAGGCCAATTCAGTTGCTGTATTTTGCACTATCAAAAAACTTCTTGCAGGTAAGGATTTAGCTGAGACTGTCTAGCAAAGTAAGCTTTCTGCACAGAATCGAGAATATTTTAGTAGGACTGCTAGGGATTCTTGCTTCTTTTAAAAGAAATGAGACAAGAGTGAGATGGGGTTCTCATTTCTTTTAAAATGAGACAGTGTGGCATGATGGTTAGAGTGTTCTATTGGGTGCTAGTCCCCACTCAGCCATGAAGCTTACTGGGTGACTTTGGGCAATCACTGACTCCCAACCTAACCTACCTCACAGGGTTGTTGTGCGAATAAGATTGAGAGGAGGAGGAGAACTCTATAAGCTGCCTTGAGTTCCTTGAAAGGAAAAAAAGCAGGATATAAATAGAATAAAAGGAGATGTTTTCGCCTACAACTCCCATCTGTTCCAGTCAGCATAGCCAACAGTGAGGCTATGGAATATCATTGGATAGGCCCAAAATCTGGTGGGCTTGCTTTAAAAGATAGCTAGAGGCTTGTAACTTATGCTCTAAAACCAGCCTTTGGATGAAGGCAATCTGGTTAACACTGGGCCCTCCAAACTGTCTCACAGCTGACTGTGTATTGTGGTGGGATCTCTGTACTTTTCCAATAGCATATTTCTTCCTCTTTCCCAGAACAAGCTTCATATTGGCTGAGGGGGGACTGGAGAGGAGCACAGGATGGCTGTGAGGCAATGGCAGCCGTCTGCATGAGGAAGGAAAGGCCAACTTGCATTGCGTTGCCTGCCTTGGCACATACTGGCTTCACTGTGCAAAGTTCTGCCTCTGTACTGTAGTGGTTAACAAAACATATATTAACAGGAACTGTTGGAAATTTAAACCTGAATTTTATGCAGCAGGGGAATTTGGACTTTGTATTCTTTCCCTGAATATTGGGCATCTGAAAGAAAAAGGTTTCCTATTCAGAAACGGAGGACTTAGGGTGTTCTAAAGAAGCTTGTGCATGTGTGAGATAAAAGACAGATGTAATTTGGTTTCTATCTCAATATACTTATCTGTGGTTAGTGTGAAGAAAGATGTTCTGTGCCAAGATGAATTAGGATAGATATACAATTGTGTTGTTGTAATCTGTTCTTGAAATTATTCAGCATCTAGCGCAGTTCCATAGGCTGGAAGAGTTTGGATGATCACTTCTCTTGAACTATTGCAGCTCCAGGAGTCACAGTCCAATTGATCCAAGAGCTGGAGGTGCAGCTGACAGAATTGGCTACACACTTGGTGGAGCACTGTACCACTGATGATTTCTGTGCCATGTTGAAACTGGTGCTGGAGGGACTAGATATTGGCAACCTCTGGAAACACAAACTGGAAGTAGGGGGAAATTTAAGCTTGTTTACTTCTCTTTTAACATTCTCATATGGATAGGCTCTGCTGAGTCCTCATTCCCATCCAACCTTACACTGCTTCCATATTTTCGTAAACTCTGTCATGCTACCATACACAAAGAGGAGACATCACAATATGTAGCCTTGAAATTTACCTTATGAACATACTGAGCTGCATTCAGTGTTAGTCCTACTTACACAGAGTAGACAGTGAAATGCATGGGGTCTCAGTTAGGCTGTTGTTGGTTGCAAACCAATAGACGGACCTCTGTTGCTGTCTTTGGCACTGGTTGCTCTCTGAGATCTTTCCTGGCCCTGTTGCTCAAGGTTGTTTTCACATACTGATGCTGGGAATTGAAACAGAGAGATTCTGAGCACAAAGAATATATTCTTTGACTTGTGCTATGGCCACATCCCAAAAGTGCTTAGGTCCTAACTGGTTCTGTCTGGTCCACTTTCCCTAGCTAGACACACTCCTGAGGTGTTCATTTACCATTTCTGTCATCCACAGCTATTTGGGCAGCTGTGGAGCAGTGCGGACTGACATACCTGGGCAAACTGTTTTTGCAGCTCTCGCCAAGTGGCTTGCAAGCTGATTCCTGATACCATAAAAGGGTCAGTCACCAGGTTTGGATGGCGCAACAACTCATTGTGGATACAAGCAGAAGATGCTTGGGCGACTTGTCCTCTAAGAAGCCACCCGGCGGGAATCAGTCCAGGACTGCATGCAGGAACATAACGTCATGGCTTGTCACCCACAATGGGTTGTTGTGCCATGAGAACCCAGTCTGCTGGTGCTGCCATCTGGGAGCAGCAGGTAGGTGGGAGAAAAACAGGGATATATGCCATTGAAACTTATTACCCTATGATTAAGAGACAGATGTGCAGTGTTGAGATTTCTAGAGGTTCATTAATTCTTAGGACAACCCATCATTTTACGTCTCAATCGATCAAAACGTAAGAGAGCCTTATGGGTGGGATAAAAAATATTAAATAAATAAATAAACCACTATATTGCCAAATAGTGCAGCTTGCTGTCTGTGTGACAAACATAAAACTTTCTCTTTGTTCTTCCAGTATTGATTAAAGCTACCAGATGGCTTGCTCTTCTTTGTAATGACACCGTATGACACTCAAAGGTTTTATAAGCCCCTGGCTTTTATCCTAAAGCCCCCCAAATTTATCCTTTTTTGTGTACTTGCAGCAAAAATAAATATTTACAACTTGCTTCAGAAGTGATGATGTACACAGTTTGTCAACTAGAAAGACTGTAACTTAGTCATAGAAGAGAAAAAAGTGATTTTTCACAAAATCTTGATGTGCCTAACAGTCTTAATGTCTTTTACTTGGTTTCACTTCTATTTGTTGAGCGTTGGTATCACTTTCTTGTTTTTGTTTCTCTTTTGTGAAGGAAGCACTGTCGGCTGTTACTTTGGTCAAAGTGCTGCTTGGCTGCCCATTAAATGGGGAGAAAGGGAAAGCATTCTGGTTTTCCAGTCCCCGAATAATCATGGCTTTCATTGTAAGTATCTCTGCAGTCTGAACTGAGGTGATCTTGGGCCTTCCCACACTGCTGAGCAAAAGATGTGCTGCTGTCATAACGTAGGTCTTTCTGCCACAAGTCCCAGTTTAGTGCTGGTGGCATTGAGTGACTATGATACGTAGCAGGTGGACAGTAAGAAGTTGCACTGGTTCTTTTTCCCCTCTTGTTTGTTTTGTCGTAATGTAGAGAGACTGGTGCCCCACTGCAGGGCACTCCATTCCCAAAAATCAAAAGGTGACAAGCTGTTGCTACCTGGACGGGGAGCTGTCTTGAAAGCCAGTGTAGTCTAGTGTTGGAGTGAGAACCTGTGAGATCTGGGTTCCAGTCCTCGCTTGGCCATCAAGCTTCCTGCGTGTCTTTGGGCCAGTCACCCCACCTCAGCCTAACTTACAGCACAGGGTTCTTGTGGGGATGAAATGGAAGGGAGGAGGATGGTATAAACTTCCTTTGCTTCTTCGCAGGAGGAACAAAGGCAGGATATAGAAGTAAGAGAAAAAATAGTCTACAACTTGTACATGTCCTGTTTTTAAATGGGGCTGGGTATGCATCCCATCACTGGGGCTTCCACCACAAGTGCTGAACCTCAAGCACTGGGACATATCCAGCCTGCCTGGAATCTGACTCTGGAATCTCCCTGGTGACTCCTTTCCCCCAGTTGCTAATCATTTGGTAGTTTTCCAGGGTTTGTGCCAATTTTCCTCATTAAGAACTTTTGAATGCCTCCCCCAGAGCTTCGTCTCTGGTAGCAACAGGTTTAATGTTGGTATTATTGGTCCCACCCTCCTTGCGTTCGGCACTGCCCACCGTGAGAAATTGAGCTGTTGGAGCTTCTCCAAAATGGAATTCAGCCCAGGGGCTGAAAGAGGCTCTGCACATCTGCCTTACAGAGAGGGAGCTCACAGGTCAGATACGAAGTTCTAGGCAGAAGCCTTGCTTTTCTCCTCTTAACATCTCCTAACAGAGTGAGTGAGTAAATCGCTTGCCACATCACAGTGTTCTGTAAGTTGCGACACTTGTGCAAGTGTTAATTGCAGTGTGCTTTTGGGGAAACATGGTGTTTTTCCAGGTGCAAACTAAAACTCATCTAGTGTTTCTACTGCAGAAATGCAACCTTGGGGTGCCTGTAGGGTGCAAATCAAACAGCGGACTTATGTTCAGCTGATAAACCAGAAGGGTTCTAGGCTTTCTTAGCAAGCAGCTTGGTCATAGAGCAGGCCCTGCAGCAGCCCTGATCTTGGCAGCCAATATGCACTGTGCCTTTAAAGAAAGTTTGGCTACAAAGAATAGCAGAAGAGCACATTCAGGAAGTTAAAGCAAGCATGAGGCTTTCCAGAGGAAGTGTATAGGTGTCAAAAATAGGTGGTGGATATCCAGGTATTTTCTGGCATTGCTGCAGTTTTGGGAGATCCCATCTGCCCCGGGAGGCCCTGTTTCAGGAGCTCAGGAGCATGGTGGCGAATCTTGTGCACACATTCCTCTTCTACAGCTTTCTTCATTGCTTCTGCCATAGATGCAAACCAGAGAGGCTTCTCAAGATCCGGCGCGGCTTTCCATCCTCACTGTGCCTATATTGGAGGCAGTGGCAATCCTCATACGGCGAGGAGAAGGGGCTCTCTCTAATCCTCATCACGTTGCCCTTGTTTTCAACATTCTCCTGACTGCCCCCCTTGACCAGAGGGACTACGGGCACATCTTCCTGGGCATTCATGAAGTTCTCTTTTCCATTCTGCAGTGTCACCCTAAGGTAATGAACGGATGGGACTTTTGGCGGGGTTGGTTTTGTTTTTTAAAAGGATGACGTGGTTCCATCTGCACTGTTGGTCCCAGATAAGCTGTTTTAACCCTAATGCGTAGCAGAATATTGAACCCCTGTCTGGAGGAGCCATAATTCACTGTTTCAAGTACATGTTTGCATGGATTACATCCCCTGCTCCCATTTCCTGATTTGATTACTAGTGAAGAAACTTCTGTATCCAGTGCAACTAGTTTGCATACAAGTTAATGGAACACACAGTTTGGCCTATGAGAAGACCAAGGGGGCAATGTAAGCAGATTGACCTTTGCTGCAACCTGAGAAGATGGGGAATTTTGGACTAGGAATCCGTGTCAGCCTCATGTGAGCCTCAGCTACACCTTTGACCTTCACGATTAACACTGAACTACACTGCAGGGCTGTTGTATATCACACCCTCAGCTCAAGTTGCAACGTGGAGATAAAATGCAATGGCAATGTTGTTGCACCCTTCTTGTTGCATTCAGCCCACTCCCAAACTGCAATGAGAAGGTGGAACCACTAGATAGCGCTGCAGACTTGTTCTCAGTCACTCAGAGCCTGACTTGTAAGATTCAATGTGAACAACACTGCAGGGCTGTTATATGCTGTTCCCTCCTAGCTATGAGCTCTTCTTCTTTGCACAATGGCAAATTAACTGCATTTGATTTGGCACTTAGCAGAGTTCCCCCACCCACCCCAAAAAATCACTCTGAACAAGCACTTGAGTTGGAAAGAGTGGAAACTCTTCCCTTCACTGTCACATTTGAGGGTTGGGGAGATGAGGTAAATTAAAATATTTAAATTTATCCAGTGTTTTCTATAAGCAGCTCTCGCTAACATCCTTGGGGACATTTTGCCATTGCGTCTCAGTGTGAACCAGGAAATGATGTATCCAAACAATGAAAGTGTCCTCTTTCTGCCCATGTTTCTCCCTCCATTTTTAGCCTCTCCATTGCATTCCCTCCCACCCAAGTGTCAGTTTTCCCCTTTCCTGTGTCTCAACAGTCCATGCTGTTGAGCTCTTTTGGGGTTCTCGCCCTAACTTAGCCGCCCTGATAGTTGTTATGTCTGGGGCAGAGCACTCTCTGGTGGTCCCTAGGCAGCAGCTAAGAGAACATAAGATCATTTGGATTCCCACCTTGGATTGGAAAAAGGCTCTGATATCAGAGCTGGGGATATATATGCAGATCCCCTTCCACACCCACTGCAAGAACCACATCAGTTGCCTCTTAGAGAAGGGATGAAAAGGATGGGAAGAGTAGAGAAAACCTTCCCCATTAGAAGTGCCGCAAGTAGATGGCCGAAACTGGTCATCTACCTGATTTTCAGAAAGGAGGAGTGTAGAGACAAAGATGGTCTCTATGCTTCTCATGCTTTATGTAGGATGTCTGTAGTCCTGTGCGTCTGGACATTTATAGATACCCCACCATGTGAGCACTGCTGGTTTGGCTGCATAACACTGAGTGCTTTCCTTTCATGTTCAAAAATGGAATATGAGGGAATTGCATTGGTAGATAATTTCTGCCTGTGTGCAAAACTTGTATTTTATTGTGGGCTTCTCAAAATGTAACACTTCAGAATACTGTAACTTTGACTGTCACCTCTGCTACTTCTGATCTGGATATTCAGAAGGATTTCTGCACCTCTCTGTTTTGCTTTGTTATTTTGTATTATAATAACCAATTATTTTAATGTTAATATACGAATAGTGATTTGTCCAGTGGCTGTAGTGACCTCTTTTATTACTTTTTTCAGGTGATGCTAAAAGCAGCTCCATCCTTCCTGAACAGTTTCCATAGACTGGTTATTTCAGTTATGCATGAAGGCAGACAGAAAGGAGACAGGGGTTAGAGATTTTCTTTTTCTGTTGCATAAAACACTTCTGTATAATGGGGAAGCTCTGTATAAAACCCCCCTTCTCTGAAGGTTAACAGCATAATCCTATTAATTTTTATTGAGAGATAAGAACTGAACTGAATGGCACTTACTCATTACACATGTCAGTGGCTGGAGCAGTCCTGCACTTGAATCCTAGTGTTTGCATTAATCTGTGTCTAGTCTTGGAGCACCCTTGTGTTCATGCACACAGGATAGGGTGGCCAGATGCAGAAGGTATCCAGACTCCTTTACTAGTTGAGTAGAAGAGAGTGTTTCCACAGGTGAAGCTTGTCATGCAAGGTATACATATGTTGAAATTCCCTGTTCTGTACAGCAAAGGTTGGAGCCCCAACCAATCGTGTATCTGACCACCTATTGCCAGAATTCCTTGACTATATTGGAGCTCCTCTGTATATTTGGCTAGAAACCTGCGACTTTACTTCCCATGTTGTTTATAGGGGTGGGTACTTGCTGGGTTGGGCTTGGCAGGACCCCACCCCGCCTGTACCCACCCCAAGACCCCCTTGTACTGCTCTGCCCTGTTCGATCTGTACTTTTGCATTCTCCCCTCAAAAAGGGTTTTAGAAGGTCAAGTCAAACCATAGTGGGCCTGAATCAACTTGGGGGAGCATCTCATTCCTAGGATATCCATAGGAGGACCAAGGGGAAAGGAGGGAAGTAAAGGGATATCCTAACCACAATGCACCCAATTGTCTGACTGGCACATTTAGGATAGTGTGGCTTTATTAAAGCACCCATACAATAACATCCCATATTTGCATTTCAAGCACAGTTATTTGTTTATATGGGTTTTTTAAACTAGTTCACTAATCAGGAAACATTCACTGTGCCATTTTGTGTTTCTTCGCAATTTTATTTTCAGTACAATTCTATAAATGTCTACTCAAAAGCTGAGTTCAATGGAACTTGCTTCCAGTAGCCAAAGTCCATTAGTGAATGTACAAAGTCATGTTTGGTTGCTTTTCTTTTTACATTAATGGAGCTAAAGTTTGTTTAGTATAGGTCAGGAGGGAGCAAATATAGAACATATTTTTCATTTTTGAATTTTTTCTCATAATGTAATTTTTGTTTACTGACTTTGTTCATTCACACATAGTTAATCATATTTGGAAAATATGAGTGTTAGTTTGTTCCTATGTTTTGCAAGGCAAAAACTTCTCAAGATAAATGTCTTTTTAAATCTCAGATTTTATACTTTGTTTTCAAAGGCATCACAGATGATTTTGAAGTTATACTGAAGTGTGCCCAACTGGTGGAACGGATGTACAGTTACATTGCTGCAAAAACAGAAGAATTCACTGTATTATCCTCCTTCATTGTGGCCCAGTATGTGATAGAACTGCAAAAGGTAATGATTATCTGAAGGATCTATTATTTGTGGAAAAGAACAATAATATATTTTTTGCATTAAATTGCATTAAGCATGGTGGGCAACTTGTGACTCTTCAGAGTTTCGGCCTACAAATCCCATCATGCCTTATCATTATGCTGATTAGAACTGATGAGAATTGTAGGCCAAACCTTATGGGAAGTGGCCCACCTCTAACATAAAGTGACTGCACAAATGTTGACCAAGGGATCAAGGAAGCAGCCCCTCTACGCTGCATATGCATCTGTCTCTGGCCATCAACACCAGTCCTGTAGGGTTATCTGTTCTTCTGTTGCTTCCGTACAGAAGCAACACCCATGCTTCCGTACCTTTCCTCCTTCCCATTTGCTATCATTATTAAAACAATGCAGTGTTGTGGAAACAGTGCATCCAGTTATAAGTGAGTCATATCTTATAAATGGTTGTACTCTTTTTGCTGTGTAAAAGTTACCATCTATTGGATTTCTTAAAACTGCAATTGTGAAGTAGCGCTTTTCTGCTTCACAGAACTTGTATTCCGTACAGAATTCCAGTTATTGTTTTGAAGAACTTTTTCTAATGGTGGGTGGGAAGACCATGATCATCCATTTGAATTGTCCCGCAATTGATTTAGATTTGAAGACTCTTAAGAGCAGAATCATATGCTTTGCTCTTTTTAAAGCATATTTTCGTGTTACTTTGTTGCTGTTGGTGAAATTGTTGGTGTCCAAATAATTATTTGTGATCTTGGTCTGCAAATATTTAGTATAGAAATGACAGATTTTATGATTTGGCAGTGGTACTTGTGGGCTCTGTTTAGCACATTCAGAAGGAGAGTTGATAAGTTACAGAACTAAGGCTGGTGGTGAGATGCTTGAACCCCATTAATTGAGTGCCTTATTTTCTCCATAATAACATTTTCATGGCTACCCTGGAAGGGTATACATTGATCGTTTATCCTTTGAGGACAGTTCTTTCGCTCTTCTCCCCTGCTACTGTCACTGTGATTAGAAGTTCACTTCATTAGAAGGAAGTTTATTACTTGCCTGAGGAAGTGAGAGGAAAGCCTGCATTGTAATGATGGCCTCCAGTTTAATGTCTGTTTCTTGAGGAATGCTACCCAACAGCGGAAGGCCAATTTGGACTTTCAGCGCACAGGGAGCAGGAGGGAGGGAGAGGACAGAACATGATCACCTTTAGAAGGTGGTGTTAGATGCTGCTGCCAGTGCTGACATTCAGCTGTACCCTTTATGCCAGGTCTGGAAAAGGTAGGAAGAAACAGCCAGTGCTCAGGCAGAGAAGGGTTTCTTTACTGCTCAGCCTTCAGCTTTGATGATTGGCAGACCTAGACTTTCTGGTTTAAGAAGTCATGTTATAAAGAATGCCTATAATTAGCTTGAGGAGACAGGGGTGTTGTAGAATACATACTCTCTCAGACATAAGTCCCATTGAGTTCAGTGGGGCTTACTTCCAGGTAAGTGGATGCCAGAATTATTGACTTAAAGCTAGCATTCTGGCCATTGTCTCATCTGTATCTTCTGGTTTGCCTTATCAAAGAGGAACAATTTCTTAATGTTGATTCCATTGCAGTATAAAAGGGTGAAATACTTGGTTAGTATATAGTCACTGCAATTTGAAGAATGACCAATTAACATGGACTGTTTTCAGAATGCACTGTTTGGAAAACTTCTGCCATGGTTTATTTGGGATGTGATTATTTGGCTTTATGAATACATGTCATTCTAGTTCAACTTGTTCATGTTGAACTAGGTTTTTATTAAAATCTTTTTACCTAGGTGAATCCCCCCCCAGCTAAATTAAAGTACAACCAACAATCAATGGACTTACAGCTTTACGTATTATCATTTGTTTCCTGTTCTCCTTCTAAGAAAGGAGACCATGTTTGATTGGCCACACCTTTTCCTTGGGCCTGTACAGACCTGAATTGATGCACCACAGAATTATCATTCAAGGGGGAGGGCTATAGGAAGACTGTGGGTCAGCATGGGCAATTCATGCCTCACAAGCAATTCATGCCTCCGCCCCTTCTGATGCCTCCTCTACAGAATGGCATATGGGTACAAGTTAAATGAACAAGCTAAATTGGACCTGTCCACTATACTGTAGCATTATTTATTTATTTATTAAAAACTTTTCTATCCCGTCCCCTACAGAATGTCTTGGGTTGGCTTACAATAGTAAAAGGGTGAGGTTTTTTTTCCCACCACGAGTGTTTGTCAGGATTCTGCAGGAGTGCAGCTTGGTAGAGGGTCCAGCAGGGGGGAAAATGGTCCCTAGACCCCCTCTGCTACAGACTGACATTTCTTACCCTTAATGTAATGGTATTAATAATACTGAGGCATTCATAAAGGTCTTTTTACAATGTTTCAATATCAATGTTTTCATTATCACAGTAAACCTTACAACAGTGCTTTAAGGCAGGTCAGTTTTATTTATCCATATATCGGTGATGGCAGTGGAGGGAGATGTTGAGATACAGTGACTTGCCAGAGGCAGTCTAATAAATCCATCACGGATAATAAGGTTTGAACTGGTAACATCACAGCTCAAGGTGGCTTTTTCTTTTTGTTACAAGTGGAGTTGCAAACTGCTGAACTCTTAAGAATTTTGTTATCTCTTAGGTTTTGCCCATTCATGAGAATCATACATGTTAAATAGACCATCAGCATTACAGTAAAGGTAGTTATTCTGTATTCCAAACTTAATGTAGTGGTATTTATTGATTTCCTGTATGTCTAAGCCATCTTATAACAAAGGGTGGTTTGCATGGAGGGATAAAATCAAATTAAAAATCACTGACATAATGTGCCTGACAATAAAAGTGCACTACATTTTATTTGATTTTTTTTCAATCCACATAAAAAACTAGGGAGAAAGCGTTATCCTATACCTGCTTTACATCCTATTGCAGCTGAATTAATAAGCCAATGTTCCTTTTCAGCATTTTCCTAATGAGTGTGTGTATAAGTCTGTGTGTGCTTTAGTAATTGACAACAAATTCTAATAAACCATGTTTTCCCCCTAGGTGACTTTGCACCCAGCTGTGAAAAAACATCTAACAGAAGGAATTTATCACATCCTAGATCTTTGCATTGAACGTGATATCAAATTCTTAAATGCCTCTCTCCCAGTGGGGGTGAGAGAAGTCTTGAAGGAGCTGTATCGTGATTATACACATTATCACAAAGAACTGAAGCAGGGGGATGAAAAATACACTGCATGAATAGCATTTCCTATGGTTTTAGGAACTTGTGGAGGAGTAGGGCCTTTCCATATGACAAGCTCCCAAGTTCATAAGGGTTTCTGTGGTGGGTTTGGGAATTGAGCTTGAAGACCTATGCTTTCCTCAGGACTGCAGACAAGATCTCCTCCCGCTTCCCCTTTCTGGAATATGTTTGTGTTCACCAACCGGTGGTGTAGAGGAACCAGCGTTAACAAGGGTTATAGCATTAGCACTTTCTTACTAGCCAGAGTGCTGACATCACCTGTGATCCATCTCAGACTTCCCTGTTCCATCTGAGTTTAGCTGTGGTCATAAAAGGAGCTGGGGGGAAATGAATATTCCCAGGAACTATGTATTGTTCCGTGTTTGTAAAGTATTTGGGGATGGCTTGCTCTTTAATGGGCAATTAAGACCCATTAGATTTACAAACCACCGTTTCTGGTGGAGATGCAAAGCACTAGAATTGGTTTGTTTGTTGATAGGTATCGAAAATTGCTGCCCACAATTTTGAATTCTCCTTGGGGGTGTGGTTATAGAGGGACTTGGGATGAGTGCCTACCATTCAAAATTTACCAGTGCACACAGGTAGAGACTAGTTTCATGAAACCTAGTCAATATACCTGGTCCATATTTGGATCTCCCTTCATACATTGCTGAGGATTTTCCTTTTTGCCTGTACAAGAAGAGTTATTGAGTCAGAAAACTCAAGAAAGGAGGGAGCTTTTGTTTTGCTGCATATGGGAATCCTTCCTGTCAAAGAATATTAAAAAGATATAAAATTATGATATATACTCTTTCCACAAGTTTTGTACTGTAACTGTAAGATACTGTTAATTATTAAACCAAAGAATTTTTTATTGAAAATGGAGTTGTTGCTTCTATGCATTAAACCCAGAATGGGGAACCTATTTCAAGGGTCTAATTCAGTTTGGCCAGGTGGTGTGGCCAAATATATAAGTATATTTTAGCTTAACAGTCTTTCTCCCATCTTACTGCAATACCTCAGCCTTAGGAAATGCATTCCACTTTTTAGATGGGGAAAAGCTACCCCCGCAACAAGCCAGGAAACTTTGCTGTGTGAGCAGAGGGTGGCTCTTCCAAGGTACCTCCTCTGAGGGAGGCTTGGATGGTGACCACAAGGAAGAGGGGCTTTATTGGTGGTAGCCCCCCAATTCTGAAATTATCTCTCCAGCATGACCCACCTGCACCAACACTGTTATCTCTTTGGTGCCAGGTTCAGACCTCCTCCTCTCAGGCATTTGACAGTATATGATGTTTTTAATCAGGTCTTAAATTTGTTCTTGTTGATTAAACTTGTTTTTAGATGTGTGTGCCCGTGTGTTGTATGCTTCTATGGATTTTAAAAATGTATGTCTATGGCTTAATCCTTGTAAACAACTTAGAAAGATTCAGTTACTGAGCAGTATAGAAATGTAATAAATGAAATGGAACTTAAAGGAGATTTTAGCTTTGCGGAACCCCACAGGGCCAGATGAGAACCTCATGCCAGAGGTTCCCCTCCACTGTATTAAATACATCCAGGACTGAAATGAATAGTTGCAGAACATCTGGCACTTTACAGCAAATGCCCCGAACTGTGGCAAGGAGCGGTTTTCCTCTGATGAGCAGGTGGCTGCTCTCAGTGCCAGACTGTTCAGAGAGCACAGCTCTAGGTCTGTTGTGACTTCAGTATCTCCCAGGTACAGGTGACGAAGAAAGGTTAAGGTGGTGGCTACTCGTCTGCTCCACTTGTCTTCTACCACCCCCGGCCATGCTTCAGGCAAGGGCTGTGCTGGGAAAATGGCCCTCCTAGTGTGATTTTGGGGATCTGCAACTCCCATTATCACTGCTTGTTGGCTAACTAACTGAGGCTGATAGGAGCTATAGTGCAATAACATATAGGGAACCAGTTTCCTTATCCCTGCCTTAAAGCACAGCTGGGAAGATAAAAGTGAACCTGGGAGAGTAACCACTGCATGCATGAGCCTTTCTCACATTGTATCTGTCCTGTTCTACTGAGATGTACCTGTTTCCCATTCTTTGTGAGGGAAGTTTTATTATTTTACTTTATTTATTGACAATATTTGTACCCTGTCCTTTATGAGACATCCCAGGACGGCTTACAACAATACATAAATCACAACAAAGTTGAACGGAGGGATGGGTGAATGGTCCAGGAACACCCCACAGGCTTTATATGCAAATGGAGATCTTGAACCCAAGTTTCCTGCATTCCAGTCTAACACTTTATCCCTGGCTTTCAAGGGTATTCTGTAAATAAGCTCTAAGAATTCTTTGCCAAATACTGCCTTTTCCTTAACTTGTTCTGCACTCTTGCAACTATCTCAAGCGACCACAATCATTTGATCCTGTGATTGTATGACCTCTCTCACAACCTTCTTTCCTCTGCACCCATGTTTGGAAGCACTGGCCAAAGGGTAATGTCAGTGGCAATGATGGAGAAGGCGCGTGGGGAGGAAATGGACAAGGGAAGGTTGAATGTAAATGACTAATCAAACCCCCAAAGCAGTGAAGCAATACCAAATGCACATTGCGACACCAATTTAGACAGAAAAAGGGCCTGCAACAACTCATGCGTCCTCTGAGCTGTTGACCCTTTTTCTGCTTAAACTTGCATAAGATGGTGCTTTTTATTGTATTAACCCACGTTTCCATGACAACCCAGGAATTTTCAAGGTTGCGTGCTCAATTAAATCTGGACATTGTGGTATCTGAACGTGGAATTCTGGAGTGTTTAGGAGGTAAACAATCCAGAGTTTACCAGTCATCCATGTTAAGTTGTTGTGTTAAACTCTGCCACCAAACTGTGGAATTCACTTGTACAAGGTTGTTGTGATGGCCCCAAACTCGTAGATGATAAACCTTTCAATGGTTACTAGTCCTGATGGCTGTATGCGACCTCCAATATCAGAGGCAGTATGCCTATGTGCAGCAGTTGCTGGGGAACATGGGCAACAGGATGTTGTTGCATTCATGTCCTGCTTCTAGGATTCCTGTGGACAATGCCTGGCCACTGTGTAAACAGAATACTGGACTAGATGGATCTTGTTCTCATTCAGCATGACTCCGCTTACATGCCAAATAAAAACATCCCTGCTAATAGAACAAAAGCAAGACTGGCACGTTCAAGAGTGAGTGGCAGCAGCTCAGCCAGCTCTTTGCTGTACTTTTAAAAATTTTTAGTGAGAGGCATTTTTTTAAAAACTGTAGGGTAGCATTTAAAATGAGGACTCCTGCTTGCAGTGTGTCATTTTTGCACCTCATTTAGTTCCAGCCCACTTAAATCTGGTATGTATGCTACAGTTACCGCAAGATGGGGAACAGGCACGGCTCAGTGCAAACATCTGCTTTGCATGAAGAAGGCTCCAGTTCCACTTCCTAGCATCTTCAGGTGGGCGGGGAAAGAGTGGTCTCCGAGACCCTGAAGCCTGACCCATTTCCACCCACAGTAGACCAGGGTGTTGAACTGCTTTCAGTCCAAGGGACGATTTCCATTTTAAAGACTCTCCTGGGGCTGTGCTCCAGTGAAGGGTGGCAATAGGGGAAAGGGGCAGGGCCAGATGCAAAAGGGTGGGACCAAAGATGCCGGCCTATTTTAGCCTAAAGCTCTTGTTAGTAACTGAGCCTTAGGAGGGGGACTTCAACGTTCTAGAATGGAGGTGGGAGGGAGGAAATTCCCCAAAAGCTGGGTAATCACCAAATGATTGGTGGGTGCAGTGAAAGGAAGGGACTCAGCCCTTTGAGAAAACCCATGTAGCCTGGATTTAGGAACATAAGAACCATGTGGAATCAGGATGAGTGTCCATCTAGTCCAGCATTCTGTTCACACAGTGGCCAACCAACTGCCTTGGGGAACCCAAAACCAGGACATGAGTGCAACAGCACCCCTTTGCCCCCCAAGCTTGAGGTACTGCCCCCCCATCTTGTGTAGGGACCTGGTTTGGTATAAATCCACTTCCTTTGTCCTTAAATCATATGTGTATCCCTCACAATATGGGGTAGCCAATATTGCTTGTTTGGAAACGAATGTAAAGTGCCATTAGATAGTCTAGGCTGAAGTTCTTGATTCTCGTCACCATCAACCTGCAGGAAAAATAATTATGTCAGTTTCTGTCTTTGTAGGAGTACTTCAAAGAAAAGCCAGAGAGTGACGCAGGATAAAAGAGGGACTGTGTCAAAGCAACAGGGGAGAAACAAACAGAAGAGCCACTGAATCTCTGCCTTCTCGTATTTACCATCCTCTGGAGGCCATTGCAATATAACCCTTTTCTCGCGAGAGGGAGCCATTGTCAAGAGTCTGCCTGGCAGCCAGGGTGGTCACAATGCAAAATGACATTCCTTAAAGAACACAAGCTCCTGAAATAGCAAGGGGCAGATGCAGATAACTTGATTTTGTAAGAAGCCTTTGTGTCTACTGGCATTTCAGCAAGTGGTGCTTGGGGATCTCCAGGAGGCAGGGAGGTGGACAGACCTTGAAAGGGGTCTGTTGTACATACTGGGAAACCATGACGCAAATTAGTTTTTAGTCCAGTTTTTTCCCTGCTCTCAGGTCATGCGAGGCATGATGTGACTAAATGTTCAAGGATGTTTGCCCTTGTTTGTGGCTGTGGTTTAAGTTATTCTGTGGAGGGATGTCATTGGTTCTCCATGGAGAAACAAATATAACTCAGAGTCAAAGCAGACATGTCTTTAAATCTGTGGCTAGCAGCTCAATCTCACCCTCCCCACTGAGTGTTTTAATCTAGATTAGCTGCAGGCCTCCTATTTAGATAATAAAAGACTTTCTCCCTTGCACATCAGGGACCCAATCCTGATCAGGGGCTCTGCACATACTCTGCAGTAATAGTGGATGGGAGAAAACAGACATAGCTGTAGACACAGATTCACCCTAATGTCTTTTTTAAAACAAGGGGCGGAGAACCTGAGTTGTGAGCCAGCCGATTCATGGCTGCCATGTGCACCCTGCTATGAGGCTCACAGGCACTTTTAGGCTCGCCACCGTCCTCTCAGTTCCATGTCAGTAACAAGGGGTAATATTTTTCAAAATATATTTTTTAAAAAATCCCTACTCTGCTTTACTTCCTCCACAGGCACCCAAAGTGCCTAACAAGGAAGGATTAGACAAGCAGAGTATGGATCTTGTTTTCCAAATGAAGCTTTTTCATGCCATTGCCCAGTTCACAGAACTTTACAGGGGATCCAGACAGTCTTTTCTTCCTTTTGCAGCTCTTCTGTGTTTCCCCACTGCTTCTCTTCTCTTTCTCCTGACTGCAGAAAATCCATGAAGGAGAGAAAAAAAGAGTAGGTACACAATAGATAGGTAAGTACACAACAGAGCCCTAAAAAGGTTAGAACAGACTGTTGGTCCTTTTTGCCTCCAGAGGCCTCTTTGCAGAGCTGGGCCCTCACCTGACCGTGGAAGACATGTCCTACATGGATGGACCATCTGGGCCTCTCTAAGGAAGGAGACACCCAGGGAGTTGGTGCACCACCTCTGTTCCAGTCCTGCCTCTTGCGTTCAGCTAGACTTAAGGAGAAGAGGACTTGTTCTTTTCTTCTCTCTTCTGAGGGAGATGGTAACCTTCTCTTCCTAAAGTGCTGACAGTGAATTGAATAGACTAGGAAATGCGCTGCTGCTGCTGCAAGAAAGCAAATGAAAACAATAATAGAATTGGAAGGAGATCATTTAGGCCAGGGATACATGACCTGGGGCCTGGGTCCTCACACTGCAGCCTACATGACGGATCCGGCCGCCATGGCCATCCATCGGGCCCACGCCGCCATTCGCCACCCGCGCGGGCAGGGAGGTAGTGTCTTGCTCGCTCGGAGATGGTTTTGGACTCGTTGGGAGATCTCCGAGTGAGTGAGTTGCCGTGGCGCACGCCCAATGCCACCTCGCGCGCACCCGACGACGCCTCACTGGCCTGCACACCCCGCTCCCCCCCCCTCACTGGCCCACATGTGTAGCCACCACCTTTCTACTGGCCCCCAATTGAAAAAGTTTGAGGACCCCTGACCTGGGGCCTACCATGACTTTTATTATACTTCGGGGTTGCATTCCCTCTAAAGGACAGGGTCTGCAGCTTAGGAGTGCTTCTCGACCCAGAACTGTCCCTGGAAGCCCAGGTGACGGCGGTGGTGAGGAGCACCTTCCTTCAGCTACAGCTGCTCCATCAGCTGCGTCCTTACCTGGACGAGCACTGCCTGGCAACAGTGACACACGCTCTGGCAACTGCCCCGTTGGACTATCGTAACGTGCTCGATGTGGGGTTGCCCTCGAAGGCAGTCTAGATACTTCCATTAGTGCAA